CTTCAATGGTACTACCACTATCCAATTTTATCAGCGAAACCATTTCGAATCGACGAAGCGCCATTGGAAACATATTATTACGATCTTGGTTGGTTTTTGACTGATTCTAATGGTAAAATTCATTTACATACAGGAAATTCATGCGGTTTTACTCATCAGGTATTTCGCATTGATGATGCGGAACGAAAAGTTCTTGTTTTATATTTAACAAATCTTGGAGAGAACAATCAACGAATCGAAAAGTTCAATCGATTAATTGTAGAAAAACTTCCACAGTTAAATCCAAACAATACAAATCTTTTATGGGATATGGTAGGATTGACAAGATGAAAGAATATCAATACCGTCGTCCACACTCTTGTGGGACTTGTCGATTTATATCTCATTTATGGTTTTGTTTAGTAGTCAGTTCGAAGCGTTTTCACGATTTCCGACATATCGTTGACAATCACAGAATTGGTTTCGTAGTGTTTGAATAAAAATAACGATTGCTAATTTCGACACAAGAAAAAGCAAGTCGAATAATTCTAAATAACGCAGTAGAACATAAATGTAAAGTATGTAGTCGAAATTCGTCTATCAGATCGGCAGCATGAAGGCGGCAACCTACTTGAGAAGAGAATAGTATTAAAAGTAATTTGGTAAGGTCGAACGATATGTTCCTGGATATTGTTCATGAAAAATTTCCATTTGGATATGTCTACAATCAGAGCTCGTCGCAGATTCATGTAATGATGAGGTTCGCCTTCTTCCGAATACAAATGTGTTGTTAATGTTGGCAGTCGAAGTGCCGTAAATGAAGGACTATCATCTGTGTGTATATTTGCTATTCGATTCACTACTTTCGTCATTTCGATATGTACGGTCGAGTCAATAACCAGTTTGATTTTGACTATAAAGAAACTGACAGAAGTCTAACTGATGGGTCTTGAAGACATAGACATAAGCCTCCGAGAAAATACGAACCGTCCAACTGAATGTGTGTGCTAATACGATGCTGTGAAAGCCTATTAATTACCAAAAGGGTAGAATCGATATTGTCAGAGTTACAAGTAAAACATTTCGATGTTTTCCATGCTTGTCGATCAATCTTACGTTGAACTGTTAGTTTCTCACACGTAAAGCCTGTGCTAATAAAATCAATGATTAATGTTAACGGTTATTTATCAAGCATATTGAATATTGGAAGTTCATTTTCGTGCTTCGATGTTAATACATCGAATAAAGTTCGATTGCATGACATATCCTTGTGAAGAACATCACCCATAAGCTCGATTGAATACAGACGTGAAAGCAAGATACCAAATTTACTAGAAAAGATAATGAAAACGAGAATTGCTAATGATACGAGTCCGCCTAGCCATAATTGTCTCTCGCCAATTAAACCTAAATGTTGAAATGTTTTCTTCTCGATCTCTTCCGTCCGGAACAGCAGTTGAGAATATCCGTGATAAGGAAAATAGCAAAGACAATGGTCAACCTAATAAAAACCCAAAATAGTGATGAGATTAAAAGGCAATAGAGAGACGATGTTGACAGCTTGAACATATTCTCGAAAATAACATCATCGAATTCGGTTGAGTCAGGTAAGTCGGGATAAGGACACGCTTGATGATGAATAGCCATCAAAAGACTAGTATCGAACAATGGATGGTCATTTGTTGTCGCATATTTAACACGAGAGTCTGATATCTATTTATTTTCTGATAATGAAACAACATTCGAATGTGCTATTTCGAGAAGACGCGGATATGGTTTTTCATTACTAAGACCATCTTGAGGATGTGAGGGTGTCATTGAGTAACGTATGCGTATACGAAATAGGATGAAATGATATTCTGATAGATTCCATAGATTTAAGAAATATTTATTTATGTTTGGGTAGGACTGAGAGGAAAATTTTAACTTATAGATAGTCCTTGAAGGCTCTCTGATAAGGGAACAATTTGGTGATGAGTATAGTTCTCCGTTTGACAGTATATCTCTTATTCAGAATCTTCGAATAGACTGATCTAATACGAATTTAACAGTTAGGCTTTCAAGCACTGATTCAGTTCTAAAAGTTTCTCTCTTCGAAAAAAATCAAGCAGTCAAATATCTCGCACTACTCTGATCAGCTGGTTAAGACTTGGTGGACAAGCATCATACATATGATAGAGTCTGAAACATTTCAACCAGTTTTCTTTCGATGAATTTTTATGAATCGAACAATATGCGATTTTGGATTACCGATAAGCCTCTCGCATTTTTGATCGTCTATGGTCAACTCTGACAAATTCTGGCATGAAAACTGAATCAATGTGGATTTCCTTCCGTTAGTGCCAACATTCAGTTTTAATTTTCCTGTATCCTTTGCAATGGCAAAAGAGTTTACTTTGTAACTAATTTATACTTCTATTTTGATCAATATTGTACGCGAATAAATTTCCGCACGAATAAAAGAGTACGAGAGAAGGCCTTATTTCTCTTCAATCTGCTCCAGTCTTCAAAATAATACATGTAGTCCTGAGGACATCACACATACCCTGAAGTTGATCAGTGATATTTGTAAGTTCTCATAGAATTTCCATCAGGTTAGCACTAGAAATGCGCTTAATAAATTTTCAAGTTGATATCAATGAAGAATAGTGCACGTTTATTGAATTAAAATCTGTTTTGACAAACAAAAAAAGCTGTTTATAAACAATCGCTGCTGATCACTCATCTTCTACATCAGAGAATGCTATGAAAAAAAAAGCTTTTTTTATACAAATTGGAAATAAATATATATGTATAAGAGATTAAAATTTAATATTCATATCTGTGCAAATATATAAAGAGGAAAACGCGATAGAATTCTTATCGACTGGAGATCAAAAATAATATCTGTCTATAGGTTTAATTGAGAAAAATCTTGTACTAACGTACTGGTCACGTCCGATGTCGACAAACAGGACAAATACCTGTAATGGATAACCAAGTGCGAACACATTCTGAATGAAAGAAATGTCCGCATTGAAGTTTTTTAACGTGTTCATCGACTTTAAAGCTCGTTTGACATATTGCACTAAACACAAACATGAAAGATTCAATTTGAGCAAAACAAAATACGTATATACCATTCAGTTTGATTGTACGGATCAGGTTCTTTACCAAATAACACCACGGGAATGGCATCAATACCTGCTTGAGTCGCTGGTGGATCTCGAGGAATATGCACAGGAGCAGACGATAACCAATTCTAAATAAATCGAATCTCTCAAAATTCGATGTCTTCATTCATTTCTTACTCGTATGACTTCAAGAAGTGGAACAGTTACCGACGCTGGCAAACAATAACTCAAAACAAACCCGAAGAACACTCCGACACAGCAAAGAATTAAAAATAATGGTACAGCTACCAATGGCGTCAGCACTCGTATCCATTCCCATATTAACAGAACCCGATATAGTGCCGGCGCATCAAGGCGACAAGGTTGACCCGAGCGCGGATGAAATAAAAACAAAGCTCCTGCCGCAAGATAATAAATAATAACGAACGAAGCAAAATAATTTACAAAATATTGAAAAGCATAATAATACGAATAAATTCGACGTCCATTAGTTAACCGATTACATAATTGACTAATGAGACCATTGATGATGTGCATAGCTGTTGTACAACTGAATATAATCAAACCAAATGATCCGTAGGTTTTCAACGGTGCGCCTGTGTATAAGCTCGATGCATTTCCATAAATACACGTGCTTTGCTCGACACTTCTCATTGCTAGACTTACGGAAAGAAAATACATTCCATTGACAAATAGAACAAAGGATATAATGAAGCATTCAAGACGAAATGAACGCCGTTGAGGTAGAACTGGTTTAGTCGGCGGCATAATCATAAGTAGAATGGTACTGAAACAAACCATTCCTACACAAAATCTCATCGTTTGACATTCGATATCTTGTGGAATATTTGAAATAACGATGTGTCCGATACCGAAAAGAACAGGTATTAATTTAAAAAACAGAAAAAGTCCGCGTAATGATGAGACACGCCGTGATTGTTCGGATTTTTCTTCTTCAGTTAAGCGATTATGACCCGGTAGAATACCACGAAAGAAGTTTAGAAAAATAATACCAAAATCGATTAAATAAAATACTAATAATGTTAATGTTGTCGATGTGAGATTATTTGATATGTGACACGTCTGATCACCTTGGTTGAGTCCAATGAAGAGAAGAATAACATCAAATACTCGATAGCATATATGGAGCAAACCTCCGCCAAACACCTGATCACAATGGACGAACAGTCTGATCCATCCGCTTTCGTTCGTACGCGTTCTTGTTGTGTCACTGTTTCCTAGTTCAACGGAATCTTCATTTGGCTCGGATATTGTTCGAGATGGCATCATGACAGATTCCATAGACATTACCAAAGAGGACAATGAATATGCGACACGTCGTCTAGAAGAAAAAAAAGAGTCAATGCCGGTGAAATATGAGAAAAAGGTGTGAATAAACGACGATATTAATTAGTCTTTAAATAATAATAAAATCTTCTATGAACTTCCTTTTTCATCCCACATTGTTTATGAGTTAGAAAATAAGATGCAGTATAGAGAGAGAAAGAGAGAGAGAGAACCGTTTTGAACTTTAGACTTGATCTCATCAGCTGTCGGCATGGCTGCTATTTTTATATTGAACAAGATCAACAGAAATAGGTTTTTCGTCTTTTGATGATGTAATGTGCAAAAATACTCAGTCATCCGAATGTTTAAATAAACATTTGAGTAATTTACACGTTAGTCGTTGGTAACATTATTGTAGAAATGAACGTGAAGAAGGAAGGAAAAGGAATGAATGTTTGAAGAACGATTGCCATAGGTTAATTCGATCGACCAACCAATTAAATCAATAATCGATAGTGGCATTACAATCGATGCAAGTATAACATGATGATGACCCCGGTTAATCGAAAAAAAATGTACTGAGTATACCGATGTTACTTTGTACTATTCGAATCCTTGAGAATGGAGAAAAAGGAAGTTTCAACAGTAATTAAAAAAGAACCAGTTCGTCAAGAACGATGGTATTTCGGTGGTTTAGCTGGTGTACTGGCTGCATGTTGTACACATCCACTTGATACACTCAAAGTTCAACTACAAACTCAACAACGTGCTGATTATGGACTCATCTGTATGGAGTAGCTTTCTATCTTTCAAGCATCTTGAAAGTTTCTGTTTTTTTTAGCTATGGCAGTTAAGGTCATACGCGATGATGGCTTCTTAGCACTTTATAATGGCTTGTCGGCATCATGCTTACGGCAGGCGACATACACTACAACACGCTTTGCTATCTATGGTGCTGTAAAATCGATGAAAACAGATTCCAATTTGAGTTTTATAGAAAAAATTAGTCTTGCTGCTGGTTCCGGTGCGATTGGTGCATTCGTTGGTTTGTTGAAGAGTTTCATATTCAACTGACAGAAGATCACTTGTCGTTGTCGAATCTATTTAGGTGCACCGGCTGATCTTGTCAATGTTCGTATGCAAAATGATTGCAAATTACCGAAAGAGAACCGTCGAAATTACAAACACGCTATCGATGGTGTCGTTCGAATCTGTCGCGAGGAAGGGCCTAAAAAACTGCTCAATGGTAAATTAATCTCCAATATTCTCCTAAACTATGTTCTTCTCGTTTATTCAGGAGCATCAATGGCTGTTATTCGTGGAGCGTTTGTCACTGTGGGTCAAATTGCATTCTATGAACAAGCAAAACAACTTCTATTAGCTAGTGGTTATTTCAAAGACGATATCGTAACTCATTTTAGCTCAAGTTTTCTTGCTGGTACATTCGTTTCGTACCATTACAGGCACAAAAGAATGTTCTTGTTTGCTTTTTCAGGTACCGGTGCCACACTATTGACAATGCCATTAGATGTGATGAAAACTCGTTTGATGAATGCGCCACCTGGAACTTATAATTCAGTTTTCGATTGCTTAAAAGATATCATGAAAGTTGGCCCCAGCGGACTATTCAAAGGGTTCATTCCGGCATTTATCCGTTTAGGTAAGAATTCATTCTTTTCTATGTTTGAATAAAAAATTCATCGAGTTTGTTCTATAGGTCCACACACGATTTTAATGTTTATCTTCCTCGAGCAATTAAAGAAACACTTTGGTTATATCAAAAAAGAAAACCAATGATTATGTTTATTTTACTCTTGATCATCGTTTCTTTGCCAAATATTCCTTTTTGAACCGATTAACACATGCTCAGTCGTATTAGCCGTAGTATTTCTAAAGAATAACAAGAAATGTACTCCTCTTCTTGAATCTTTCGAACAGAAAACATGATCTTTTGAATTTTTTTATTTTTTCGCCTCTATTGCTATTTGTAGGATGTTTCATGAATGGAATGAATATCGCAAAGATCTTCTTTATTTTCAACTAATTAAAATCGCGTTCCATTCGATTTCTTTTAGAAATGAAAAAACCGAATAGAAACAAATCGATATCTTCATCCATTCCATCAAACACATTGCCCAGTACTCTTCCAGCCGATTTAGAACTGTTCAGTTCGTATTCTCATGAACAAGTTCATATCTACGATAGACTTTCTTCAAGTATTTCATCCATTTGCGAAGTAGCCTATTGTACATCTGAGGGAATAATCGTTTGTGCACCTCAAACGTATCAACGGCGATCATCATCTTCACAAAATCTATCATCTTCTTCGTCTTCGATGCTTATCTCTCGGATAGCATATCCATTTCAATCGACAGATCAAACTAATTCTATTTCGACCAATTCTTCTTCGTATATTTTCTTCCAGAAAATCAAAACTCAACACCTATCTCGTCTATATGAAGCTTACAAACGTCGACCGACGTCATTATCATCGTTCGATCGATTACTCTGTTCAGATATAGTGCAATACAAAGGCTTTCGTCGATGTTCGTTTTCTCCATGTGATATCACATTCAATCAGGGTCAGAGCATCTTAGCGTGCATAACTTGTGCCCATGAAGTGTTCATTTACGAAATCATTTCCTCGTCGAAACGCTTCTTTCTTTCCCAATCATCGAATTTGAAATTCGACTTAACAAAATATCTTTGTGAACATACGCAACTCGACAAATATCTACACGACTCTGATAAAGAACAAGATTATCGACTACTTTACTTCCATCTGACGACAAGCATCCTTTGGAATCAGAATGGTACGTTATTATTTCAATTGCAATACTCAGGTCATGTGATTATTTGGAAATTTGATCGATTGGAAAAAGAAATTCTATCGATTTTTGATACAAACATTAGCAAACCATTAGCGATGACTTGGAATGATCAACGTCAGATTTTGATCGTTATTGGCAAAGAGAATCAACGAAAATTGATTCGAATTGATCAAATGAAGGTGTTCGACATAAGTATTAAAGAGAATGATTATATGAATGCTGAACTTGCGGAACTAAAAGAAATAAATGATAAATCCTTATTATTAATTGAAAGTAAAATGAATTATTGCATCAGTTATGAAATCTCCCTCAAAACTAATCAGGTAATGAGATTATCTTCACTTTTCATCGCTCATATTGATTTTTAGTCGTATGAATGCACGCAAATCGATCATCGTGTCCTTCCGTCATCAATTGTTGGTTTTCATCATCAACATTCTTCTCTACTAATCGGCTGCGAAGATGGTTCGATACATTCTGTGACTATCTCTCCTCAAGCACCTCCAATTATTCGTGATTTGAAGCCCATGGCTACTGGCCAAATCAAATCCTGTTCTCGTAAACCATTACTGCTTCGTCATTTTCATCTATCATCGAATGATTTACTCCTTGCGCGAGTCTTTTACTCACCTATTGTTTCGCCGAATGTCAAATTTGGCTTTGTAATCTGTACATTACATCGCTGGTCATCAACGTTAACCTTCGATGAAATTATTGAGAATTTCTTAGCAAGAGTCGATACACCTCTATGGAAATCGTCAGATGAATTAGCTGTGATTTTAAATGAAGTTATTCGTGGCACGACGCATCATTATCAACAGAAAAAGAGTGCAAACGACAATTTTCTTTCACTTCAACGACTATGTCGTTTGAATAATCTACTCAACAATACCAAACAGTTACCAATACTCGAGAATCAATTGTTACAAAATTATCGACATCAATTAGCGCAGATTTTCACTTCACATTTCTCGAAAACAGTTTCGAAACTTTCCTCGATTGAAGCATCGATTTACAACCTTTGTTGTAAAGACGATTCAATAGATTCATTGCTATGTCCTTTGTGTAATTCGACATTAACATTGACGAATAACGATCTGACATCATGTGTCTGTGTAAATAAACACGTTTGGCCACGATGTTGCCGAACATTATTACCATTAGCGCTGGAAAATGCTCAAACGTGTTCATTATGCGATCGAACAATAACAGTAATTGATGGCAATGATGAAAATTATGCTCATTTTGCAAAATATAAAGATAAAGATTTGAAATGTTTATTTTCATCTATTTGTACTTATTGTATGTGATGATATTTAATAAAAAATTAAGGAAATCCTGATAAAAGGTTGCAGATACACATGATCGTAAGCAGTATTTTCCATATCTTTCAAAGGTACCATGGTGGGTTTGTAGAAAGCATTCATATTTACCGAAATATTATAACTGGTGAAGTATGACGTCGGAAAAGTTCCCATCTGATTTGAGATAAACAACTAGTGCCATCTGTTTCCTTAGATATATGATTGGAGTTATTTGAGAAAGTTTCGAGACTAGATATATTTCTATTGTACATGGATGACCGACGGTAAACTAAACAACTTCTTTTTGTCTCATCATCTGAATATTAAAATTCTGTTATGTGGCTTCAACTGACAATTTTAACAATATTTTTCGCCTCGATCTTTTCTGCTACATCGTCTCCAGCATTGTTACCATGTTCTTTAACTTGTCTTAATCAAACACGTACGTCACCCAAACCACCGGTGTTCTTTATCAATGATACCACTGAAAATGTATTCATCTTTTTTGCGATTAATTGTAACACCACAGATAATCTAACGTATGCAAATGTGTCAATATCAATTGATAATACGCATTCAATTGAAATTCAAAATACTCTTCCATTAAATCTTCTTTCATTCGATCCAATATTTCAAAATTTAACATTCAATTTAACTGTTCATGGTACTCTTCTCGGTTACAGCCGTTTATCGTTACATGCCGAGTATCTCAATCAATCGAAATATGCATTTAATTATACAAATAATCTCAGTATTGACTTCGCCGTGAAACGAAAAAGTACAGTACTTGATACAATCTTTACTGTTGCTGTGATTATCCTGGTTTGTATCGGAACGTTCCTAATTGGTTGCCGTCTGATAACACAGAATTTGTATGCAAATATACGTCGGCCTGTTCCCATACTTATTGGTTTGTCAAGTCAATTTATATGTTTACCATTAGTAAGTTGAAAAAAGGTCTCGAATATGGTTTTTTCCTCAATGAATCGTGACTGTTTTAGTTGGCTTATGGTTTGGCTAAGTTAGCGAAACTTGATTCATCAACAGCGATTGGATTGTTATCAACTGGTTCAGCACCAGGTGGTGGTGCATCGAATATGTATACGGCTATGTATGGTGGCGATGTTGATCTTTCGGCTTCAATGACATTCAGTAGTACAATACTTGCATTTGGTTAGTTTATCTGTTTGTTTTGAACGATTTGAACGTTACTATTTTGTTATTTTGAAGGTACATTTCCATTGTGGATTCTTCTATTAGGTCGAGAATTTATCGATACGCATAATGTACACTTTCCGTAAATATTTTGTGGAATGATTTGGATAGAAGATGTTTTTTTGAGAATGTTCTAGATGGGAAAATATGTTTGCAACGTTGATTTGCTTAATTGTGCCAGCTGGTAAGAGAGAGAATTGAACAAAAATAGCTAATTGAATTGACTTTGAAGGTATTGGTCTGTTGCTTCGTTGGCAAAAGCCTGGAATTGCCGATCGCTTCACCCGATTTCTTCGATTTATCACCTTATTCTTTATTTTATACATCTTAACCTTCGGTATTTACACTAATCTCTACGTATTCAAATTGATCAATTTTCGAACTGTAATCGTCAGTGCAATTTTACCTTACACTGGCTTTCTTATTGGATTTCTCTTGTCACTCGTCACTCGACAAAATACAGAACGTCTCATTGCCATATTTATCGAAAGTGGTACGTCATCATATCTCGCCTTTAGCTAAATAACGTTTCTCTTTCGTTAGGCTTACAAAACACAGGCGTTGCCATCTTTTTTCTTCGTCTATCTCTTCCTCAACCGGACAGTGATCTCGCTATCGTTGTGCCAATTTTTGTACGTAGAATTTCGTGTTCGTTCATCCACCTTCTCATTGACATTTCTTTCAGGTTGCTATCGCAATCCCTATTCCACTTCTGATTATTTATACATGCTTAAGTATTTATCGACGTTATCAAAAACGACATGATCTAGTAACAAGCATCAATGAAGAACACAATCAGGCAGATTATGAACAATTACCTAATAGTGATAATGACCAATAGTTTCTTTCTTTCTGTTAATTAATAAAAAGATTTGTTACTTATTCGGGCTTTTTCTTTCTAGATGGTTTAGGATAAATGACGAAGTTCATTATTTTTTCTTTGATTTTGTTTGCCGTGCAGTTTTCTTCCTCTCAATCTTGCGACATTCAGTTTGACGATGTCGATGATCATGAAGTCATTCGTCGTGTGCACGAACGTGACATTTTTAACGTTACAGGGCAACTGAAATTTTGTCCATCGGCACTCAGCGTACGGAATGTGTCAATAACAAATCCACTATTGAAAAGATTGAGTATTCTCAATGTTACATATTTTATTGAGCCGAATCGAATCAACATCACTGCACTGGCCCGTCTAATTGGCTTTGCACCATTGACAGTACATCTGTATTTTGAAAATACTAATCAATTTAGGTAAGAAAGACTACTTGTCTGATGAATCAAACTATTATTTGAATAGACCTGATCGTTCTTTATCGCAAAACATCACCAATGAGCAAATTCGTTGTGCACACTCCTCTCCGCAACGGACAGAAATTCTTCGAAATTGCCCAAAACTTCAATATAAAGATGGATTTTATGTTCTTAATCATACAATTAATATTGCGATAAAGCGACATCAGTCCATCATTGATGCTTTATTCATCGGTGTGGTAGTTTTGCTTGTTACCGGGGGCACATTGTGCATCGGTTGTGGCTTGGATATCGAACAGTTGAAAAATAATTTCAAACGGCCGATTCCATTGATTATCGGACTCTTCTGTCAACTTGTTTATTTACCATTACTATCCGTGGCAATATCGAAAGTTTTTCGATTAGATGATCCGACAAGTTTAGGATTGTTATCAACAGCGAGTACACCAGGTGGTGGCTCATCTAACATTTACACCGCATTGCTCGCCGGAGATGTTGACCTTTCAGTGTGTCTAACATTTCTATCTACAACAGTAGCATTCGGTACATTTCCTCTTTGGATTTGGTCTCTCGGGAAGACTTATGTCGATTTTTCCAAAGCAAAATTTCCCTGGTGGAATATGTTTTTGTCGATAATAACCCTGTTTCTTCCAGCCATGACTGGATTGTTACTGCGTCGATATCGACCAGTATTAGCACATCGAATCGCCCGTTTCCTCAATCCGATTGCCGTTGGTAAGTTTGAACTTCCTTCTCCAATCAAAAGGAAAGCTTCCAATGACTCTCTTATTTTCAGGTTATCTCGTCTTCATTCTAACATTTGGAGGTACACTGGATTTTCTGCACAGGTTCCTCTATTCCATCATTTTCCGTTTTAGTTTATATCAATATGTATATATTCTACATCATCGATTTCAAAGCAATTGTTGCTTGTTGTTTTCTTCCCTGGCTTGGCTTTATCGGAGGGGCAATTGCATCATTAATTGGAGTTCGCGATAAGAAAAAAACAATTGCAATTTGTATTGAAACAGGTATTCAAAATACGGCTGTTGCAATCTTTTTCCTTCGCTTGACATTTCCTCAACCGGAAGCCGATGTCGCTCTGGCTAACCCAATCCTTGTCTCAATGGCAACACCAATACCATTCTTAGTCTTGGTTGTGACGCGATCGTTGATGAAACGGTTTACTTTCTGCCGAAAATTTCTACCGAAGAAAGCTCAACGGAAAGCCGAAAAGAATGATGCGAAAGAAGACAAACCTGAAAAAGCGTTGATTAAAGAATTACTCGACGAAAATAAAACGGACGATCAACAACCGGCTGGTCAGATGGAGAAAACCTCACTATGAACACTCCTCATTTGTTGTACGTCAATTTTGTATCGTTTTTTTTTGTTGAACTTTAACCCAAATAATGTGCTTCAGTTCTATAGATTATTATTCGAATAAAAAATAAAAAACAAAGTTTCATGTAAGCCGAATAAGCGATGGACTTTCAGACAAGAAGAAAAAATAGACTTTACACAAGACATCGAAATGAGAGCATGTCCGTTGTTTAAGGGGGACTGGTGACAAGACCGGCAACACCACGGCCTAGTTGTTGACCAGCGACAGCACTTTCCAATGGTTTGAAGCCAATTTCTTCAACAGGGATACCAAACTGACGTAGTTTGGCTTCATATGTTCGAAGAATATCATTATGAGCTTTGCAAACACGTGCTAATTCGTATTGTAGATCACGAATCTAAACAAAGAAGTAGATAAGTGATTAAATCCGTAGTTTCTTACCGATGTATTCTTGGCGTCGAGTACTTCCTAGAAACAAACTTCAATTAGAAAGCAAACTTCGATGGAAGCATGAAACTGACCTCGAGTTTTCTTGTCACAACCGAAAGTGAAGCTGGATCAAGATTGGACGCCGAGAGGACTTCGTTCAATTGTGCTTCTTTCTTTTCCAAACTATCTGCCAATGTGCTTAATTTCTTTTCTAATAACAAATTCTTCAGGCTGCTCTTCTGTTGAACTTCATTGATCGCTTTAACGAATTTATTGTAAAGATCGTCGCGTTCTTTTTGAATCTGAAAGGAAATCCTTTGTTGTCAACGGAAGTACAGTTCACAACACTCAAACTTACGATTTCGAATCGTTGCAACAAGACTTCATACTCCCATTGTGAGTTTTTCAATTCGCTTTCGGTATTTTTCAACAATTTCTTCGTGCTCTACATCAACAAGTTCATTATGCGATGAAGATTAGTCATCGAAACTATCCCGTACCTCTTGTAGATTTCTCATTTTCTCGAAATTATCCGCTTTGTGTTTGAGAATTTCCATTTCTTTTCGTGCGGCTTCCAATGGCTCACGCATCTTGCGATTTTCACTTTCCAATTCATTCATTCGTTTCAGCAGACGTTCTTCTTCTTTCTTCTTGTTTTCGACTTCATTCTAAACAAGAAAATCTTATCCAAACAAAAGTCAACTGGAGAGGAATTCTTACTTTCAATGTATTGATAAGATTCAGATTGTTTAATGTAATATCATTGTAATAATTCTTAATATCACTGAAGGCTTTTTCATGATTACGTAAGAGATCGTTGATCTGTTGATTTTTTCGTTCTTCAATTTCGTGGATTTCGGTTTTACGACGTAATTCCATTTCCTCGCGGAGATCGCGTAGTTTCTTCTCGTATTTCTCTTCGATTTCGCGAGCTTGTCGTAGAAAGTCGTCGCGTAATTTAGATATGTACGTTTCATTCGTCTAGTAAAGATAAGAATGTTATGTGTCAAGCGGAAGAAACTACTCGATTAAACAAACCTTTTTCAAATTGCGAACGACTTCCTGTTGAGCCAGTTCTTGATCTTTCATCTGAACTTTGAGTTCACGTTTTTCCTTCCATGTTGTGTTTTCCGTTTCATTATGTGTCTCTTGTGCGACTTTCAATTCAGCGAGTGTTTCAGCTTTCAGCTCTGAAATGTTATTCTGTTGTTCGTAGAGCAAATGTTTGACTTTTTGTTTGTAAACCTAACAACGAGAATAATGTATTGGAAAGTTTTGGGAAAGTCATCTGACTTTGACTTCAGCTTGATGCTGTTCTTCCGCATCTTCTAATTCTCGATCTTTGTTTCTCAATTCTGCCTTTTTCTCTTCGAGTTGCCGCTTGGTGATTTCCCAAAATGTACTGATACGATCACGCTCCAATTGAAAATAATTTCGCTCTTCACGTTCGCGATCAAGTTCTTCACGAATACGACCCAAGTGGTCTTCTAATTCCTCTTTGGTCATCTGCAGATTTACACAAAACAAAATCGATGTGAGAAAGAAATACGAATAAACCGTCGATCTACCTCAGAGACGGGACGGCCATCGATGATGGTTGGTCCTTTCGATGCCTTCTTTCCCTTTTTCTTCTTGCCACCTTTCTTCTTTGGAGCCTAAAAGGAATTGATTGTAAAATACGAAACTTTCTCGTTGCCCCAGCTGGTAATTAGAGTTGAAGGCAAACTTACCATAACAGTGATCTACAACAGAATAAAATTTGTATGTTTATAGAAGAGAAAAAAATATAGTTCATCGACACCCTTCGTCTTCTAGCAACAGCCTCTTCCATTACATCTCTACTCTTAGAGGTCATTAAGCATCATCGAGTGCGATTGGCTGAAATCGTCAACTGCTGCATTTATGAATTTGTGTCTGATTTCCGGCAGGTATACACACCGATGAAAGCACACCAGAAGAGTTGTTCGTTTTGTGCACTTGACGGTTCTGTAACAGAATGAATTCATAGACTGGGAGAGAGATGTCAAGTCACAAGAAAATGGTGCTTGCTAAAAACTTCTATAAGATTAGAATATTTTCGAATAGTCATATAGGTTCATCAAGATTATTGTGACTATTATTTACAGGTCATTCAAGAATAAGCAGTCGTACATAAGAACATATTCTTGTACGAGAATCTTAAAGGCTGTGCTCATCGCTTCTGACTCTAAAGGGTTGTTTGCTTCAAAAGTTGAAAATATCCTAGAAAACAAGTAACACAGCACCTGCAATACCTACCTATATTTTGTGAAATTGAATGCGGTAGAGAGGTGACATCTATAATTTCTACGCGAATAAACTAAGAATAAAAGACAGGAAATGGTTTTTCCTTTGAAAAAGTCACAAATGTTGATATTTGTTCGGAAGACATCACTATCACAGATCATCATAGTGACATTGCTTTGATTGGATTTCTATGAATGTATTCACGGAAGAAATCGTGATGAAAGAGAGAGAAGAGTCAGCTCGAGAGCATAGTGTAGTGTGGCTTTTAGGTTTAGAACATGAGCAATGAGTAATATTCTTATTCTAATCAGTATATATTTCTCTCTTTTATTCTCTAACAATCTGTAGTGCGTTTGTGAGATTGCATCCACTTGATTAGACAAATTCTTGAAAGATCGACGAGATGAGTTGAATATTGATCCGTAAAGTACTTGTTTCTTTTTGATAAAATTAGATAAGAGAGTGTTTGATTAACTAACCTCTTATGAAAGAATTTTTGTCTTTCTACTTCAGATCCGATTCAATGAGTCAAAAACCATCAGGTGAACAAGGTGATTTTATTGCCGAAGCTCAGCTAGCCATCGACGACGTTGGCGCCGGTATCGTCGCTATTAAAGAATTATCAAAGCGTTTAAATGATCCTTCCGATATTACAACAGCTTACATCAATATAAAGTCAAATAAGAACAAAGAATTTTGCATTGAACTATCACCGAAAGGTTATCGTATTGTTGGCAATCAATTCGATGATAAAAGTCAACCATCCGAAGTTTATTACGAATCTCTTCAAGCACTTCTAACAAACGAATCTAAATCTTATGTCGATAGTTTTGCAGAAAGCTTACAGCAAAAGTTATTCGCAGCACAACAGCAAAAAAGCGACGACGATGATGATAATGATGATGATGGGGAAAGCGCTAACGTTAAACAATAAACAGTTCGTTCCATTTTCTTTTCTTCCGCCTGATTTTGATCTTGTATATTTTAACTAAACGAAAAAGAAAGATACGTGTGCTCGTGCATAGTTTACATCCAACACATCTCGTATTCTAGATGGATCATCGCAAAGTTGCACCAATGGAAATGTATTCCGTTGCTCGGCATCAATTGGAATTTTATAAGAGTGTTCTTTGTTATCTCCGATTTCATATACCATCCTTCTCTCTTTCACAATGGCAAATTCGCATCGAACAAGCCATACGTTCGACAATCACCTCTCAGCCACGTTTACGTCTTCAAGTTGACGTTGCACGAAAAGAACCCTTCTATATTGTTCTACCGATGGATGTTTTCGATGTGTTACCACTGAAAATTCTTGAAAGAACGCATGACGATGAAGAGAGAGAATTCTTAGAAAACGTTGTAACTGATGAATGTAATACCGGTTTTCCACTTAATTCAACTTCACCTTTGTGGCGCATTGTGTTGGTTGTCCCATCTCATGGAGATACGGTAGATTTGATTTGGACGTACAGTCATGCACTAGCCGATGGAATATCAGGAATGGCTCTTTTCACGAGTTTTGTTCGGTGTCTAGCAGAGAAACCAACTGTCATCTTTACTCTCGACAAAGATCAACCGATGAATGAATTGATACCATACAAATTACCTCCATTGTCTTCATTGATTATGAAAATCGTGGAAAATCTGATTCTGCCAGGCTTTCTTAAGCAACATTTGTTTCCGCAGACTTTTTGGGCGGGTAATATTCAATTAACTGGTGATGAGTGGAATCGAACTCGGCAAGTGTCGTTTCAAATACCTGGTGATATACTTGATTCGTTGCATAAAAAATGTCGATCGAAACAAACGACAGTTCATGCCGCTCTCTTGGCTTCTTTTATTCTAGCCGTAACTGATGTCTTTGGCAAGAAAAATATGGAATTCTCGTGTGGTTCTGCAGTAAATATGCGACGTTTTTGTCACCCAGTGGTTTCCAACGAACAAATCGGTATCTTTGTTTCTGCCGCACCTAGTTATCATTACATTCCTTATAGTGAGCATCTATCCGATCTCTTTTGGCCATTAGCTGGTCAGATCAAAGAACAAATTACTCAAGAAATCGAAAATGAAACTATTTCTTTCATTCACACATTGAAATTTGTCTCCGATTGGAAAGAAATGCTTATTAAACATCGAAAGACCTCTCCAAATGGTTATCGTAGTAGCGTGGAAATTTCAAATTTGCTCCGTTGGACATTCGAAACAACCGATCCAACATGGAAAGTCCTTTCCGGCGGTTTCGCTCAATCCGCAAATCTCGTTGGTGGCACATTTGTCATCAGTGCAGTGACCGTCAATGACATTTTAGAAGTAATTGTGGGCTTTCAAGAGCACACGTTTAACGATGTTGACCAAGTGAAATTGATGAAGAACAGAATGAAGACGACTCTAGTCGATGCTATCTCCCTATAGGATAGACGCAACTAACGTCAACTATTCTTTGAACGGCTGACCTTTGTACGTTTACTGGCGTCCTCTGTCAGTTGTATTTTTATTCTCTTTCGTCCTTTCAGATATGAGAGAGAGAGAAAAAAGCTGAATAGATATATGCGTCCATGCTACTGCGTGTTTTATTCCTTCTCTCATTCATTGGATTCGTTGTATTTTTCTTTTCTACCCAGTAGACAGATCGATCATTGTTTGACCGATTCATTCACATCGTTCTTCTCTTCTTCAACGTCCGTCTGCCCGCAATAACTTCCGTTACTGCTTCTCTTTCTGCCAATATACGTAGTTGTACTAGTTCATTTTAGATCTAGAACGCGACGATCATGGTGAATACATCTTCAAAAAAACGCCCTATGGAACATGGCTCAAGTAGTGAAGAGTCTGAATCTGAAAATGAGTATCAAGTCGAGGCGATTATTGACAAGCGCACAAAAGGAAAAAAAGTGCAATATCTTCTCAAATGGAAGGGCTATTCCGATGCTGATAATACTGTAAGTAATAATGTCAATAGTACTCGATTGGCCAGCGAGAGAGTCGTATATAGAAGTAATCGATTTGTCACAGATGAATTCATGTGTTAACGAGGTGATAGAGAGGTTAATTGTATGATGCGAGAAAGGTGATTATCACGTTGAGTTTTGCCTTTTAGTGGGAAAATGAGACGAATATGAACTGTCCTGATCTCGTTCGACAATTTGAAGAGAATTACAAGAAGAATAATAATGAAAGAAAATCAAATGGAAAAAACGAATCGAAGACGAGAAAACGATCGACAAAATCGAAGAAAGCTAAAGTCGAAGCAAGCGACGAAGAAGATCATTCAGATGGAGAATCATCAAAAGCCAATGACGACGAGTCCGGAAAAACTCGTGATCACAATGTCAGCAGTGCTTCGCCTACTGCAACCCATGAAGAGTTGATGACGAGTAATTGTGAATCACTGGAAAGAACTCGTCTTCGATCAGCATGTAAATCTCTGCTCATCAAGTACATTCTTCACACACAGACTGTCATTTTTTTTAGCAAAGGCCGAAAGTGCGAATGGGGAAGTCGTTCACGAAGTCAAGGTATCGACAAATGGCGACTATGTCAAAACAACTAACAATGGCTTCGAACTAGTTAATAAATCTTCACCAGTCAAAGAGAATAGTGCCAATGAATCACCAGTAAATCTTCGTCTTCGCATTACACCAAGTGCTGCATCGTCACCATCGATCACATTGAACGATAGTGATAATAATAACAATATGAACAACAAGTCGACAGTAGAAAATGAAGTTAATAACCATAGTCATGACCTTGACACATTCGAAATGATTAATGACGACGAAGAACCAGTGGAGAAGATTGAAGGTGTCCGAAATGATCAAAATGGAATATCTTTTCGTATAAAATTATCCGGAAAAACCGAGACAGAATGGATGTCGGCGAAGGTTGCCAATCGAAAATATCCGCAAGCTGTAATCGCTTTCTGGGAGAGTCACGTCGAATTCACATAATCAACTCGGAATCAACATGCTCTTTTGCTTTTCGTTGTACATAATGTATCTTTTTCTTGTATATACCTATAGATTATTAAGTGTAGCATGTTAATTCATAGAGTTCTAAGTATTCTGCTTCCACTATAGATAATACATCTTATTTGTAATAATTAATCATTATTTGTCGTGTTTTGAGAAAAAAAATACAGAGAGAATAAACTCGTTGTCGGCTCTTTCGGATTCGATTTCTTTTGATCGGCTCGAGCACAAATTGAAAACCACTAATCATTTTCTATGTCATTGGAAAGGAGAATTTCGCTTTATAGTTTATCGAAGCTAATCATTGATGATGAGATAAGCAAAATAGTTTCTTTTCTATTGAAACATGAAGAAAGAGAGTGTTTGATATGCAACTGAAATACAATGAAAAATACACGCACACACAAGAGAGATGCATCGACCGGTGCAGCATTATTCGGAACACAAACGGATGGGACTGAATTGAAAGAAACTCGATGAATTCCTTTCGCGAGAGGAATTTATCTGACAGAAACCATTCGTCTGTCAAAGATTGGTCGCATTGTTTGATCGCTGGACGGAACAGTATCTTGTTATTGATGTATGTTCTTATTAATGGTCATACTACTTGATAGAGGTTGATTATCATCGGTATCAATGTGAATAGAACGCTGCGAGCGTTGTAATGATGAACGAGCGGATTGTCGATTATGATTTCGTTTGTAAGTTGGGAAGAGATGTGTCTGCTGTTGATTCTCATTCGTTCTTCGCAGACGAGTCGGAACCGTATTGGAACGATGATGAGAAATTGTCGGACTTGTGCGATGTAATGTGAGTGTGCTCGTATGGGCGCTTGATGAAGGATAAATATCGTTGGCTGGACTAGTTTTTGTGAGGAAATCGTTCGATTTTGAAATAGTGATTGTTGATAACGAAGAAGTTTTCGTTAATGACCTAGATTTGCCTAAACACACGATCAGATATATAAGAACAGAAAGTGTTGTGACAAGAATCAAAACAAACCTTGCTGTTCATCTTCGTCCGTTACTCCGGCGATCGAATGAAATGTGAAATTTGGTGGTAATGATAATTGTTTTGTCAATGGAAAGTAATGCATGTTATTCTCATTGAGAAACTAGAAGAAAAATGGTGAATAACTAAACAGATCAGAATGCATAGTAGTTTACATCAAGTTCTTTGTCATCGAGTAAGGGTTGTTCGGCATAATTTCGATCTTGTGCATCCGCTTCTAGTTGCCGTTCGATTTCTTCGTCGATTTCTGCATCATCGGCCAGCATACGATTCGATTCCTAGAAAAGAATATGACTTTCCTATGAAATCACTAACTTTCATGACTTACATCAAGTTTCTTCATCAAGACAGCAACGACGACATTAACAAGAACGAATTGAGCCATAAGAACAAAAATAACAAAATAAACTGGAGCTATAGCAGTCATAAAGTGATTTTTAGTAGTATGTTGTGAGTCATCCTGACGAAGTGCATCCTACATCGCCAAAGAAGAAACTTGAACATCGGAAATGACTTTCTTTGAGAAAATTTCTACCTTCATAATTCCGTTCCAATTATCACCAGTTGCAATACGAAACAATGTTAAAAATGCCATACCGAAGTCTTTGAAATGTGCATGTTTATCAAGTCCATTACACGGACGTTCATCACTACATTCTAATTTACCAAATAATTCAACGCCGAGTGCGGCGAATATGAAGAAAAGAAGGAAAAATAAAAGACCCTAAACATTCAATAAATAGAAATCAAAATGGATGCAATACAATGTTGCACCTACCAAATTTCCAACTTGAGGAAGAGCTTGAATGACTGTATCGAGTAAGGCTCGAATGCCTTTCGCCATTTTCAATAATTTAAGCACTAAAACATCAATGATCAAATCTAATTGAACATCTTCGCTTCTTTTCACTATACCTCGCGCAATTCTCATTACTCTCATCACACGTATCAGTGTTGGATTGATTGGAAGTACTTGTCCACTTTTCATTTTCTCCATGACAATACCCGCTATTGACAGAACAACGATGACTGTGTCCAACTGATTCCATCTACGATCAAATCTCATAAAATTTCTTCTTGAAACTTCTTTTCGTCTTACTTCTCTTTGAAATAACGCAATGGTCCTAAAGCGATGATTTTCGAGATGGATTCCAGTATAAAAACGCTAGTAAACACGAAATTACAATAATCTAACGCCGTATCAATTTCCTAGAAAACAAAACGAGAGATTTCATCCAACAAAAGCCCAACGGAATCTCACTTGTGGCATTAAATAGAATTCTAATGACATTGTCACAACATTTAAACCAATAACAGCTGCGATAATTAAATCAAAATATTTACTACTACATATATCATGTAAACGTCTTCTCCACGGCGAGAAATGTGCGTAATATGGTATCTCTCTCATCCGTCGTCGTTTCCGTTCGATTTTCTTTGCACGTTTAGCTGTTCGTCGTGCCTTTTCTTCTCGTTCTTGCTCAGCACGGCATTTATGAAAGTTTTCCACAACGACACCGACGAACATGTTCAAAACAAAGAAGCCAACAAGTAATAGAAATGAAATGAAATACACTAATTTAGCTTCATTATAATTTCTTATCGGTTGCCGATCGACATCAACAGCATCGATGCCATTATACATGATTTGTACCCAACCGTCTCGTGAGGATAAAACGAATAGAGCGAGTAATGCCTATGCGTGACACAAATGTCGAACGGAGTTTCTATCATTTGAAAAATGACTTACTTGACCTAAATTATCGAAATTGTATTGCTGGTTTTTCCAACGATGATCGGGCATATCAAGGCATTCTTGACGCGTTGTAACATTACGAGCAAATAGACCTTCACAGTAGTAGAATTTGCCTTTGAAAAGCTACATAAAACCAAGTAAAATTTAATTCATTCCACAATGAAGATTTACTTGAACGCCTAAGATACCAAAGATGATGAAGAATGTACAACAAATAACAACAATATGACCGATAGGTCTCAGCGATGACATCAATGTTTGTACTACGAGTTTAAGACCTGGTGCACGACTGATGACTAGAAAATGAAAAAAATCCGGATAAAATCAATGAATCTTCATTGTCTAACCTCTCAGCGGTCTTAATGTTCGTAAGAGACGAAAAACTCTCAACATGCTAAATATTCGTGTTGCTGCATCCGACTCAACGTTCGGCATATGTGTTGTTGTTGTTGTTGTGGGTATTGGTCCCCGATGCATTGTTAACAAATCAACGATCGATATGATCACTAGTGAACCATCCATAACATTCCATCCTGTATGGAGGTAAGCGTTTGGTCCCCACATCAATCCACAAGCGATCACTTTTGTCATCATTTCAATGGAAAATATCACTGTGAATATGTAATTTGTAATGTTCAAGAAATATCGTTCCTAGGAAAACTTCGATTTCTAGTTGAATTAGTGAAAACGATGGATGACATACGGTGCTGTGTGTTGGAATTGACGGACGTTCCATGGCGAGTGTGATACAGTTGAGTGCGATGAAGAAGAGAATTGAATAGTCGAAAGATTTTCTGACGATTAAACGTTTTAAGAATTGCCGAAATCTAGAAAAGATGATTGCTGAACTTTCAATAGAGATGTCTTTGTTTAAATTACCGATTTGAAGGGGAGAACAGATAAAGTGAGTAATCGTTTCGTTTCTCAAGATATCTGAAGAATTGATCATTACAGATGCGAATACAACATAAACGACCGAGCTAAAAGTAGAGAACTGAAATTTTCCATCGGATCTCATTGATTAACTTACTCCTATTCTCTTTTGAACTTTCTCTTTTCCGGTTTCATCTACTTGCATATCGCTTTGACCATTGATAATTGTTTGCATTGTAGAGTCCGTATCAACGACAAGTCGTATGGAATTATCTGAGAGTGGCGGTTGTTCATGATGTTCAGGTGTGCCGTACAAACTCGGTGTTTCGACCTGTGCAATCGTATTGGATGATTCATCTATTGCTGATCGTTGGGAATCGGTCAATGTCTCTTCCTGAGTACTGGAGCGTTTTCTTAATGGTCGTTCAGGATTTAGAAAGTTTTCGCATATAGAGGAATCGCCCTCGATAGTTGAATATGGTCGAGGTTTGTAAAAACTCGTGGGCCGCTTCCGTATGGTATTGTCAAGAGGATTTTTCACAACAGCTATTGTATAACTTCGTTTTAATGGCATGGAAAAGTCTGTCGATTGTTCAAACGATTCGTTTTGTGTTGATCCGAAACATGTGTGAAAGCTTTGACTAGTCGTCGATGATGACGGCGATTGAGGTTGGGACGAACGTGTTTTAATGATTGATTTATATGGCGACGCAGTTGAATTTGAAAACGTATGGATACGTGGTCGACTTTCGAGAATACGTAAACTAGCATCGTCCTCGTTACTGATGGCAATTCGTGGGATGCTCATAATTTTCACTTCTATTCAAGAAGAGAACAATCGGTGACGATCAAAATTTGAAACATGACTTACCGCGAGTTCGTGGAAGTTTTGTTTCTTTATTACTGGCGGTTTCATCCGTGATCAGTTCGTGTGGGTTCGCTGGCACTTCAATATCACCGGTAAATAGTGCTTGTGTCTAGTGAAGAAAATATCCATTTGCACATGAAAAACTATCCTTGCGTCTCTTCTTACTTTGAATGGATCCGCTCTGGCTAATCTATCAGTACTACTTCCCGCTTCCGAAGCACCACTTCCTTTCTGAATTGAATGGAAAGAAAAAGACTTGTATAACCACTAGATGAGACAAACAACTACTTACTTCGGTGGAGAATCCTTCAACAAGAATAGCAACTAATAGATTAAACAAAACATAGTTTCCAAATGTCATCAATGCAATGAAATATAAAGCTGCCCAAGCACTGGTTTTTTCCATTCCATTATAAAGGACTTCGTTCCAATCTTCTTGAGTTAACACCTAAGATTATCAAAGAACACATTAGATGATATAGCGCATTATTCCGATGATCAAACATTCAAAGCAGGGCTTGGACAAACCGATGCAGAACAATAGCGAACATTTGTTTTCAAGAAAAGGGTAATTCGTCTTTTTTGCAGATTATCTGTACCTGAAAGACAGTTAGAACTGCCCCAGTTAGCGTATCGAAGTTTTTTCTCTGTTCCACACAAGTCAAATCTTTGAGATGTGCACTCTTTTTCAAGATTTCATATTCACTACATGTACAACATCGACATTTCATATTTATTTCTTGTCTGGACGTTAAATTCAATGCTTGAATTGTCGAGAATTCACCGCCAAACAAATGCATACCAAGAATACTATAGATAAATAGGCGAACATCAACAAAACAATATACAAAGCGAACGAAAACGAGCGACAGTGAGAGACAATATGAAGGATTATCTGATTACTTGAAAAACGGTTAGAATAGCCCATAGAAGTGAATCGAAGTTCTTTCTCGAACACTCAAATTCCAGTTTCCCACTATGTTTTACTTCGATATATTTGCAAAATTTACAGCCGAAAAGATTCATTCCCAAAATACTGGAGAAGAAAGTTTTTAATTCGATTAAACATAGAACAAATGAAGGGCAAATCTTCCAGTAAACACTTACCTAAAGATGAAGATAAATAGTAACAATAAGGAGAAGAATGTCGCGACATTATCCATTGTCTTAAGCATAACAACCTACAGCAAAAAAACGTCATTGTTTAAGTTCAAAATTTCTCGTCCGCTTAATCAAATCATCAGCATGGGATTCCTCGTCAAGATCAAAGAAGTCATTCTTATTTGATCAATCATTTGCTGATCAAAGATAACCTTGACAGGTACTCACCAGTTGCCTTCGTAATGTTGGCATAAATCTCACTAATTTCAATACTCGTAATAGTCGAAATGTTCGCAACACCGATAAACCACTATTCTTGTTTCCTTGCAATTCAATCACACTCATTAAAACAATTCCGCCGTCGAATAAATTATAAGCACTTTTGATATATTTCAAACATCCATCGGCGATGATTTTCAAAATCATTTCGATTGCGAATAGAGAAGTAAAGACTAGGTTACTATATTCTAATGCATTGGTTAATTCTATCGGTTGACCGTGATACTCGATGCCCATGGATAGGGTGTTGATGACGATTGCAGAGAGAACGATGCGACGAAAGTATTTACTGCCAACGAAGTTTGAAACATGTTTTCGAACGAAGTGAAAATGCGACCAAATGTATCGGTCACAACATAGAGAAAATTTCGATTTTGGTTTAACATGATGGTGATGATGTTCTTCGTCAGACTCTTCATCGTCTTCCTGATCATCCGAGTGAACAGTAATATCATTTTTATGAACGCAATTGCATGGACTCTCTTCGAATTTGACCGGTAGTTTATTTAACATCAATGTATTATCAAGTTCAGCTGTGATCGACGGTAATTGTGGAACACTTTCGATATCGATTATCGCATTCGACGTGTGAATTGGATCGATGATATCAGATTGTTCCGGACTAGCTGCAGGTGCGTCAGCAAATGACGGACAAAGCGAAGGGGGTGTGGGTAGAGACATCGAATCAGTCAATTGACGATATCGACAGTTCGGTTGATGATTGATATGAACCGTTGGTAAGATAGATGAGTTCTCGTATAAACTTGGATTGACACATCCTTCAGCTCGTGTTGATTTATTGTTGAGTTTTTCCCTTCGACGACGTTTTTTCATTTCAACTGATCGTTTTTTACTGGCCTACACAATAACAAATCTTTTTTCGATTGACCGTTCAGAAATTTGATAGATTAATCGCATGTGAATGATGTCTTCCAACGGAACTAGTGATTCTTTTGTTTACATGAAATGTTCTCAATGCCTTCTAGGCTTCCAAAGCAGGTGGTTAGCGGATTATTTGCATTGAAATCGCCAGAGGGAGAGTCTAACTCATACATCAAATAAAAGAAATCTACTATTGGAAAACGAAATACTATTAGTGGGAAAATCGCATTACTTCAAAGTCAAGTTCCTAATCGACGAGCATTTTTCTCGAAGTACAGCTTTTATCTGACGAGAATCTAATTCTGATTGACATCGGATGTATTAACTAAACATTTCATGTCAAAAATCATTATACGACCGGGTTTTTTTTTCCTCTCCTCCGCACCACCTTGGAATGTGAACAACATTTCTCAATTGTCAGAAGAACTCTCGACCTCTACATCGTGCTAGACCAAAAGAGAAGCGCATACGCACTTTCGGATGTTTTTCACGATAATTCTTCCAATATATAAGCAACCGTTTCTGCCCATGTTTCCACAGACGTTCGACATATTTGATTGTTTCCTCCCAACACGAACCCGGCTCATCGCTCAGTAACGTGCTTGACGAGCGGGAAAAACGTCGTCGTTCAGCCAACATTCTTTCCGTTTCACGTTTTTTCGTTTCGCTGAATTGCGTGGCGATAACCACAAGACATAGATTAATCATAAAAAACGAGCCAATAACAATCAAACAAACAAAATAAATCCAATCCCAAAATGAATGAGCATCTTGAATATAATACATTATATTCACCCAACTTTCCAGACTGATTATCTAGCGAAAGAAGGAGAACTAAAGATGAATGAAAGAATGAATTGCTCACTTGAAAAATAACAACCCAAGCTAATCCAATATTATCAAAACTAATCGAACCGGAATAGGGATTTTTATCAGAGACATTACAGAACTTGTAATACTGATTCCAATTAATACAGCCATTGATTGATTTATTTGGATCTTCGGAGATTTCTTTTTTAACCGCATAGAAATCCAATTCACACGTAAGATTTCCTTTTCGTAATTTGGGTATTTCGGAGCATTTCGTCATTCCGTTCGACTGTGGATGCGAACAAACGAATGAATCTTGATCCGGTGGCATATAGAACGGTCGATATTGAAAATCTCTACAAGAAAACAAATAAAGACGAAGCAAATCTCGCAACGACATACTTGAACAATGGATGGTCGAATTCAGTCGTTATGTTCGGTTGTAAAAAACAACGATTGCGTAATAGACCTTTCCACAATTGTACACCAACAATACCAAAGATGAAGAAGACGAAAAAACAAAGAAGTAAAACATTTCCAAGCATTGGCAACGTATCAAGTAGTAACATGACCAGTATACGCATGGATGGGACACGATTAATTGCACGTAATGGACGAAGAACACGAATCGTACGAATCGCTGATAAACTTAGATTATCACCTGGAATAACTGATTCGATTAGACTAAAACGAGAAACATGAAAGAATAACTCAGATGAGATCATACGGATGAATACAAAGATTCATTAATTCTTTTTCACTTTGAAAAAGAAGATTGTTCTAAAACAAGATACTAACATATTCTTGAAATGAAAAACTAGACTAATCGTGGTCAAACGCACTTCTCAAAGCGATTCCTATCAGTTAAATCAATATGTATATTGTTACTCAAACAAACAATGGTTTCAGTCACGATGACACCAAGATTTCATAATAAGATCCTATTAGTATGAAGAATAATTTATTCAAGAAAAAAAAAAGAACATGCCCTCATCGGAAACTTATTGACAAAGCAGGCAATTCTATCAGAACATCTGACTTACCCAGTAACAACAATAAAACAGTCCAACCGATTCCATGTATCAGCTAAATACGTTCCTTTACCAAATATGCCCATGGCTGTCATTTTGATACACATTTCAATAGTAAAAAATGCAAATATAAAATAATCCGTTGCTTGTAACCAAATGCAACGTGCTGTATCACATTTCTTTGTACCTTGAAGACCCAAAAGATGTTCACATGGTTGATACATTCCAAGCGTTATACAATTGAGTAGAATAACGAACATACTGATCCGTTCGAACCATGGCCATGTTATGATACGTAAGCATTGATATCGTGGTGTACTGGTTTGTTTCAGACAATAGAAAACTGTTTCCACAAAGCCGGGATATGGTAATTCGTTCTCATCAGTTTCTTCAAGATTACGTGAACGTGGTAAATCGGAAAGGATATTTGTCGATGCACGTTCTTGACGAAAACGATCAGTTTCGTATAGACGTGTATCATTAGTTGGTATGGTAATGATCGTCGGTGACAGCGGTTGATTTATATTATGATTAATTGTTGTTTGCAAATGATTCTTATCCATGATCGTGCACGAGTTGTTGCTGCATGATCTGAATAGAATAGATGGCAACAGCGGCCGACCAGTGCGCACCTAAGTTTGATGTTCCATGTTCTGGGAAGAAGAAATGTTTTGATCCAGACGTACGTCAAACCGATAATGGAAACTAATCGGTTAAGAAATGAAATTGTCCATTAATCCATATCAGATATTGCAATCGTTCGTGATCTAAAACAAAAACAGTGTGAAATGTTTCGTTTGGTAAATAGACATATCTCATTAGTTTATTTTGATTACATCATAACATTCACCAAGTCGAATCTCCTGGGAAATTTGACAATTTTCTCAGACCAATATGTTGTTAATGATGGCGACTGACAATAGAAATAGAAACACACACACATATATATATTTTTCTTTTTCTTTCTATTTGCTCGTTTGTTTTCTCAAGCAAGTTAAGGATTTAAAAAAAACGAGAATTTCTGTTTTCTTCTCATAGGAACGTTAGCGATCAAGGAAAAAATGGAAAACGCGAGAAACAACAAGAAAGAAAGAGAAATTCTCGTTTTTTTATGATATAGTTCGGTCTATACAATGGAAACATTGTTTTTTTTTGGAAAAATTAGCGCATCTACTATGCAAGACATTTCCATTTGTTATGGTTCCTCTTATTCTCTTTGTGTGTGTGTGTGTGTGTGTGTAAATCGAACATAGAATGACTTATACAGCCAGAGAGGAGATTAAAACTCTCGATTTATTCGGTGTTGTTTTTGCGCTGGAAGAAGAACAGCCGACAAGTTGTCTCATCGAGATTTCAAACAATTGACACAGAACTGAGGCAGTACAAAAGAAGAAAAACCGGATAGACAAGATCTCGACACGATAAATTTCGTGTTATGATTAATTACACGACGACAATAACAACAGAAAATAACATACGACTAGATAGTCGTTGAGTTAGTTTCTTTAACGACTAATTAGAACATTGATGTATCTAGGAGGACCCTGATGAGAGAAACGTAAACTCGACTTTTTCGTTGTGTCTCCTGGAAACAGATGATTTTCAAGAGAGAGAAAAACTAGGCAAAGTAAAAATGACATTGCCCGAGGTTGAATATGATTAATTTCATCATGTTGTCAACCGACAATGATGATGATGCTAGAAAATGAATCAAGCCTCGTAAAAAATAACTGGCATGATTTCGGAATGCATACATCTACGTAATCCGTGTAGGCGAGAATGTAAAAAAAGAGCAAAACTGTTATGATTAGTTTTTGTTCTCGTTTGACAAAGTCTATGTGGTTCGGTATATTCCAATGCTTGTCATTCTTCGTCTTCTTCGTTGTGTTCTAGCGCGAGAATTTAACTTTCTGTCGGTTGGAGCATTGCATGATGGAATCTATAACATCATGGCGAGGCATGTTTCTATTGCTTGCTATTAAAATCTAACTTAATAAAATTAGAAGTCACGCGTAGAGTCTGATCTGATCAACGAATCCGATTCACTTGCTGTCAGCAATCATTAGGGAGAATCGATGCGAAGACGAGCAAATCTTATTTTGCTGAAAAGCGTGATGAAGACGACAACGATGACAATAATATTATTGTTGATTGTCCCACGCGATTGATCGTTTCTATATCTTTCACGAGTAACAAATTTCTCTCGTTTTCTTTATAGACTGTTAAAGAATCAACAAAAAAAAAAGCTCGACGCCGATGAACGACAGATCTTCCAAGTGCAAACATACACTGTAATGCGATAAACCTATTAAAATGACGGATTTCCTTTTCTTTAGCTTAAGATACAAAGACTACTAGTTCGTATTCATTCCTAAAACAAAATTAGCTTTTTGACATGTCGACAACGAAAGCGTGGAACAGTAGAATTCTCTCCAATGATATAATAGCCAATTTCCTTAATAATATAGCAAATGTTCTCCTTCACTTTTTCTCCTTTTCTTTTTCTTTTTTCAACTAAACGCAAACAGAGTGGGAGCTCACCTTACCTATTTGTCATGTCTACAAAAAAAAAAACAACGATAGTTTGCTGTTCTCTACACGAGGTAGTATTCCCCTAATAGACCTCTTTTTTCCTTACTACACTGCCGCTTTTATTGAAACTACTTCAGAACCTTCGCCTAACGCCTTTTTTTTCGTAAATTTTCTCTCGGCATCTTCTCTTGTTCGGCATCTCCTTCTATTTCTCATGCTTTCTTCGTATACTATGGTGTTGCCTTATCGTTCAGTCATTCAAAAAAGGAAATTAATTATTATGTTCTCTCTTTCTTTCATTCTGTCGAGTTTTTCCTGCGTTACATCTCTCTTTCTTTTTGCATTGTTTGACACTCCTATCCATGAAATGCTTTCATTACTTGCCGATCTATTTGCAAGATTAGCGCCTTTCTGTCGATTTCCATTCGAAATGAAAATCCTACATGCATTTTGATCGTCAAACTAAAAACTAATTATGACTACGAGCAAACGACCATGTCTTAATGTTCGATTTGTTTTTAGCCAGACTTACTCTTGAGATTATCATCATTATCACTGTCATCGCTTCATTCTCGTACATTGGGTGTGAAAATGATCGTTCTCCGATGTAGCTCGGGAAAGAGAGAAAATAGAACAAGAAAAAGGATCACAAAATAATCCTAATGATATAAAAGGAAAAATAACTTTGTACAGAAAATCCATCTCTTTATTACAAATGTCATGATCTCCTCTCACTTTGTCACGAAATGAAGCCAGCCGAAACTACAATGCTTTTGTGCTTCCTCTTTTGATTCACATATTTAATCGATAATTTACTTGCATGTTAGTGCCATTATCGGAGCTATCATCGAACTTTTATATATCTATAATAACAATGATCACGATTTTCCTACACCACCAGAGACAATACGACGAAATGCAGTATAACATAAAGAACGGCGCAAAGAAAGGAGAACTAGCAAAGAAAAAGACAAGAAGAGAGAAAAGATGTAGCAAAAAAGAAGGATCTCATCAAATCGAAACAAACATGTCATCTATACTCACACACACACCGACTAAATCCAGCTGAGTGCACTAACAACAACAATAATAGCAAGCAAAACAGTTACTACTAAACATCTGGGAGTGATTGAAAATAACAGCGCGAATAGACAGAAAACAGAGCAGACGCATTAGAATATTGACTGGCATTTAGGTTCTTTCTATCATAAAGCAATAGAAAACGCATTTGTAAACGTTTTCATTTGACACGATGTCTCCGACAAACTCATCAACGAGTTCTTCTTCGCACTCTTCGTATTTATCGACATCAAAAATAGCAATTCCACTTAATGTCACACAAATCGATTGAAAGTCACTAATAAAATTGCTCAATTAATTCTCCAAATAGTTTTTATTGATATTCAGCGTAAACTCGCTGTCATATCATTTCACGAGAAACAACATGAATATATTAACTTCTTTTGACACTGTCGGCTAAATTGACTATTAGAACAAAAGGGTCCATTAAAAAAATGAGAAAACGACGCAGACAAAACTCGACATTTATGATGATTGGTATCCATTCGAGATAACTAATAATGGCATTTAGTAGAACAAAAAAATCTCACAAATATGACGGAATCGATCATAGGAAAACACTTTTTAGTCGACACAGTTACAAAATCTATCTCATCGAGATCATCAATTACGAGAATGACGGCATTCTTTTTCATTCCAACAACTAATTTTTCCGATTACCAGAATTAGTTGGGTAAACACTGTAACGAAATGGATGTTTATTCAATTGTAAGTTGATTAGAAGGTAGAAAATCTTCTTTCAATCATGTAACACGATCTATACGTTTATTCAGTCAAAACATCGCTTCTAATTACAGCTAAGTGCTGACTTCTGTTTGAAACATCTCGCGAAATTAGATCTTCGACTTTTATTGTTCGCAGATAATTAAAAAACCTCATTCAATTGCAAGGATAAAATACCTTGACACATTGAACAAAAGACAATGTCATAACCAGATAATTTATTCTCAATTTGAACAAATGTGTTCTATCTACACCGCAAAACATTCAAAACGGATTCAGCGCGGTTAAGATCGAGTTTGTGTAGATGTCGTCTGCGTCGGTTTGCCGAGTGTCGTAATTCTCGAGTTGGAAAGATGGCGCGAATGCTTCGCTCGATGTCATTACGTCCCTATGATTATCATGTCTTCGAATCCATCGGAGAGTTCTTCATCTTGTAGAAATGAACTCAACAGTTTGATATCAATTAGTATAGGAACTATCTGCTTTTCTTTGGTTAATTAATCTACAATTAGATTCGTGTATACAAGTTGATCAAATAAATCATAATGAAAAGAAAGAATCTCCGTTTGAAAAGTCCTCAATTAGATGTCATGAATTTCATCTTCAATTAACAGACAATAATCTTCTGATTATATTAGCAATGATATTAGCATCTTGCTTTCACAAACTTCTATTTACTCAATCAATCATCAGAAGTTATTCTTTGTGTACGCAGCAATTCTGCGACGAGATCAGCGATTTTTCAGTTTTCTTTTGCTCGGATCATTCTCGAAAATTCGACGAGACTGGTTTTTAATGAGAAATACTTTCTAACGGCGATCCATCATCTTCATCTGCTAGTCTTGATGATAGATTGATTTCTTTTGTTCTTTTACATGCAACAGTAAGAAAGTCGAACAACAATAACAAGAACAAGATAATCACACATGTGTGTTCTGCAGTTAGATGAATAACTTCGAGGTGTATCAGAGGCTAAATCTATTCAATAGGAGACGATTAACCTTAAGACCGATTGGAATGAGCAAAGGAAGTAAATCATCATTGTCCATTTCTGAATGCCCATCTGCTTTATTTTTCCCCTTCTGTCTTTCTCTCTTCGTGTTTGCGTTCAACACGATCATTATAAATACAGCAAATCAACAGGCAGAGAGAAAGAAGAAGAAGAAGAGAAGCAACAACAGTACGGATAGATAGATGATGCCCTCAACTCTCTTTGCTGGACATAAATAAATGCCATTGTTCCGGACAAAATATAACAGAAATAGGGTAAAAAGACAAAGTTATCGGCAAGTAGGCATCAACCTTCTTCCTTTTCTCGCTCTTCGAACGACAGCAGCAGCAGCACCATACATCAACTTCTAGCAGGCACCTCGAAAATGATTAGCGTCGTATGTAAAAATGAACATCCATGTTGACTTTTCTCTCTTTCTCCCTTGATACATAAATATATACGTATCGACATTACACAAAACTCCGTAGAGATTCCGACGGAAGGAGATATTGAATATATATATTTCTATGTGTTGATGTAATATATTGTGTAAAGAGCTTTAGTGACTCGAAATTGTGAGCATTCTCCATGCTTGGGCACGTATTGGGAAATCATCATGATCATCATTTCGCTCAGTAAATATATGTGCGTATGAAGTAGGCGAATAATTCATAATTTCTTCTGAGAAGAACTTATCGATTTTTATCTTCAACAACCATTAATCATTTCGCGAGAAAAACATGACAGTATAAACAGTTCAGTTTCAGCAAATTCTTTTCTGTTTTCATTCGAAATTGTGATCACGAAGTAGACAGTCGTTTTTCTCCATTCGTACCCACTGAGTTCGCCTTGTAGAAGTGACGACTTCAACACTTGTTTAATCTGTCATATCGAAAGGAGAAGAAGAAGAAGTACAAAATATTCACCGAGAATGTCTATATATCAGATGACCACGAACACTGACTAGCTCGCACATTCAATTATCTCTCTAAATAAGAAAAAAAATCGAAAGAAAGAGAAGATGCATCTGTTTCTTCTCGAGATCGGACACGACAGCGAATTACTATTGTACATTGATGCACTCTTTTCTTCATTTCTCCTCCGCCTTCTTCTAGTAAACATTGGATTAGTCGCGCGCGAGTGCGAGAACGAGTTCGTATTATTGAAAGAAAAGAAGAAGAAGAAAAAAAATACAAGACAAGACAGTAGCAACCTTCTTCTTTTACGTCGTGCATCGTGTTCTGATAATTGTCGATTTCGTCCCAAGTGAAAGAGCGAAGAGAGAAGATCTTGTAATCGATATGATACCAATGAAATAAGATCGATATAATTGATTACAACTCTCGCAGACTAACGAGTTAAGCTTCAACTATTCATATCCCAACACGTTCGTTGTTTAAGTCATTTGGTCAATTTTTCTCTTCGTTTCACTCGTCTTGTTCAAGTCGAAGGCTGAGTCGAAGAAGAAAATTCAGGTAAGTGTTACTTAATTACTACTTTACTAATGACCAAGTACGAACGAGATTTGTTTCGTTCATTGATCTCTCATTATGATGGCCTAGTTTGTTTCTCTTTGTTCCTCCTCTTTTCCCTTCATATGTTCAATGAACATGCGCATTGCACACCTGTAGTCAAACTCAACATTCGTAATGAGAAGGCGATGCTTGTATTTCTTTCATAGTGAAGAATATTCTTGTAAGTTTATTTTTCTTTTTCTATTAGCAAAAAAACATATATTCATGTATTCTGTTCCATTGGGAGTTGTTTTTCTACTAACATGAAGAAGCTCAATTGGAATTGCTAAATAGTATCATTGGTTATATATAGTGCGAATCACTCGTTCGTTCGTTCGTTTCTTTAGTTATAACTGAATAAGTCAAAATTTATTTTTCCTATTCCTTCCTCTCTCTTCTCGTACCATCCAAAGATCAAAGCATAGAAAATGTTGACACTATTGGCAGTTTTCCAATAACAAGAGGGAGAATCATTTGCATGATAATTAAATCTCTAAAGGGAATTGAATTGAAGAACATGGAGAGAGGGAGAGAAGGGTTAGAGTATGCCAGCATATCCCGAAACCAAATCTCATTTGTCAAAAAACGAGAAAGTCTTTTTGCTCTCTCTCTCTTTCTATCTATTTATTCTCGTCTTCGATGAGCTGTGACTGAATCGGAGACTACTAGTTGCGGAAAAGAATGAATAGTGTTGACAAAATTAGGTCGATAGAGGAAACAACATTCATCTCGTGTTTTGAATATGAATCAATGCATCATCAAGATGATTCGATGAGAGGAAAAGGGAGAAAGAGTAATTTCTCTTTTCTGATCCCTCCTGCGTCCGTCCGTTTCAAATCTCATTTTACAATTGGACGATCGCATATCTTTCTAAATGTTTGTTTTCGTAAATCGTCTTTCGATTATCCAGAAAGAAAGACTGACTGACATGCAGCAAGTTTCGTTTTGACAAATCATTATTTAGCGTGAGAACAACGATAAGAACAAATTTGATTTTATTCAAAATCTCGAACAACGATCGATATGATTCGTTTATAATGAGTAAATAGAAGCGTGTCCTAATGACAAGATGGTGAGAATTGATAGAATAGCTTTTAATGATATCATCAAGAAGAAGATTCACATTGGTTTAGTCAGATCTCTCGTCAGAATGAGAGAAAGTGCGTTTAATCATCGTCATGATTATATTCCAAAGATAAGTCAATCAATTATAGCATTGGAATCGAACACCGTAAGTTATTTTTTTCAAGGAAAGTATGAAAAGTATTTGAAATATGCGTCGAGTATGAGAATGAATGGACATTTGCATTTCTCTGCTTGTGTATTAGTACTTCACAAACAATTCCCAGTGCATGCGAGAGAGAAAAATGAGAGTAGAAATCTGGTCGATCGGATTACGTCATTTCGTTCGTGCTTTTCATTTCTCATCAGTAATAAGTAGAGAACAAATGCAAGAAGAAGAAAAACGATTGATTCTTTTAATCAACACTAAACCTGTCAAGTTATTTGTTAGACTAACGAGATTTGATTTGACACCATGCCTTTGCTTTCACTAATGTGAACACTTCTATCAGTTACAATTCGTTTTCATTCGCATATTTCCACGTTGGAGTACACTGTTTAGCGAAACAAAAAGAGAGAGACAGAGAAACTTAGAAGAATTGATAACATATTTCATTCAATGTGCGCGTGTATGTATGAGTACTGTTGTTTCACAGTCGGCGTCGGCGGCACCATGTGAGAGAAGATATCGTCTTACCAGTTAGCGGATAACGAGCGTCACATGTCGAAAATCAATCAATGAAGAGTAGAAAAGTTGCGAAAAAAGACTTTTGCTTTCTTTTTCATCTAACCACGAAAAAATAACAACAAGCCTTGAATCTTTTGCTTTGTCTATCTTCTATTCTAGACAATAAAAAATCGATCTAGGACTCGAACGAAATCATGGCAGCAACAAATGAGCAACTTCAACAAGCAGTTGAAAGTTTCTTTCTTCTGTTCAATGGCGTGGTCATCTTTTGTAAGTCGTTGTACATTGATCTGATCCATATTGAATATCTTTTTGTAGTAATGAGCTTTGGTTATACGCTCATTGAATCAGGCGGTGTACGAAGTCAAAATGCAGGTCATAGTCTATTTAAAACTCTTCTTATTCTTAGTAAGTTCAACTGAATAAGTTTGATTGGGGGTTGATTTGGGGTTGTCATGTTTCAGTTACATCGGCATTGGCTTTTTGGATAACGGGTTATGCATTTGCATTTGGTGGAAACGGAAACGTTTTATTAGGTACACGGTTTTGGGCAAGTGAAGGTCTTGGCGCTCGTTATCTTCATCCCGGAGTAGAAAATTACACGACGTCGAATAATGTTCTAAAATTGAATAATCAAGATCCATATATAAATTATTTTTATAATTATATGTTGGCATTTCTTGTAACAAACATAGCAGCTAGTGCATTTGCCGAGCGTTGTCGAGTACCTGTTTATGTACTTTTCTCGATCGTTATGTCTGGTAGGTTACTCGAGTGAATCGAACAACGTTCTAGTTGGGTATTGAATATAGGGTTCGTCTATCCATTCCTTGCACACTGGATGTGGGGTCAAAATGGTTGGCTTGGTGCGGTTGTGGGCGCACGCGTATGTTATGTTTAACATGTTGAACATGTCTCTTATTAGTTTATTCTCTAAGGACTATGGTGGTAGTGCAATCATTTATTTAACAGCTGGTGTTGCTGCTTTAATCGGAACAATCTTTCTCGGGCCGCGTTTTGGCCGATTCGAACCGCGTACATTACCCTTGTTTGGTCATAGCATTCCGGTACGAAAGAAAACATGAAAATAAATAGCATAGTTGCTATCGATGTTTGTATTAGGTTACATCTGTTGGCGCAATTCTCGTTGCATTCGGTTTCTTTGTACTCAATTCAGGAGCTGATCATCGTATTACAGGAAAAGCTTATGGCGATCGAGTTGGACATGGACTCGTCAATACACTTCTATCAGGAGCTACATCAGGTGCAACTTATTATCTTTTGCAACGTGTCATTGAAAGTACGCAAAGATGTTTGTCGAGAAGATGATTTTGATAGAACATTTCATTTAAAAATTAGGCATGGGAGAACAAGCTCGTCATTTGAAACGACGTGTCTTTTTATCAACGGTTAATTCAATTCTTGCCGGAATGGTTGCTGTTGCTGGTGGAGCTGTGGCTTATAATCCTTGGTCGGCTGTCATCATCGGAGCTATTGCTGCATTAAGTTTCTTGTTATGGAGTAAATTATTAATTAAACTTCAAGTCGATGATCCTGTCGAAACTGCTGCAGGTAGGAGCGACTTGGTTCACGAGAAGTGTATTAATTCGAAGTGAATGTGTCTTCTTTGCAGTTCATATTGGTGGTGGTTTATGGGGTATCTTTGCAGTTCCGATCTTTCGACGAACAGTTGGACCAAATATCAATGGAGGATTCGTTGAGGATGTCTTTAATTCGATTATCTATCGAATTAGTGCTGGAGAAAGCTGGCGGGTAAAGAATAACAGTTGTTTTTTTCATTGATGATCTCTCATCGAAAAATTTTCTTATTCAAGGGTCTACTTAATTCATTGTGTACGGCTGCAGTTGTCATGGCATGGACCGCTGTCTTCGTTGCCCTTCTATTTCTTCTACTGAAACTACTTAATTTATTAAAAGTATCCAAAGAAGAAGAATTACGAGGTAATCCTACAGGCAAAGAATTTTCAATCATAATCGGGTATTCTTTCTTCCAGGTATTGACTTGTTCCAACATGGCGAACCGGCATACGCACTTCGCATCTACTGCGCTGCATGCGGAGAACAATTACAAGGCAAAACTATTGAACAAGAAGCTACTGCTGGAGGTGTTCGTACCAATTTTCCAACCATCGTCACTGATGCTGAAGGGGGTATGTACTGAAAACATCTTTGTAAGAAGTTTCGAGAATCTAACTAAGAACCGAAGAAAGCTAATTGTATTTGTTCAACTACAAGTGATTATTTTCAGCATATGTGCTCGATGATATGCGTGGGTAAGAAAAGCAAAAGAACTCAAATTTCACCACATTGCACAATGAAAACAGACGATCATTAACTTCTCAACAAATGCTCTTTCACATCTTGAGCGCTTATTTTTCTTTGCTTTGCCAAAAGAGAAAAACAAAACAAATGAATCATTTGATCTTCTTCCTCTTCGCAACTTTCTTTCTCGCTCAAACAATTCCAATCATGTCTTCTTTCGTTTTAGCCATCGTCCCTATCGAATATTTCAGTGAACGAAATGGATCGACCGGTAGCGCAAATGGCACCAAAGTCAAATCCGTAAACGAAGACAATCGTGTTTAATTCAGTTCTCTTTTCCTTTTCTCTCTTCCCATTCAACATCTTAATCAGAAATACACGCATCTAGGAAAATCATCAATAGTATGAAGAATGATCATTAAGCAATATATATGTTCCCCGATTTCTTACAGTACTAAGGCACTTAAAAAACAAAAGATGTTCTCCTCTTCTCCCCTCTCATATCTGTATGTAGATTAGTTTCAATATCTCGTTCTTTTTTGTCTATGTGTTTAATCTTCGAAGAGCTTTACAGTATTTCTCTTTTTTTCTTCTTGCTGTTGTGTTCTTTATTTTTTTTCGCTGCCTCTCTCCTTCTCTGACAATGACAAATTCAGAGAGTTTTCGTCATTGAAGAAGAATCTAACTCTACTTCTTCTTCTCGTTCGAGTTACGACACATTCCCGGACATAAATTTCTAATCAGTCGTACATATCCTTCGTTCTCTCTACATACTCATAACATCAGCCTTACTTATCTTATCTTCTTCTCTTTTTCTTTTTCGTTTGTTCTTGCTCAAGTTTCGCGTTTATGTGTGTTTTGATGTTTGAGCGTGCTCATTGCATTCGAATTTGTCTCTTCTTGTTGATGTTGCTTCGTGTTCGCGATTAGTGTTTAAGCAAATAAAAATATGTCGAAATCGTCTTGTGAATGGTGAGCGTACTTCTCAATTCTATCGAATCTCCGTGCTCACGGCAGGAAATCTATGAGAAGAGAACGTACAAATGTTGTTGTTTTCAAGATTGCAGCTTGAGATATGAATCAAGAGACGAAGCGTTCGACAAACTGAAGTTATTGACAGTGCGATGCATTCCGAGTATTCATGTGTTTGCCGAAAGTAATCGGAAATGTACCTAAATAATTGTATTAAGTGGTGACAGATACAATTTAGTCTTCCTCATAACTGTTTTTGCATAAATATTTGCTTGCAAGCTGATCATTCTTATGCATGTGTGCAGTAACGATGATACAAGGAGAAATGATATCTATACTATCGGGAATCGAATGAAAGGATATGTTAAGTATGTTTATCATATAGGTGGAATGTTTGTACATCGTCTTGAAAGTTTCATTTGAAGAGCATGTTCAGCAATGGAACGGACATTTTCGTGATATCTGATTTCTCATGAGCAGCTCCGCAATGGTCATGAAAAGATCATCTTCTGAATGCATTTATTTAAATACTATAATTGGTAATAATAGGATTGTATTGGAATAACCGTTAACTGTAGGAATAGCAGATTTCAAAGTGTTAAATGATGCTGAGAGGAATGATAATGAAGTTAAGCATCTTATCGTCCGAATGCTTATGTCACTATGGGAAGTAAGCAAATCACGAAGAATGTAAAAAAAAACTTAATTGGCTCCTTGTGTTTTGATTCCAGATCTGTAGTGCACGATCTAATTCCTTCCGAAAAGCCGTTCCTTTCTTATTTGATATACTGAACTCTGGTCTTACTTCTGGAGTGACGCACATCGATTTCAAATCAGGTGTGACACAATATATTGATCACCGATTCAACTAGTGAAAGTAATAGTAGTACATCATCACTTGGATATAACAGTCCTGTTCCATCTAGTCGTGCTACAAAAATGAAAGTCATTAATACAAAAAAGGAACAACAAGCAATTAAACATAAAATAAATCGAAAAATTCGTTATTTTTTAGGACAATATTGTCATATTGATCCAAGCAAGTTTTTCTTCATTGATGTGAGTATAATTCTATATTTAATTTTTAGTCAATAGTATCAGTGTCATAGGAGAAATACATCGTCAACTAAATATTGAAATAAACATTAACATGAAGCTAATGAATTTATTATTGATAATGAATTAGAAATTAGAATTAGGTCGAAAAAACTAATATATTCGTTATTATCTTGAAAATCATTTTGGTTATCCATCAAAATCAATTTGTACAGGTCCAGCAGCATCATATTTATTATTTGAAGTTTTATTAATTTATTGTGAAAATAAAAAAATCCAAGTGAAATATCGAAAGAATTTTCTGATGATTTATATTTTGCAACTGGTATTATGTTAAGTGGAAATTTATTTTTACATTCAAACTTATGTTCATATGTTCGATTACATTTAGGTTCTGATCCATTAAATTTAGAAGAAATTATGCAAAGATTTCAAAATGCCAAATTTCATTATGTGGACGATTAAAAAAGAACATTAAGTGATAAGACCATTTCAGTATCATTCGAACCATTAATTAAAGTCAAATCAAAGAAAGAAAATAATTTATGAAAAACACAAGTTTTATTTATGAAATCAAATCTGTTAGTGAAATGAAACAAAAAAAGCTGAATTAATCTTTTTTGTTTATTTTAAATGAGATTAATTGTTTAAACTGATTTCATAAAAGTACCAAATACATCTTTATCAATTCTATCATCATGATTAAAATCAGCATAATCAAACATAGCACCAACTGGATCATATTAGTTACTTTTTCTTGCAACATTAGGTGCGTCAATACCAACATCAGGTCCAAGACCATATTTGTGTCCTTCTTGACCAGGTGCACCACTTGTGAATTTTTCATATTCAATTGGATTTGATGCAAAACCAGCTACAGATACATCAAGACCAACTGAATATGTCACTATTTCTCCTGCACCTGTTGACTTTAAAAAAATTACAAAGAAAAAATATTTTTGTTTTATTCAAAAAAGAAAAATTACTTGAAAAGCTTGAATATCTTGTTGAAGATCATCCTACATTATAGAAAAAATGACACAAAAATACACAAACATAATTTCTAGCGATCTTCTTCCTTACTTCAGTGTTGTATGTTATTTGTTGAAGGTTTTCTAATGACATCATATCATCATCATTAGTATCAAATGTACCTATAAAGAGAAAATAGAAAAAAAAGTTTTTTTGTCGATATTATTTTTACTCACAATCATTTAACCATTGTTTAATATAATTATATTTATTTACATCGATTTCCACGAAATGTATTTGCCGTCTTGGTATTGGTAAAGATGAGTTTGAAGAAGATCTATCTTCATCTTTGTTAACATCATCATTACTATTGTATGCTGGTAAAGGATGTGATTGTTGCAGCATTCTCATTTGTTCTTCATTTTCTTCATTATGAATTTGAAGAAGAATTGAATAAATGTATTGTAATTCTTCTGTAGGAAAATATTCATTAGATTGTTTATATGGACGTGTATCTTCATCCATAGTAGGTATTAATACCAAATATGTGTTAATGGTTATTAATGGAGTTTCTTTTCCCGCAGCCTTTATTGTCCTTCTATTACCTAATGGTTCTTTATCATGCACAGCTATAAGTCGTTTTAAAACATAATCACGTGGTAAATGATCCATAAAATGATTATTAACATCGGTAACATCAACACCATCGAATCGAGACATGACTAAAACCTGTACAAAAGGCGAAGTTCGCCAAATCAGACATGGTCTTGGTTTTGCTTTGTTACTGGAACTTTTCGATGATGTTGATGATAATGCAGAAGCTTGAGAACCAGCTTTTACACCAAATAATTTTGCTGCACTAATATGACGAGAATGAATTTGACCAATTGCTGGAACCCAGGTCGATCATTCCGGCGACTGGATCCGTTGAAATCTGAGTCGGTTCCGGTACAGCTCTTCTCGATTGCGGCACAGTTTTCGCCGATTCCAGCAGGTTCCTTGCCGCCGGATTCCGGTCGGAATTGCACAGGAAATATCCGATCAGTTTCTGACCGTGCCACAATAACCTGGGAAGCACTACTGTTTCACCAACTATATTAATCATAGATCATATATTTAATTAAATCAATGTTTGACATACCATTGCTATTCAACATAATACATAGATTAACAATGTTCAATCAGATTTACTATATATATATATCAGCATAGATAAAAAGAATTCATTATAAACGTTCATACATAGAATAGAAATAGAATGATAGCACATCATATGAGTATAATAGAATAGAAGAAAAGTACCAATAAAAATCAAAAGATAGATGTCAACTAGATTTAAAATTATTTCTATTTAAATAAATTCTATTTTTAACAATCATAAATAAGAATAAAATACAAAGGATGATTTTTACAGATGACAAGATAATAATACAAGGGGGAAATTACGGAATCCTGAAATCTGAATTCTATCCGATTCTAGTGATTCCAAGATTCCGTACTTTTCCCTTTGCAGATATCTATAGATACATATTCTGTTGTGATTAGTATGAAATTTGAAAACTTTTTCATTTAGTTTTTTAAATTAAATATTTAGAAACGAATGATATATATAATACACTTCATATGAACTCTTATTTAAAAAAGTTTTTCTTTTCCATTTGTTACTTAATAACTTTAATAACATTTGGTCTTCGTTTAACTAAAAAAGAATTATATAAAGAATCATTGAAAGAAGAGCAAAATAAAAGGAAATGAATTCAAAACCAAAACACCATTGAACTTTTGTTGGAAATGTTCCACTTTTTTATTTCATCAATATATTTATCAGCAGATATTGTTTCTAAATATAAATATTTAAAATATAAAACAAAATTTCAAATAATATTTACCATTGAAATGCATTACTTCTAAAATCGATCGTCCATATTCAAGTTCACAAACTTCTTCATCAAGATTAGAACTAACTGCAGATAATGTTATTATTAATATGAAAACATTTGTAACAAATGGATATTAACCATGTTAATATATAATCTATTTTTTTGAGGTAAAGAATCTATTTTGAAATAAAAATGAATTTTTAATAAAAATAAGAAAAAAATCAATTTAATTTACTCCCATTTACAACTACTTTCATTATGACTTGGAGTAATACAAGCTATATTACCTATGTCATAATTTATTTCATAACAATATTATGCTTTTTCAACATTATTAACCATTAGATATTGATTTAAAATACAAATTTGAACCGGAAATGTTTGTTTATTTATTACACCTGTTGAATTATTCATTAGGGTGAGGGTGTGATTGAACTACCATAATCGATTTCGAACGTATTACGGTTCGTTTTCAAACGGTTTATACTTAAAAATGATCAAAAAACATTGTTTTACTAAGAAAGTAATATAAAAAAATCTTTATATTCTGTTTCCTCAGCGACACTCATACTCTTTTGATTGAACAACACTTGAAAGTCACTCGAAGATTGGAAACTCAACAGAACTACAACTCGATGACACTTCTCGGAATTTACGATCCAAATTCTTTTTTTACCGTTCTGCAAGCTATCCACTAATTTGAACTCACAGATTTATAAAATGACCCTTTGTGAAGATCATGAATGCGTAATTAGCAATTGATAGAAAACAGAAAACTGGTAAGAAGAAACAAACCTTACATATCTGTTCGGGTTAGTCAACAAACGACAAAGGAACCTGCTTATTGTTCCGGCTGTCTTTCGATGAACAGTATTGACTTTTACTTCTTCTTTTCCTTTAGTATCATCAGTCAGTCATGTAAGCGTTATCTATATACTGAAACAACGCATTTTGTCAATGAGAAAAACATTTTCATATCTTCGAGGCGCGCTCGATCGCTGTGATAACAGAAAAAACACTTTTTTCGACGAAGTTCCCGTTCGGAATGCATTCAGGAAGCGACATTGTGCCGTTTTAACAAACTTTTTTACTCTCCTATTCACAAAAAACGCTCATTTCTCACGTCGTCGATATTTTCCCGCCTAAACAATAGTTTTTCGGGGTGACCTTGAAACGGTCGATTGAAATGTATGTGATACTATTGGCATTTCCTGAACTTTACTGAACAAATCTCGCTCGCCATTTTTTTAATGTGTACGACTGACAGAGCCCATCGAGAATATTCCTCTTCTTTCGATCTTTTGCCGACATTCAATTAATATAAGAAGCCGAAGCGACGAACTAAAAAATACGACCGTCATCAAACAATAAAGTAAATTCCGCTTTTGTATTTTTCTTGAAAACACAATCGTAAGCTTTAATGTTGTTGTTTTATCGTCTATTGGAATTTCCTTGTTCGCTTCATTAATCAACAAATAGACATCTGAGACGAGAGAAGAAAAATCGATCGACAACGATCGATTTCAAAAGTCTTTTGTGCACTGACCGATCTACAATATAAATCATCGAAGAAAACCCGCCGTCTAAGATGTCTGTGTAGCAAATACAGGAAACGGATGTAAAGCACGTTATGTACGTTCTCTTAGTTGACATTATGTTCCCTATTTTTATTATTAAAGTCATATAAAATCGTTTTCATTTCCGTCCATCGTACGCATGATATGCATGGACGCATTTTTTGTCAAGTTGGAAGAAAGAACAGCTGATGTGCCTTTCTAATTGTGTCAGTGAACCTTGTGTTTATTATATTTAGGAAGAAAACTGGAATTCCTGTGAACTGTTCACGTTCAAACAACCGGAAATATGTTATTTAAGTAGTCAGTGATGTTCATGTAATATGATGCCACTCTTTCTTATTCATTAACATAAGTTTGAAGTTTAGAAGGTAAGAGAAAGCAGAAAGCCTTTATATACTTAAAGATAATGTAGGTAAGTTTTATTCATACGAGTAAAGTAGAGGTCATTTTTCTTATGTGATGTAGAAGTGATGATTTCATTCCTCTTCTTTTCATCTGACATAATTAAATCCACTCAGAGCTGTTATATATACATGTTACATTTCTCTTTCTTCTTGCTCAGTTAGCAAGATTTGAATAAATGAAATTAAATCGTGTGAAAGAGGAATGGAAGAATTGTCTCGGATCTTTGTGAAATAAAGTTGATAATGCGTGACATGACGACATCACGTTGTAAGTTTCAATGCTGATTTCTTCTACGCGCTTTTTTCATTCTCTCTCTCCCTCTTTCTCTTGTATTGTTCTCTTCGCCAGCGAGTACTTTAGCATTCATTCTTTCATTTTTACTACAATGTTTCTAATGTGTCTATAGATCTATATGAGTAGTGTTGTTCAAACATCGGTCGTAGCAAGTAGAACATCAACAAAAGAGAGAGAGAAACTACTGTTGAATTTCGAGCAAGTGTAATATTGTTCATAGACTCTCAGATTGAATAGTCATCGTCAGTAGCAAATGAATCTGACGAGTATGTTGATGTCTTTCCTTCGTAGGCGGATTTAGTTCGGCTTTGCCAATTTTTTCCTTCTCGTCTAACCACTCGAAATGTAGAAAGATGAAAATCTGTTCGAAAGGATTATTGCCTATCACATATGACAGGAAAAAAAAACTTGATTCAACGGATTGATTGCGCACTCGAAGTCAGCATAGGATTGAGCGATGTTTACATTAGAAGCTTTCTTTCTCTCCGCTTCCATTTTCTTTCTTTGTATTTCGAAGATCAGTTTAGCAGATTGCGTCATGATTAGAGAATATTATACTATCGAGGAATCATCAGTTGCTTTTCCGTTAGTCTGCTTCTACTTTATCCGAATAGCATTATGTGTGAAATTTCTCTCCTTCCTCTTCCGCCTGTACACGATCAATACACACCAATCACACTCTAACGAATCCTTTCAATCATGTTACTCGTACCGATTGTTTTCTTTGCAATTTTATTCTCCCATATCTTGCGCCATGTTTCAGTATGTATATATCGAACGGTTTGTTCCAAATAGTAACTAGAGAGACAATGATCCAGTCTAAATAAACATCAGTTTGATACTAAAAAAAGTAGATGATACTAAGAAAATAGAGAATACAAAACTCTTCGAATCTCTCGTCCGAATGTGTGTGTGTGTTATTCTTTCAGATGTATCAATGCATTACTCTCAAGTAGATAGACAACCTATGAAATCATTCACTCTCACATAAGATGAGAATTGCGTGATTATTGTAATGAATCGAGCCGAAAAGAAACACATGATAAGGCATGCGTATACATGACTGGTTAGGAAAGCCCGTTATGCTACTGATGAAGATAAGAATCACCCAGTCGATGTACATTCTCCAAAGGAAACTTCATGAAATCTATCTATCAACGCATGTTCTTAATTGACTTGTTCGATGATTTTGTCTGACAAGTGTTCAGGTGTATTAGATAATGATCATTCTTTTTCTATCCGAGAGAAATTCTCTCGTTTTCCCCCCGCTCTTTCTCTCTCTCTTTCTTTGAACTCATTCTCTCGCATTACTCCAAAACACAAACAACGCCGAGATTAACTTCTTTTCTTTTCTTCGAGATGAAATCCATCTGATAAACTCAGTTGAAAAGAAGAAAAACTATGAATGATTAAATCCTTATCATTTATTTAATGGAGTCGAAACAGCAGACGATGCTCGTCTGGCAAACATTTGTTTGTCTTCTATATTTCATTGTATTTTGTAAGTATAAGTATTCTTTTTTTCATATGTAAAACGCTTCAGGGCAATGTATTTTCAGTTAATGGTATATCAGCAAACACGGAACCGGAGATCGTTTCAACCGAAAATGAAATTATTACTTATACTAATCATACAGCTAAACTTTCTTGTATAATTCGAAACAGAAACCGACAGCACGTAAGAACAAAAGTTTACTTTCTTCAAATCGCAGTCTTTTTCTCTTAGGTAACGTGGTCTCGTGTTACTTATGTAAATGAAAGTCGAAAAATTACCGATCTTTTGTATGTAGATTTACTTAAATACACGCCGCTTAGTCGCTACCATTTAACACAATTAGTTGACGCTGAAAATCAAGAATTCTGGAATTTAGAAATTCGTCAAGTACATTCGACTGATCAAGGTTATTATAGTTGCGTTGTGTCTTCATTGAAACCCATCTCAAAAGTATTCCATATCCGAGTTATCGGTAAAACGTTGACTTTAATATAATGTTTGCTTTAATCTATTTGATTATTCATAGAAAATCCACGTAATCTTTCTCTTGCGCTCCGCTCGACGATGGATAATCAGCAGCAAGGCAAAGAACAAACTAACTCCGCATTATCATTGATTCCAATGCCACTAGCGACGATTTCGTCCTTCGTCCTCATTCTTATGAACTTGTGAATAGAATTCGACAAAAAAGTATTTTTCTTTTCGTTTGACAACAAACACCATTCGAACAGTGATGTAAAAAAGAAAACGGACTTCATTTTGACATACATAAATAGAAGAAAAGCTATTGTCTCGTGTTTGTACTTGCCAAGAAAGCAAAATTAAACATTCAGTTTTATAGTCTGTTAATAAAAACTGGTAAGTTCACGATTTTGGGACAAGAATATCAAGGACGCAGATGGGAATGTCCTCAATTAGATTAATCACATAACATTTCTCAAAATTTGATTGTATCAATATGTTCCTTCGTAGGTTTGTGGGCACGTTCGATATGCAATTGATGATTATCTCAGTGTGTACATAATCCGATAAACGAAGTTTAAAAAGCAGAGCTTGATGCTTCATTTTGATCCTATCGAAAAGCGAAGTTAAATATGTAACACATGTGACAATGACCTTTCGGTTGTTTTTCTGAAAGTATCGATTATTCTCAATGCTTGACTTGCAGAGAATGAACTTTGCTTCGAAAATTCCGTGTTTTTATGGATTCAATGGCAACAGAATAAAAAAATTTCGATTCGTCGGTCTTCGAAATCGTGCTATTGATTCGTTATGAATTAAGTAAAGTTCTCGAGGGGTTTTGCTCGTATAAACTGGAGACTTTGATGAAATGTCATTGAATGCCTCTATCGGTGTGACCTTTTCACCATCTCTACGGATCTTTCAAAAAAAAATTTTCGAAAATTTTGTCGTCTAATCGCATGATGTCACGGAAAAGAAACACGATTGCTCGAATGGAACAAAAGGTCACTCATCCATCGAATAGGAAACAAAGATTTTCGCTCATTCTTTCGTTCAAAGAACACTTACGACGAGAATGTCTCCTGTTTATCAATAAACGAACGAATGTATGCGAGAATTCTCCATGGAAGACTTGATGATGAACGATGCGGATTGATCAGAATAATCAGTCGTTTTATTTCAACTAATTATCATATTCAATATAATCCTTAAGGTCACACGCACGCACACGTGTAGTTCGTTTATATCATTGTGTATATGTTAAGCTTTTTACATTTCGTAGAAACTAAATCCTTAATAACGAACGATTAAAATGTTAGCTTAAAAAACGCTCATGAAGTTGACTGATGAAAGAGAGTTTTCTAGAGCTCTTTTGAATATCTTTGGCGCTGGGAATTGGTTTGCTTGATGACAACTTTATCGGAAAAGAAGAACTTTGTTGTTTTGCGTATATTTTGTCGATTGATTTCAAGATGAACTCAGTTTGGTTGATAGAATCTATTCGTTCTAGAGAAATCGCCCGTTGGCCAATGTGCGATTAGATCAATGCGCACAGAGCGGCATGAGTTCGGTTATCCGAAGAGATTTTTCGAGATCTGCAAATATCAATACGCAAGACTCGTCTAAGAACAGTGGCAATAGCAGGCAAGAACAAAAACATCGTCGACAGTGTTCTATTGCAATACATCGTCTTCTCGCTTTCTTGTCATTTCTTTTCTACCCATTTTGTTCACCAGATCTTTCACTTTTTGCCAAAATTGCCTTCGCGCGTGGACAATTTTTCTCGAATAAAAATCTCCAGTCGATAGAAGACACTTTTCTCTTTCGAATCATGTGCAAGAAGTGGGAAAAAAAGATTTTCATCTCCCTGAAATTCGTTCAAACTTTACAAATATACATCAACTCTGATCTTGTTCGTTCGATGTTTACGCATTTTTATCCATGTTTGCCTATATGAAACAATGCAAAATTCGTATGAAACGATAGAATAATGTCTGCTCTATCTGTTAGACTTTGATTCGGAAAACAAATTCGATAATTTTCATCGAAAAAAATACGATTTGTGGAAGAGGGTTTGAACAATATGTGAAAATATCGAACGACAAAAAGGGTCCTATGTGCGGTTCGAGTCGTTTAGGGAGAAGGAAGGAGAGAAAAAAAGCAACAACGACATCGACCAACATACACTACCACCATCATTCATCGACATCGTTCTCTCGCGCGCACACACACCCTCAACTTACTCTTTACTTCATATTCATATATACAAATTCATTCACTTCTTAAATAAAATAAAATGACTGATCCTACTGGTCCAGCATCGACATCCGCGAGTGCCTCTCAAGCCGCATCAGGTTCAAACGCTAAGAAAGGCAAAGGTAACGCAGGAAATAAGACGAAAAAAGCCAAAACAGCAAGTACGCACCCAAAATTTTCGGCCATGATCAAACAAGCTATTACACAATTGAACGACCGAAATGGTACATCAAAAGCCGCGATTTTGAAATATATCTTAGCCAACTACAAAATTAACTTCGCTACAGTTAACCAACATCTCAAAGCGGCATTACGTGCAGGCATTAAAAATAAATCGTTAAAACAAACCAAAGGCGTTGGTGCAAGCGGAAGCTTCAAATTAGGTGTAGCAGCTCCAGCAAAGAAGAAATCGTCAGGTGGCAAAAAGAAAGCTTCGTCGTCGAAGAAACCGGCAAGTGCCAAACCAAGAAGCCGATCGAAAACGCCTGGTGGAAGTAAAAAAGCAGCCGGTAGTAAACCAAAAACAGCACGATCATCGAGCAAAAAGAAATCTGCTGCCGATGGTGCTGGTGCAAAGCGAAAACGTTCAGCTTCGCCAAAGAAGGCTGTCAAGAAAGCCACTGTTGCCGCCCCGGTCGCTGACAATGCAGCTGCAGCTACACCAGCAGCAGCTTCTGTTGCCGCTCCAGCAAGCAAGAAGAAAGCATCGACTGGTGCAAAGAAAGCTAAAACAGGTTAGTCGACAGATCCGTTGAATCGATTAGTCTCATCTTGCTTTTAATATTTTCAGCCAAGCCAAAATCAAAAGGATCGGCTAAACCCAAATCAGCAGGTAAAGCCAAGAGTCCAAAAAAGAAAGCAGCTACGCCAAAAAAGAAAACCGCTGCCAAACCAAAACCTAAAGCAGCCAAATCGAAATCTCCTGCAACTACTGCTACTGCTTCGTCATCGTCCTCATCCGCACCTGTTGCATCTTCTGCTTCAGCGCCAGCAGCATCCGCAGCGAAAAAGCCGAAAAAAGCCGCAGCACCAAAGAAAACCAAAAGCCCAAAAAAAGCAGCAAATAAAAAATGAGAAAATGATGTATATATTCGTTTAACATCTATTTTTTCGTGTGCGTGTGTGTTCATCCTGTAGATTGTACTTTTTTATTTCTCGTTATTGATCGCAGATACGGAGCTCCCTCTCTCGTCTTCTATCATATTTACTTTTGTTTCTATTCGATGTTGTTTTTGTTTCTTCGTTGTGTTTGTAAGGCGTATTATGAACGCCGAGATGACTATTTGCTATTACGATTACTATTATTAGAACTATATTCATGTATTACCCTTCGCGCTCTCTCTCGTTTTTTGTTTTGCTTCTGTATATATATCTCTATAGACGTACATTCTTTTTCTCGTCTCGCCGTTGATCGAGATAAATAAAGAGAAAGAAAAACGAAAAAAAAAAACTCATACTGCTCATTTCAATAAGATCAGATGATAAAATAGGTATTAAATGTTCATGGTACTTTTCGTCAACATTGTCTCATATAAACGTATCGCCGAATAAAGCACGTAGGTATGAAATCGTTTTCGTCATGTTCAAATGGGTTGGACAGAAAGAAACAAAAGAGCTCATCATTTTTCTCCTTACTTTATCATTCGAACTTCACTTCAATAAATGACGGACAAATTTCGAGAGAAGATTTCGTTGTTTCTTCTTCTTGTAAATAGACCTGTAGGGGCTTATATAAACATACGTAGAAAATGACCAATAAAAAGCATAGGAGAATGTGAACATAAGCTTAAACAAACATACATACATCTAAAACAGTAAAGTTAAATATTCATTTCAAGTGGTTCTTTCTTTACTTTGATTATTTGAATTTGACATCACTATTAACAGTATGTTCCTTTTTCTTTCGTTTATTCCTTCCGGGCAATTCGATTCACTCGAACACTTTATTCTCAAACTTTCGAAACAATGATTTCAACGATAGGAATGTCATTAAATTTGTTCTGAATTAGTTCTCGAACTTGATTGACGATTTGTTCCTTTATCGAAACATTCTTTTGCTTTTGCGTCCATTCGAATGTGTTCAAATGTTCGTGTAACCAATTCGGCGCCATCAACATAAAGTCAAGATCGAAACTCATCGCTGTTCGATACGTACGGATCGTACACGATTCAAGTTTCAAACCATTTCTCTCTGCAGTTTCTTCCAGGTGCTTTCTCGATCGTTTCGACTTGGCCAATTTCGAGTTCCTGGTTGAGAAATACTTCGGATAGTTCAAAGATGTTAACACGTCGTTGAAACATTTCTCGAACTCTTCATCTTTTTCATAACCATCAGTTTCATCGAAGGCGTGATACCATAATGTATAAAGGAAATAACCGGTTTTAGGTTTAAGTAATTTCGATATCACGGGATATATCGCATCTTCGGACATGAGATGCATTGAAGCATTGCAGAGAATGAAATCGAAAGCATTTCGCGGAATATTCGATAGTTGTAAGCAATCCTCAGCAGCGATTTGATAAACGTGAGGAGTTCGGATCTTCTGTCGAGCATGAGTACACATTTGTTCAGCTGGCTCGATAAGATACAATGCAGAAGGAGATAAATGTAGATGATCGATCAATAACTTCGAAATTAAACCGGTTCCTGCAGCTAAATCCATGATGCGAATGTCTTCATCGTTCGTTTTTCGATGTCTTTCAACGAATTTGATCATCTCCATCGCCATATTGGTAAAGATGGGATACTTTCCAATGAGGATTTCATATGCATCAGCTCGCGTATGCCAAGAGGCGATAGTTCTTTGTCGTTCATGGTCAGTCATGATATATTCAATCGAAAAAAAAGGAAAAATCGTCATAAATTCGATTTATTCAGAAAAAGAAATTTGGTTAGCTAAGCAAAACTTTAAATTGTTTTTATTAGGTCATTTCACAAAAATAAAATCAATGAAATGATGTATGGTGAAAGAAAAATCTGCGGAAAATTATCAGATCGAGCGATGAGATTGGTATTAAATTCTCAGTTTATCTGTGTCAGGTTTCAACTGAATTTTGTTGGACTTCGGCTTCGATTCACTTGATGGATGTGGTGAAGGCGGGTTGGTGATGGCTTTGAGGAGATGTTCGCGCATCGTACGAACGAAATCTTGCCCGAATTCCGGGTAGCGAATTTGCGTGTCTTCGAACAACTGTCGGAGTTTTTGAAATAGATCGACGCCATTTTGTGAGTCACGTGTAGAATGATTACCGGAAGGCGAAAGATTATAACGAATGGAAAGCTAAAAAAAGAATACTTAATAAGGAGAAAATTCTTTTCCTTTTTATTTCATGTTACATCATTAAGTATTGATTCTAACGATGGATTGAATTGATTCTGTTCGAGATTCTAAAAGATATATAAAGGGAAGAATTGGAGATTATTCTGTCGTTGAGGAATTGCCACACGTACCGGATTGGATGGGAGTTTTACCGTTGGAACCCATGGTTCAGCTTCTTCTTTGGATCTAGGCGAGACTTAGAGTCTGAACAGATCTTCTCGTTGATTGTGCGACTTACTTATCATCATCGGAACTGGATTCACCATCGGATCGACCTCCGTGTTCATGTGTTTTCTTCCAATGTTGAAAACGGGAGATTAATTCGACGAGATATTTCGTTGGTTTCGTCGTCGAAACGAATTTCATTCGACGTAGTTGCGACGCGGTGGGTCTCTATTATTGCACGAAGATAAACATGGAAAATATTTTTCAAATTTTCCTACGTGTTCAGGATTCTTTTGTAGACAAGCTTCGACAAATTCTCGAAAACTCTTTGAATGATTCTCCGCTAATTGTGGTGGTGGAGTTTTGGGTATTTGAAACAACACACGCATTGGATGCAGATCCGCATATGGTGGTTCGCCTTTAACCAATTCAATCGCAGTGATACCAAGTGACCAAATATCCGCCTAAACGATTGACGAGTAAATACTTTCATCTCGATTACGTAAGTCATCAGTCTACTTACAATCAGCAGAGACATAGAGTTCGATTGAAAACATTCTTTCTCGATATTGAATTTTTTTTAGATGATCTTGATAACCTTTCGTCTTCTCGATTCTCGTGTTATTATCAACTTATCTACCTTTTCCACTTTTCATTCGATCTCACTGATGGACATGATGTAAAAAAAAGCGAACACACACACACACACACACGTAATTAACATATGTTCATCTGTTAACGGCTCACGAATGCATCGTTAAACAGGATAGCGATCGTGATTATCTCTTGACATGACCAAGACCATTCTCTCTGTTCGTATCTCTCCGAACTCGGAGTTTGTGTCAATGATGTAAGTGACGTCTAAACTGAATTTGATTTTTTACACTTAACTGTCATTATTGATAAATCTTCTTACGTAAGAAACTTTACATGACAGATGAACACAAAGAAAACATTCATTCGATTGATCAATTATGAAAAACTTCTCATTGAAAAACGCAAGCGAATAACCTTCATACTCCGGTGATTAGCATCAATTTTGTCAACACCAAGACGCAGCAGCTGATTTTTGCATAGAAAAAAGTTTCTTACCGAATAGTCGTACTTGTGTTGTAAGATCACTTCGGGTGACATCCAAAACGGCGTGCCAACAAATGTACTGCCTTTGTTCATGGATTCAGTCAACTGTTTTGCAACACCGAAGTCTGCTAATTTGACATCACCATGTTCCGAAAGAAGAACATTAGCAGCTTTGATATCACGATGAATTTTCTTTTCCGAATGAAGGTATTCCAGACCTTTGAGCACTTCACGTAAGATAATGGAGATATTTTGTTCACTGAATGGGCCAGGCTTCATCAAATCAAGTGCCGAACCTCCACCGAGATATTCCATCACAATCCACAATTTCGTGTCCTGAAGAAGAGAGAAGTCATTGCATACTCACATTGTTTTGTATACGAACTTTCAAATAAGAACCGAAATATTTCGTTATATACGGCGAATTACATTGTGATAAAACTTGAATTTCTTGTTGAATGTCTTCGATTTCATCCTCGGCCTTTTCCAAATCGATTATTTTGATTGCTACGATATTCGATGTTTTAATATTAATGCCTTTATAAACTTCCTAGATAAGGTTGACGAAGTCCGGTAAAACAATGTTTTCTAAATCGAGAAAGTACTTACTCCGAACGATCCACGGCCGATATGCTCGAGACGTTGAAAGACTTCTTCGGGCTCGATCTTGCCCTACAGAAAATTTCGTAACGATCAACTTGCTAAGATCATTGCCTACCTGTTTTTGAGAATTTTGTGGACTCTCAGTCATTGATACGAAAGGAAACGAAAGACTTCTGAAAGATGAGTGGAGGATTTGGTTTTGTCGTCTATTTACATTTGTGTATCTCGAGTAAACCTAAAGGGGGAGAAATGCGTCAAACGAAATTCAATCCGACATCAACGAAAACATGTCTGTCTCCTACTCGTTGTTCGATTGTATGCACGAAGAAATGAAGAGAAATCAATATTTGAGCTTATTCGTTCTTGATTTTGAATTAGCAAGAAAGATACTGTACTGTAATTGATCAATATTCTGATTGGTTGACTGTTTACACCATACAATAACCATCGACTAGTTGATCGATCAGTTATCTGTTTCATTTTGAGGAAAACCTTGATTGTATCGAAAGAAAATCAGATTCTTCCGGGTCGTCCAGTACATCGTGATTCAGATGAGCGAACAGGCACCGCCTTCCAGAGTAAAACGAGAGCCGCACTTCAGTCAAGATATATCGATTATTTTAACTATTTGTCGTGCTCATGAGAAGTTAAACAAGAACTTCTCATGAGTATTACTACGTCAGAATACGAAATATCAAGGCAAATTTATGATTCTCACTAATAGATAAGATTCTCTTTCCATAAGAAATGATAATTATTGACATGTAACATGTGAAACGGGATATCACTATTTGACAGAACGTACTACGCTATACTGTATCTGTGTTGTAATTGTAGAAAAGAAACATCGTTATTGCTACTATTGTTTGTATGTATATTTAATTCGTTCGTAAACTCCGTCCAAGCCGATCATTCCCATACTCGGATACGATCAGATTCTATCGGGATTTGTCGATATGGGTATACGTATCAACAAATAAACAAATGGATGGAGGCAGCTGTCAGCACAATGTTCGTAAAATCATACGTAGATACAATGAACATATTCATTAGGTGCATATGACGTTTAACGACGACCAGCCGTTGACATATTGTTGTTGGGGGTACTCAATGAACTGATATAATATTCCTTATTAAAAGGAAGTCATGTCGAACGCATTTTTGTCGGGACACTCGATATCTGAACGTATGCACAGGAATGGTGTGAAGTTTGTGCATATAATTTCGGAGTGAAGTGTATCTCTGTAAAAATTTTGAGAACGAAATTCTGATTGGTTAAGGATCCGGACCAAACAAAAAAGTTTGAGGTATTTGTTTATTGAATCAATATCAATCGGCATGCTGGAAATGTTGAAAGAATAGGCAGTATGACTCAGTGATTAGCTAATTTGTTCGATCGATGTGGAAACTCCACCGCAGTATAAATAGAAACCTTTTCCGGGACTTCAGTATGTGTTATTCGACGAAATCGAAGATTAGTTGGAAAGGTACAGAGTTTTGTTTCTTCATCTATGGAATTTACTAATGAAAACGAAAGCAAAACGAGCAAACAGTTTTCACATGATTGTTTTTTATTTTATTTTGGATTGAATGAAGCTATGCTTCTATTTGCTCGAATTTCCACACTCTATTCCATTCGTCATTCTAGTCGTCGCCGTGAATTCTTTGCTCAACTCAAAAAACTCTATCGTTCGACCACGTTAGATCTATTTATGGCTTCGAATCAGCGTACTTGCTTTGTCTTTGATAAAGACGATCAAACGAAAGTTCTCATTCAAATGACCTACGATATACCGTCGACAGCAGTGCGACGAAAATTTAATTTATTACGCTCGGTTGATGAGTCGGTTTCTCAAACGATACGTCGTTTGGCTGCCAATATCGAGCAGGCGGCAAAGAAGAAAAATAAACGCCGTGATAAGCAGAACAATAAGATTGATTCACCGGTCCAACCAGAACCGATCGTTATTCAATTATTTGATGAGAATAATCAAGTGATTGATGAAACTCAGCTAAACAAACAAGCTTGGCTGAGTTGTCGACGATTGGTTATCAATGAACAGTCGTATCAAGTTGAATACAATGCGCCTGGTTAATACTTGTACTTCAGGAAACTCATTTTCTACGTGAATTCTTCTAGCTTTGATCAAATTTCGATTTCCGGAAATAATTATGTCGAATGCGATCACGACCGCAGTTGTTGAACTTGATTATGGTGATCCGGAACATTCACTATTCAATTGGTATGTTGCGGATGAGTTGAAAACTGAAGAGACCGATGAACTTGAAGAAACTATTGATGATGCACAGTGGATACACGTTCATACTGGCCCGTTTTGTATCTTTCGCGATGAACATGTCAATAAATTCGTGCGTCTTGCCTGCTTACCACGAAACAGCTCTGCGCGAACAGGCATGCAAGCAGTTCATACTTCCAAAACACGAATTATTCCATGTCCAAGTGATTTACCAATGAATACAAGGCATCAGTTAACCCAAGATTACCTTCCAATCGATTCCAACTCGTACGATCTGTCGTTTTCTTTTGATTCTCATAAATTTTTCTCGTTTCTAGACTTCGTGTAGTTTCGTATAACATCCTCGCAAATGGGTATGCAGCATCGACCGGTGCAGCTGAAATCATGTACCCGTATTGCCCCGAAGATCATCTCAATCATGATTATCGCAAACCACTTCTTCTGAAAGAAATCTTAGGATATCACGCTGATTTGATTTTCCTTCAAGAATGTGATACTAGGTTCTACGAACGTGAACTTTCGACTGTATTGAAGCTACATGGATATTCAGGGGATTTGAAGATAAAAAGTGAAAGCGTACAAGAAGGTGAAGCGATCTTCTATCGAAATGAGCGATTCAGGTAAGAATCCTTCTAGGATAGGTCATTTGGTTCATCTTCAAAACTTTCTTTTCAGTGCGATCAATACTCACCATATCAGATTAGGAGAACATTTACGTACTTCACCGCATATGGAACGTATCCGACAATGCACTTCACTAGTACCTAATGTGAATGCAAATTTATTAGAACGAAACACTGTATTACAAGTGAGTTAAAACGAGGCGAGGAAATCCAAGTATATTGAGTGATGTTTTAGGTTTTGGCATTGCAACCTAAAGGACAATTGAATGAGATCTTTCTCATGTGCAATACTCATTTACATTATCACCCTCAAGCTGACATTGTGCGGTGCTTTCAAAGTGTGATTGCGAGTGAACATATTAAAGAAGTGAAAGACTTCTATGAACAACAAGTAAATGTTTTTTTTGTTATTATCTATTTGCATTGCGTTCTTTAGAATAAAAATGTATCCATAATCTGGTGCGGTGATTTCAATTCAAATACAACCTCACTAGCGTTTCATCTGCTCTTCTCAGGAGCCCTTTTGCGAGATCCAAACCATCGCGGCTATACCGAAGGTACGTACTGCAATCTTCAGAGGACGATCAATCAATGTCTTCTCGTGTAGGCTATGTAAGAATAATAGAAGACTTCGATTATAAACTCCCGCTTGAACTGAGTACTTATTCGAACTATTCTTATACAAACTACATGGTATCGTTTCACGCCGTTATCGATCACATCTTCTTCGAAACGAAAAAGTTCAAATTTCACCGATGTATACCAATGCCAACCGATGCAGAAGTGACAGAATTTACGGCTTTACCATCGTGTAAAATTCCGAGTGATCACTTAGCTATTGTCATGGATCTTGAAATGATAAAATAATGCTCTTTGCATTTGTGATACTCTTAATAAAATCATCCGTTTTGTTTTCCTATCCGATTTGTTTTTTTTCAAAAACAATCTTGCACTAGGCGCTCCTGAGAATCTTCCTCGTCGCTGTTGATGATATGCAAACTGATAACCATTGTTTTGCCGTACTGAAAACGGCCTAAGTATTTCGAGAGGTCATGATTGTGTCGAACTCTGCATTCAGCGTCCTCTATTCTGAATTTGTCATTCACCACTCATGTAAAGGCAAGTATCTTGAGATAGACGCATGTCGTGCGATTAGATACGGTTTTTGCTTATTTATTTCATACCTTTTAGTAGAATAATCATAACGAAAATGCCTCAAGAAGTAAATAGTTTGATAATTTCTCTTTTATCTTATTTTGTAACAATATTTCGTCGGTAGGACTTAAAAGCTCAAGTTGCTTTTGCTGAAATCAATAAACGCGCTCAAGCACAGCCAACTCTCGTGAAAAAAGTTGGTGCTGTTATTGTTTTTGATATCACAAAGGGTGGAAACGTACAACAGAGCTGGAGTAAGTCGATTGCATTCCATCAGAAACTATTGAACATTACGTGTTTTAGCTGTCGATGGTAAACAAGGAACCATCTATGAAGGTAAACCAAAAGAAGGTGCCACTGCTCAAGTGACAATTACCGTGGACGATGATGATTTCATCCAGTTAGCAACAGGTCAAGCTAATGCACCGGCTGTATGTCGAAACTTGTTTGTCGAAGTCATTTAATGCGATGTACTTTTTGTGTTTAGCTTTTTGCAAAAGGCAAACTCAAAGTAAAAGGCAATGTCATGCTAGCACAGAAATTGTCCACACTTTTCAAAGAACAATCGAAATTATAAACGAACGAAGAAAAAGTCACCTGTGATTCTTTTTACTCGTTGTTCATGTGTGTGTGATGAATGTATTCTTGCTTCTTTTTGTCGATTAAAACTATGCGATTTGATCAGAACGAATTTCTTTGCAAAAATTTCATTCAACTTTGATCGGTTACATCTGCAGGAGATACTTGAGAATGAAATCAATCTTCTCTTCTCGTTTTAACGCCCATATGTTAGTAAAACCATAAAACGAAGGATTTCATTAATGTTCACTTTGCGATTACGTGTTTGAAAGGAAGAAGGACGTGTCATACGATCTGAAATAGAACATAAAGAATGGAAACGGATGTAATTGCAATAGTATCAATATTATTGTTGATTGTAATACTTTTACTGGGCTTCGCTATTGTTCGAATCATTATTTTATGTCGCTATTCTCCACTGAGGCAGTTCTTGCGTTTTGATCGTGGAGAAGAAGTAAAAAAATGCTATTTACACGTATCTCGATCAACAACAACAAATGACAGGTAAGTTTATTTGAAAATCTTTTCAATAAGTACACTTGAGAGTGAATGAGAAGAGAAAAATTCGCGCCTAAAACAAATAGAACTCAAACAAAGAATATTGGAAACCGTATTATATCAAGTGTTCACGCAATGTTTTTGATGAGTTTATCAAAATGTCCAACTGAGAGATCGTCTGGCTCAATCTATTCGAATTCACTTGCTCGTTTGATCCTTCCGAATTGGAAAAGACAGAGAGAGAGAGCAACAAAGCAGAAGAAGGCGATTGTGAAGGAAGAAATCATCTTGTGATCATTTGTCTTGTTCTTCTTACAGATCGGATCGTGTTTGTCATCGTCTCTTTATTATTCGTTAAGAATTCTCTTCAACTTTTTCTTTCTCTTCTTCAACTCAGTCGCTTACTCGATTTATTCTCTCTTTATACGAATAGTGACGAGGGTAACAGACAAGTTGCAATTGAAGATTGACAGAACGGATCAGTGAGTAATCAGACGATAGGCACGCATAAACACATACAGTTATTTTCTTTATCGATTATGAGTACTAGTCGACATCAATGGTCTTGGCGAAGTTGTTTCGCCGCTTTTAAACATAATAAAAAGTCGAAAAAACACAATCGAACTCAATCGGCAAAGTAAGCGACTTTCATCAACTGAGAAAAACTCTTTCTCAGTCGACCTTCCAACATGCTTTTTTTTGCAAATTTAGTTTACAACAAAATGGGCATACACAAACGAAACAATTGCCAACTGTAAACGAGAATTCCAGTCTACAGTGCATATCATCAAACATAAGCTTGACGGATGAATCAATCGATCAGTTTACGGCACCGAGTTCGTGTATTGTCAAAGTTGATTCGAATGAAAAGCAATCAGTCGATGAAGATAGCATTCAACAAATCGACATTAATTTACCATTGATGAATCAAAATTCGCTGTCCTCAATACGACCAGTACAATTAGATGCGATTGTTGAAGACTCAAATGAAGAAAATTCCGATGGTTATGAGGAAATTATTTCGGCAAAACAGTAAAATTTCACCAGGAGAAGAAAAGCAAGTATAACCGAACTTCTTTTTTACTTAGATTATGTTGCGATCGGGATATTATCACTGATGCCAACATGCTTTATTCTCGTTTATTCGACCTGAGTCAAATGAATCATGTCAAAACTCAGTTCAGAGAAAATGGCAATTTACTCGGTGAATTCTCTCAGCAATTGGAAAAATTAAAAGTGAAAACTAATGACATCGTGCGAACGAGTGCTCAAATGCCACGCGATGCTGAATTACTCGAGGCACGGTAATGTCGAGGAAAAAAAGAATATGTATATATAAAGTAAATCTATTTTTTGTTTTTCTTAGATATTCGTCGCTAGTGGCCACGATCGAAAGTCTTTCAATCTTATTACGAATTGCTCAAATACCTGCTTGCCGTGCATTAGTGAATCGTTTGTTTTTCTCGATTGAACAACGTACGGAACAACTTAACAAACTTGTTGAACTTACATTCATGTCGTTATATAACATCAAACAACGTTCAGATTCTTGCGATGATGATTTGTCATCATTTAGAAGCGCTCTGTCGTCATACGAACATCTTTTAACAACATTCTCATAAGACGTGCATGTCTTTGTATTCTATGTTCTTTTATATTTGGACTTTCTCAAAAAGAATCTCTCTTCTTGTTTGGTATCAAAATGCTAAGCGTGTCTGTTTTGTTCTATCATCTCGTGTGATCTTAATGATACACAACCAAAAGGAATAGCGCTATGTCCTAATATAGATTCTGTTTTTTTCCTCTTTGAGGAATATCGATGGTATAAACTAACGAGACAGATACTTATTTAGTATTGATTATTCGAAGAAGCAAACACGAGACCCTCCGGATCGAGATGACCTTAATGATACGGATTAGTTTTTGCCTTCTAAGCTGTTTAATGATAAGAAACGTGCGCATGAATTCGATCTGTGATATTTTGAAAGAATCGGCAGGTAATGAAACTATGGAGATTAATAAATCAGCAAGATTACGACGTATCAGTGTACTTTGTAATACTACGCGTAAGACACGAATTATACCAGACTTTGATTTAAATCAGATCAATTCGGGTACATAAGATCTTTTCCAAGGAAATTAATCGAAGGGATTTTATTTAGAAATTGAAGCTGATCAAATCTTGGAACGATTTCGCCGTGCTCGAGGAGGCGGAGGAGGAAGAGGAGGTGGTGGCGGAGGACGATCCGGTGGTGGACGATCTGGTGGTGGTCGATTCGGGGGTAGTAGAAGTGGATCAAGAGTTTTCAGTGGTATATCAGCCTTTTAAGTACTATGTTTTCACATCGATTCGAATTTTAGGAAGTCGATCATCGTCATCAAGAATCTTTAGTAGTAACTGATCAATCAATTACAAGGCTGCTCTTTTATGTTCTACTTCGGTTGATTATTTTAGGTAGTAGTCGAGCATCCTCATCAAGCCGTTCTGGAATCTTTTCTCGTAAATGTGTTTGACCTATCAAATAAGTCAAGTATCTCTTTTCACTAGGTAGTAGCAAGGGCAGTGGTGGAACATTCGGCGGTGGAGGTAATCGAGTGCGCTTAGGACTTCGATCTATGCTACGAGGATCGTCGGGCTCAAGTTTGTATCCTTGTCTGAAATAATCGATATCATGGATACAAATTCGTTTATCGAAGGAGTTGCCACTGGTACAAGTGGAAGTAGTTCTAGTTTTGGTTCTCGAATTCGTAAGTTCATACGTTACCTAGTGTTCAGTAACAAACAGAACTGATCAATTTTCTTAGGTAAAATCACACATGGTATTGGTACTGGTGGTTCGAGATCGGGAGGACGTCATTTTGGTATTGGTGGCTCTGGTGGAAGCATATGGGTAAATCTAATTTCGTCCCTAACGACTTCTTTGATCAATTTACGTCGACAAATTTTCTAGTCACGTTCGGCCAAAACGTTCATACCACATGCCGCTCGTTTTGGCAAACGATATTATCAACGACGAAAATACAATCAAGGCGTCTATGCTGGTGTTGGTTATTATGCAGGAAGTCGAGTGGGTCACCATGGACCTTATTATGCACATGGTAATCAAAGAAAACATGTTCTTTATTGCTGTTCTAGCGAAAGCTGCTCTCGAATTTTAGGATACTATGGTTATCCACCTGTGTCAGAGCATCCTCCAAATACAATTAATGGTACAAAACCAGATGTGTTTTACTGTATTCAAGAAGATCTGAATACAACATTGGTCAATACGACATTGGACAAAGATGGTTTCGGTGTTTGTAATGTATCTGGCAAATTAGTCACTTGTCCAATTGAAATTGAATGTAAACTCTCTGAAGCCGATACCTGTTGTGAAGGTAATCAAATGAAAGTTCTCCTCTTTTAATGTTTCATCCATCTCGAATTTAGACGAAGAAGGTACACCGTTTTGTTGTGGTGGGCCCATGCCTCTGGAGTACATTACTCAATACGGTGGATATGCAGATGATTGGAGAGATTCTGCTGAGACTTTCGATAAAACGTAAGACAAAAACACCTTGCTTCGAAACTAAAACATCTGAAAACTTTCTTAGGTTTAATCTAATCACTATGGTGATGATTTTTCTCACAACGATTTGCTATTTAAAATGGTCTCGTCGTGTTGAATAGATATTCTTCGTACGGGCATTTATTTAATTGATATTGTCGAAACAAAAACATTTTGAATCATGATGATAGACGTGCATACTATATACTGAAGAAATAAAGAAAGTTAGAGAGAGAGAGATGTGCTACATAATATCAATATTCATCAGTTCATTTAATTTGCTTGTCGTTTGCGAGCAAGAGCATATGGTAGACCATATAATGATGATAACAGTTCACTCTTACGTTTCGTGTGCGTATACACGTCTTGATTTTCGCCACTGTTATCGTCGCTAGCTAATTCATCGTCATCACCAAGACGAAGATATGCGATGTGAGATGGCTGACCGTTCTTGTAGATCTAAGAAAAGTCAGAACATGAGTTACCTTCATCAATCTGAAAACATTCAATACAAACATTGTGCACAGCTCGACTCTCGGCCTGATTCGGACAGAATGTTGCCAACGTAATAAATAAAATCATTAACATACTAAGCAATTTGAACATGGTCATTGCAACAGATCGAAAAATATCGATTTATCTAAAATAGATCACAAATATTCACCAAACTCCTACATATTTCTTGCGATATGAAACAAAAACTCCAAAAACAAATCAAACAGTCTGTCTCTCTCTCTCTCTCTCTCTCTCTCTCTCTCTATTTACTCGATATTATAGATCATCTAATTGGCACGCGAACAAATATTTTCCATAAACAAAGCGATACAGTGTCCTTATTCCCAGATCACACGCAGTGTTCACCTGATGTCACAGTATTTCCACATCTGAATAAATGAAAATGTCTATGTTGATATAGGATCTCTTAATTTGATGTCTAATCGACGCAAAATGAGTTACTTACTATGTCAAGTTTGTTCCTGTTCTCATTTAATTAAATCAGACTCATTTAATTTGAATTCTAGTTTATAGAGAAACAAACAGTCCTAACAACAATCTCACTCGGAAACGAGTCTAATAATGCACAAGTTGTTAGCTTTGTTAGTTATATATATAGAAAAGCTAATGAGGAGGCGAAGACGAGAGAGAGAGAAAGAGAAAAAGGCTCATACAGTGTATTCAATATCCTGGATGGTTTGTTTTCCCAAATAGAAATTAAGATTTTAGTCTCGTTTTCTCTTCCTTTCTGCATCATTAGAACATTGACTGATAAGACAAGCGACCAGTTCGATTGAGATCTTCTCATTCAAACAATTGCCAAGTAAATCAGTAAAATCTAACGTGATTAATCTTTTTCAATGTTCCATAACTAACGACATGATCAGATGAGATTTTTCACGAATGGGCTCGCATAATAAAAGCCCAAGTACGAATGAAATCTCAAACGATAGATCAAGGTTGTCGAGTTTTCTACACACAACAAAAACAACGCTGATTTAGTTAATATTCATTTATTCAAATGGATCGGACGCGCTCTCACATCACTCGTGTCAAATTAACTTGCAGCACCACTTTTCACCGACACTGTACGTCCCTGATCTAACTGATTCGAATGGAAGAGACATTCAGATGTTCTGAGACGAAAGAAATGCTTTCGAAACCCACGCTCTCAGCTCCTGAAGATCTTTTCCAATAATTGATTTCGAAATGACAAAGTAAATACACTCGAATGGACTGATCAACAACGCACTAGTCGAGTGGAGAGTTCTTATCTGTATTATGGAAAAAATTTTGATGATGCTACTGATACGAAGATCGTATGCGGATAGAATGTTGACTTTCGTGACGATTTTTATCACTCAGCCGATCAGCGGTGGAACTTTCTAGGCACAACGGCGTTTTTCATCATTTATTGCCAATAGAATGAAATTTATGTTCAGTTTTAATCGATACTTCCGCTCAGCAGGAATAGATGGCAATGTCGTTTTTAGATTTGTTTTCGCAGACGGGGATCATGTTTCACTCTATTCCGAATTTTTCCATAAATTTTCAGGCTTGTCTGTAAGCAATTTTGACGAAATGCTGCTGATGAAATAAAGTGAATATGAAATGATGCAGCACTCAACGTAAATATCATCAGAAATAATATATTAGACGCAAAGAATTCGGCTTGAAGAACCAGTACACTTATCGATTCTAGGACAAACTGAGCAATCTTTTTTTCACTATAAACCATCATCATGGGACTTGTTGTGTTTATGTACACAAATACTTCAGCTATAAGAAGAACCAATAAATCTCGGTCGTGTCGTTTTTATCGACCCGTTGGCAAATGTTTCAGATTTCGGTAAGTTAAACAAGCGAATACCGTTACGATCATTGCTGGTATCGCGCTAATACATCACAACATAAACTCCGTAGAATGTTGCATAGTCACCAGTCGGTGCGCATAGACCTTTGTTGACATTCAACCAGATAACAGCATGACTAACAGCAACGACCCAAAAGATGGAAGCACAGCAAGTGAAATACTTTGCATGTTTCCGTGTGCTAAATGATCGAAATGACGCACGATAACTTGTGCGAGATGTTTGTTGCAACCGAATTGACCAGGTAGATCGAACATGCATTGTGTGCTTGTCGATTGAAAATCATCAGAATAAGGATGTTTCCAATCACCCCAACAACTAGTACAGTTGGACAACCGTAAAATTTCATTTCATTTTGGACTCGAGGCAGGATAGCGTTTGAGATGATCACGTACGACGGAACTTTCAGCAAAGCGGTACTTGCGAGAAGAATTTTGTGTACTTATAGATATTTTTAATTCCATATTACTCAAAAGATCGTTAAAGATCATGGTGCTACGAAAACACTTCCAGTTATAGATTTTCTCGTTTTAGATTATGTACTGTTTTTTCATACACCTTTTTTAATCTTCGCATTCCAGTCTAACTTCCAGTTAGCAAATAGGGAGTACATCCGAAAGTGTGTTTTGTAACTGAAAGTAAATGCACCGCAAAATATTCTTTCATGTATTCAGGTTCGATTTAGTTAAGTCAAAGTTTCGTCCAGATGACGTTCGTTAGTTCGGCAGACTTTAATACCATACCACTTTGTTTAATCTTCTAACGAAGAACTAAAATTGTAATGAGCTTCGTATTCATTAACCTATTTCTCACATAGCATAAGTAGAGCAAAATAGACAACACTTTTCATTTTTATTCTCAAATGAACAACATCTATGCATACAGATGACTTCCGTGATAGATGCCGTAAGTAGTTTGAAATCTCATATCAATGAAAAACTCAACACATAATCATTTACGTACGTGTCTCTATTAACTAATATATTTTCTATTTCTCGTTGCTTTTTTTTTTTTCTTTTGACCGACTGTTATTGTCTTTTTCCGTCGAGCCGAACGAATGTAATACATGTACATGTATAAATTTTTTTTCTTTTATCGTTTTGCCTTGCCATCTTCAACGCGAAGCAGTCGACCCTCTACAGAAGAACGCAAGAGAAAGGATAGAGAAGAAGAAAAGAACGACAACAATAAACATACACATACACACACATACGCGCACACACATATACGTCGACCAATTATACCCTTGCACATTCATTTTCTATCGTCGATTTCATCATCGTTTGCCAATAGTGAAAATCTCGATCTAGTTGGACCATTTACAACCAATGTAAGTTGCAATAAAGCTCGGGTTGGCTGCCTGATTCCCACCAGTTGATTTCAAGATAGAGTCGATTAGATTTCATAATGAGAAAACTGAACACAATGCACAGTTATTTTCTTTTTTCTAGTCCGTTTGACAATGGATTCAGGCTTACAAGTAAGAAAACAGTTTTACATACCAGGAAGAAAAACCGAATGACTATTTCAGGTTGCTCAGCAAAATTCTTCACCATCAACAGGTGGCAATGTAATTTTACTTAATAATAATGATATGATGCAACAACGAACAAGTATCGGCGGACAGCAAGTAAAGATTATCGAATAGATGAAGATATTTACTTGAAAAATCTCATTTTTTATAGATTATCTTAAAAACAAGTTCATCGCCGACCTCAAATTCTACGCAAGGTCAAATTCTTCAAACAGCAGACGGACAACTGATTATTTTACAAAGTGCTGAACAACAACAAAGTCAATCCACACAATATGTTCAAGTTGGTGGTCAAAGTAAAAGAAAATTCCAACAACTATATATAATATCGATGAATGTATTTTGCGCTAGTTCTACAATTGAGTAATGTACAAACTGCTCAACAGCCTCAAACAATAACCATTCCAGCTGGTGCATTACAGCTCGGCGGTAATGGGCAACAAATCGTTCAACTTGCTACACCAACTAAAATGCAGAACTCCTCACAAAACGGTTCAGTGATTATGGTAAGATGTTCGAATGAAATGGAGTTCGAATCGTTAATTCTCTTCTCTTAGATGATGCCAGGAAATTCAGGTCAATTACAAACTGTTCAAATGCAATCAGCCGGTACAGCAGCGACAGCACCTGCTCAAACAGCTGTAGCATCTGAGCCCACAGAAGAAGAACCATTATATGTTAATGCTAAACAGTACAATCGAATTTTAAAGCGACGAGCAGCACGAGCTAAACTTGAAGCAGAAGGACGAATTCCACGAGAACGTAAAGTATGTTGTCGCTCAAATGTGTCTTTCATTTATGTAGAAAACGATCTTTTGTTTTATAGCGTAAATTTCTTCATGAATCTCGTCATCGACATGCAATGAATCGAGTTCGTGGTGCTGGTGGCCGTTTTGCGCCTGGATCGAAACAAAAGGCCTAGACTGAATCTTAAATAATTTGTCGTTTTTCTTTTCTGTGAATTGTTTTCTTGATTTCTTCTTCAACATGTGCGCGCTTGTGTTGTGTATATTGTAAAGTCAGCCCAGAGAAGATTTTTGTTTGTTTGTAGACATCTAAATGACTGCATTAGTGCGAAAGAAAAAAAACCTAACATGTTTCGTTTCCTTTTTTGTCTGTTGTAGTTGTGGATATTGTTAACTGAAAGGAAACAGGAATAAAAAAAACTGAAGGGAATAAAAAAAAAGTCAACATGTTTGGGCGAGATAGAAGAGAAATTCATTCGATGTTTCGTTGTTTTAGACATATGCAGGAACGACAGTTAATTTTTGAATCTGTTTTACCCAGTGAACTTGATCCGGCGAGATATTCCAAACCAGTGATTGATGGCATTGAACAAGCTTTAACAGGTAATTTTGTTGAGAGTTCAGCGAAAGACAAGAACATCGATCTGTTCATTTAGTTACGTGTACGGACGGTAAAACAGTAACACATAATCCTGCTGAACCGAAAGTCGCTCCATCGATAAAAGATGATTTCGATGATGACGAATTAGTCGCGTTCGCTGAGAATTTAGAGAATATTTCTCCAGAAGAATTGGAAAGACGTGCGAAGAAAAAAGAACGACCGAATAATCCCTTGTTCAAGTATCGCCGCGGTGTTCTTTCTGTATCGGATTTATCCGCACAGATCTGGTGTGAACAACAATTGTATTATAAATTTCTGTATCCATTTGTTCTCAACGACGAAGGAGAAATCAAACGTGTTGATGATAAGCCACATATGTTATGCGGAACAGCATTACATTTGGAACGTGAATTGGAAATTCAGACCAAAGTCTCGATCGAGTGTAAAACACGTGAAGATTCTTACGGAGTGCGACTGTTGAACATGGTCCAAGGGATTAATGGTTTATTAACCTGGAATAAACCAAATGAACGATATATAACACGTGAAATGCCAGTAAGATATTTAACGATTGAAAAGAACCGATGGTGATTTGTTTTGAATAGATTTTCGGAAATATGTACGGCGGCAAACTGTATTTTCGTGGGATAATCGATGAAATTAATTACGATCCACGAACCCATCAGTTAGAAGTTGTGGAATTCAAGACTCGGGCATCGAAAACAGCGCCGAAACCGCAGCAAACGTACACACATGAAGTCCAAGTGAATATTTATCGCACATTACTCGATGAACTTATTCAAGGACAAGTCGACAAAAGTCTCTATTTCGAACGATTTAATTTGCAACCATCCACACCATTGTGTGAGGCGGTTAGAAATGAATATAAAGAACGGGGATTTCCAGATATTAATACATTGGAAAATGCTTTTGATTTATTAATGAAATTAACATTTCGAATGCCGACAATTACAACTAGTGAGTCGATAAAACATGATTTCAGCTTTTTCATATATGGAAGTTCTTCTAGATGGTGCTATTGAATATATTTTACAATCGGATGCCACCTGGAAGCATCGAAAAGAGTTTCAACGTGACGAAAAACATCTTCAAGACTTACTGATCAAATCCGAGCCTTTTTGGCTCGGTACACGTGAGCCAGAAGGTGTGGACATCGAAGATGCCTTCAAATGTCAATGGTGTGACTATGGAGAAATTTGTGCATGGCGTGAAGAAAAAGCCAATGAGTTTTCACGAAAAAAGAAACGATTGAATTGATCATAATTTGCCTGTCAGATAATGTGTTGTGTATATAATGTAAAGATATATATATATATCTCTCTGTGCCTTGTGATCACTTGTCTTGTCTATTCTCTACCTTCAAACAAATTTCTATGTTTTCTAGATGGCTAATCCTAAACGAACGATTTATGTCGGTGGCTTAGCTGATGAAGTCGATGAGAAGACAATTCATGCAGCATTTATTCCATTCGGTAAGATTTTCATGAAGATTGATCATTCCAATACCGAATAATTTTCGTTTTAGGTGATATTTTTGAAGTTCAATTACCGATGGATTATGAAACACAAAAACATCGTGGCTTTGCCTTTGTTGAATACGAAACTGCAGACGATGCTGCAGCCGCTATTGATAATATGAACGATTCCGAACTATTCGGTCGAGCTATACGCGTGAATTTAGCTAAACCGGTTCGTTTGAAAGATACCAGTTCTAAGCCGGTTTGGTCAGAAGATCAATGGTTGTCCGAAGCGATGAATGCTACAGACAAAGATGCATCGTCCACTGACGATAACAATAACAGCACAACTACAAGTTCAACAAAACCAGCAGGAGCAGATTCGAAAGAAACTGATGTTGATGAACTCGATTTGGATACAGGTCGACCATTATCCAAACGAATCAAATCAACAGCGAATCCACGTGTCTATTTCGATATTGAAATCAACGGTGGCCGAGCGGGACGATTAGTTTTTACCCTCTACGCAGACATCGTTCCATTAACAGCAGAGAATTTTCGTTGTTTATGCACACATGAGAAAGGTTTCGGCTTTCGACACACATCATTCCATCGTATTATTAAAGAATTCATGGCACAAGGTGGTGACATGACCAAAGGAAATGGAACAGGAGGAAAATCAATCTATGGGCGAACATTCAAAGTAAGATACATGCGAAAGAATTTCGGAGACAATATTTTCACAATTTAGGACGAAAATTTTAATTTAAAACATACACATGCTGGTCAATTATCAATGGCGAATTCCGGTCCGAATAGTAATGGTTCCCAGTTTTTCATTACGTTTGTTAAATGTGATTGGTTAGACAATAAACATGTATGTATTGCTGATTGAAAAACGAGTTTCGGTTTGTTGTTATGATATGTTTTAGGTTGTATTCGGTGAAGTTATTGAAGGTTTTGAATTGTTGAAGAAGATTGAAGATGCAGGAACAAAAAGTGGAACAACAACAAAAACAGTGACAATTGCTGATTGTAACGAATTCAAATAGTGTATCTGTTGAGTTATATGTGTGTATATACTACTGTCCATTACAAATTCTATTTTTGATGGACTAGGAAAATAAAACGAGAAAATTCTGTTGTTCAATTTGACAAGTTTTCATGTCTAGCAGATTTCTACTCCGTCAAACCTTGTTTTATTTTAAAAACAGAGAAAACAAAAAGAAGCAAACTTCAGTTTTCGTGTGGTGGTGGTGGTGCAATGTCACTCAATTGATCACCTAGAATGAGCAACAAGAAACATAGAGCTTTTTTCGTGATGAATTCTTTACCATCAAGTGGTAGAATGGATTTAATCCAAAAAGCATTCAGAAGATGGTCAATCTTTGGACGGCCAGAATTAGGATGGAGAAGAACAGTTAGGTTGCCATGATTGATTGAGATAAATGATACAGCATCGATGAATTGTTCTAATGGTAAATAAATACCCCAGGAGCCAATCGGATGAGGACTAAACTAATGCATTTGCGAGTTGATTGTTTGAAAATAGAAGTCTTACCCAATAGGTGCCATGTTTAAGTCCCAATGGCAAATTTTCGGACACCAAGTCTCGCAATCATCGTTGCAGCTATCGACGTTAAATCGTTCGATAAAGCGATTTCGCAATGAAGTGGCTTCGTTCGTCTGGTTTTCATTCTTTTGTAAAAAGTATACATGAATATGATAAGAATAATACGTTATGTTATCATTGACTGGAGCATTCTCTACATCAAATCGATGATTTGTCAGTAATAGATCTTCGATCGTCCCGTGCTGGATGACATGTCCATTTGCGAGAAGATTCAAGACGAAACAAGTAAATGTAAGGAATACAAGTTTAATCGACATTTTAATGCTTAGCATCTTGAAATAGTCCGGTTTGTGTATATATACTTCAAGTTTCTATTGCGAATAGTGCAAGTACATAATGACAATGTGAAAGATAAGAATGACGAGGTTTTTATTATTATTAAGAAGATATGATAAATCATTATTTCTCAACGCAAAACGAATAACTATCAGTAGCTTCCCATCTGATGGGTTAATGTCATCCCACGCGCAGTGTTGAGATTTATAAGTATCGCATAGAATCGATGTCAAACTGACTTGATGTTGTATCTTGTCGTGCATCACCTTCGAGAGTCATGCCTTGAATGATTTCTTCTCTTTCGGTGTTAATATCTAGATGTACGGTTAACATCCGTTGACTCGTTGGAATCAGTTGAATTTTCACTTGTCGAATGATGTTTCTTATCCAAAAGGCAATCGCTGTGCTGACGGCACCAGTTCCACATGCTTGAGTTTCGTCGAACACACCATTTTCATATGTTCGTATTCGAACGATTTGTTGGTCGACAGTCGGATAGGCGATAGTTAAATTTAAACTTTCGATTCCGACTTTCTTTCGATACGAATTCAAATGTTCTTGAGCGAATCGAATTAGGTCAAATCTGTGAAAATCTTCTATCGATTGAACAATATCACGAGCATCGATAACCACATGATGACTACCAACATTCACATAGGTCCACGATTCAATCAAACGTAAGTCCTTATAAACAGGTAATCGTAAAGCTACTCGATCGTTCCCAATTAACTCTGCGCAATACATGCAACCATTCAATATTAGTTCGATCAGATTCCTTTCAAGATGACCACTTGAGGCTGCATGTCGAACAGCACACCGAGCTCCATTTCCACACATGACTCCTGTCGACCCATCGGGATTGTAAAAATCATAGTAACATTTGCTGTCGGTTTCATTTAAGTCGAGTAACACAAGAAGACCCTCAGCAGCTGGTAAATCTTTTCGTTGACACAAACTTCTCACTAATATAACGTCCAACGGATTCGAAATCATTCCTTTCCGATTGTCAACTATAACAAAACGATTTCCAGCACCGGACCAATGTTGAACTTCGATAACCATTGCACTGGCTTCTTTTTCCTAATGCAGTTAACGTTTTCATATAAAAGACACCAATCATATCCATTTCGTTTATCTTATCTAATCAGATATCACTTACAAGGCACAGCAACACAGTCAATGTGTTATGCTGATCGCTGGAAGACTCGGATTTACAAGATTTGTTTTTTAAAATTCTTCTTCCTTTCCTGTTTTATTTCTTGTTCCGATGTTAGAAATACAATACAGAAAAATTCATACACAAATTTGGCGGCTGCTTCTACTACACTTGGACATATGTTCGTTAAAGAAAAAATAGAAACAAAAAAATTGTACTAGAGCCGTATTTAGAGAAAGGATTCTACGGTTTTTTATACTGCCTGAAAAATATAGTAAGGATGTAAACGGGCAAAAAACGTAACTGGAGGAGAAGTTTCTTGTTCTATTGAGTTCCATTTTTAACCACCGCTAGTATCAACTTTGACGCCAGCATAGAGTTGGACAAGTGAGTCAAAACCGGCCAACACACCAGCACCGGCGATACCTCTTAGAATATTGGCACCAGCACCTTTGAACAATGAGATAACACCTTCAGTGCGGACAATTTGAAACATGCAATCCAATGCTCCCTTGTATTTCACAGCTTGGCCTGATGTCATCATCATACGTCGTCGAATAGTATCGACTGGATATGAGATAAGGCCAGATGTAACTGTGACACCATAACCGAGTAAGAATGAAAGCATGATACCGGCATCTGGACCAAGTAAGATTGGTTTCAAAGTATCATAAAAGCCGAAGTAACAACCACGGTAGATGATGATACCGACACATGAAATGACGAAACCACGATAGAGACCAGCAATACCATCGGTGGCCATTGTCTTTTTGTAGACATCGATGAGACCGTTGTATTTACGTTCACCACCGCCTTTCTTTGTACTTTTAACGTCATTGGCCAAACGTGTACGAGCATAATCAAGTGAGTAGACAAAGCACAATGATAATGCACCGGCTACACCACCACTAGCAATATTTTTTGAAAAATTGACTAAGTATGGATCGTTCTTATTTTGTTTGAACATTGCTTTGATTTTGTCCTTGAAGGCGAAATTCAAAGCCTAAAAACAAACAATAACAGAGTTATTTCTTTGAGAACTCTCGCTGGCGGCGTCGAAACGAACTTGGGTGGGAAAGTATCGAATGCAGTTGGCTAAGTTTCCCCGCCAGAATGGCAACAAACCTTCATTTCGGAAGGTTTGCATTGTACAATCGATAACACCGGTGTATGGTCGAGTAATGGTACCTTGTTTCAACATCTCGCCTTGGTTTTGTACGAGCAATTTGACACGTTCAATGGGAGCTGCAGCTGTTTTCGATACAACAGCAGCTACACCACTGAGTGCAAAGTTTTCAAGAAAACTCAATTTTGGTTTCTCTTTCTAAACAGAGAAGATCATCGTGAGATATTGTTACAAAAGACAGTCAAGATATTTACCACCGCCATTGCGCGTTAGTTAATACGACAAACTGAAAACAAAAAAAGTGCTGGTCTTGGAAAGAGAATTTCGGTTTTTACTCCTTGCTCTTACTTTCGTTGATGATTCTGGAGTCGTAGAGCGCAGAAGTGCCGAGTCAGCCGAAAACAAACGGCTTCAACACGTACAAGATGGCCACTTCAAGTTAACCTCCTCGGAAACGCGTCGTCTTCGACACTCTTACTTTTGTTATGATTCTATTCAAGTTATTTATGTATTTGCCAAAAACATCGACAGAGACATCTATAAAGATCTGTCATTGATCTACGGCAAAAAACCGACTAACGAATGGAGTACTTTCGAGAAAGATCGGATCGGACGAGCAAGACACGTCAATCGAGTTGAATAAAATGCCGAAAAGCTGTCAAAATATTATCGTAGACGAATATTTGAGAGAAGCGAAATCCGATTTAATTACTTAATTTTTTAATCAAGGCCACATAAACAAGTGCATCTTAACTAAAAATAAGTTATTCTCAATTAACGTTTAGCCTAAACAGAAAAATATACCATCCGTCACTTGGAAAAGTAACACACCGTTACTTCTTTAATTAACAATATATGTCATGCTCGATAAATGCTACATGTAAGCCATGGTTCGCGTGCACATTTGCATAGTCAAATACACTCGTACACCTGTGTAGTTCGATGTTCTCCTATACTCTTTCGAAACGACAAACACGAACGTCGAAACAGATCGTGTCCGGTAATGCAACTCTGCGACTGATTGATGGCAATCGAATACCGCTGTTCGGCCTTGGCCTGTATGAAGTTGATGGCAGCTCATGGACGACACGTTTAGTCAAATCAGCAATAACCATGGGTTATCGTCTTTTCGATACTGCAGAGGTGTACGAAAATGAACACGAACTTGGAGAAGGAATAAGAAAATCTAGTGTTGCACGCGAACAAGTATACATCACATCAAAAGTTTACACAACCGAGGGCGGACGCCGCCAGGTTCTCGATTGCGTTCGGCAAAGTCTTATGCAGTTAATGGTAGATTACATCGATCTTTATTTGATCCATGCTCCACAAGGTGGACACGTTCTTGATGCTTACGATACCTTACATGAATTACGAAATCTCGGTCGAATACGTTCAGTTGGAGTTAGTAATTTCGGTATTTCGCATTTAGAAGTAATTCGGAAGAGTGGTCGGCCATTGCCAGTTGTTAATCAGATTGAATTGCATCCATTTTGTCAACAACGTCCAATAGTTAATTATTGCCGTCGACATGGCATTGCGCTCATGGCTTATTCGCCTATGGCACGCGGAGCAGCACTGAATGATCCGTTTGTACTTCAGTTAGCGAGAAAATACCGACGCACGCCAGCACAAATTCTATTGAGATGGTCAGTACAAAATGGGTTTATTCCTATTCCGAAAACCAACCATCTCAGTCGATTGAAAGAAAATTTTCAGGTGTTCGATTTTCGTCTAAGTGCCAATGACATGAGACAACTAACTGACTATGGTTATCAACAACCGATGGTGTCTGGATGGAATCCTGTCTCAAATACCACGTCTCAATTCGGAGCGATTTATTAGAAACGACTTTTTCCTTTCTTTTTCTTTTGTTTAGAATAAAACGTTTAGTTCACAATTGTAAATTCGTCTTTCGGCATTGCAACGAGATCGAGGACCGGTGAACCATCTTGTCCTGCGTATTTTGTAATAATTGCTGTAATTTGTGCCCGGTGATGAGTATTATGATTAAATATATGATCGAGTGCTTCTGCGCGAACCCGTTCATGTTGATTGCCCTTTGTATCGACATATGTAAATGTGTCTTCTTTCATCAGCGCTTCAGTATCCAATTGTTTAACAAAATCTATCCATCGGTCACATTCGATGAAGATCATTTGACAAAGTTCTTTGCGATCCGTTACAGCTTGTTCCCAGTCATGGGCTGGTCGAGACCAATAGGAACTCAACTCAAACGGATACTTTTCTTCATATGGCGAATTTACGTGACGAGCATACCAAACTTTACTTGAAAGAAGTAAATGAACTAAAGTCCCATGAATCGATCGAAAGAAAAGGCCATTGTCTGTACGATAGTCTTCATCCGATATATGTTTGTCTAATTTCTCAAAGAGCTGTCGGTAAGCCCATCGATTGTAGATTGCCATACGAAGAAAATGCTGTTTGTACGCATTCATTTTTCTATTGAATTTGATTACTCGGAGTGCCTTGCACCATACGGACAAAACTAATTTGTCCTTTTAGACAACCTATTCGCTCTATGATACGCCGTAGATGTCACGGATAGCCGAGTAAGGCAATTCAAGTTTCATCTCGATTATATTCAAAGAATTAAATTCAAAAAAAGTATATACATTTCACGTAAAAATAAACAAAAAAAATCGATTACATTCGCCAAACTGACAAATAACAAGAACGGGCCAACTGTGAACTTTATAAGTGCACAGTTACTTTCGTCGGCAAAAATAGCATACGTACATGGCTTATAAAAAAATATAGATTGATTAAAATAGACTTTGTCCAAGGAACAACGTTCGAAATACGATCTCAATCGCGCTGAAGTAGAAAGAAAGACAGAAGAAAATCGAAAAAGGAAAGAAAAACTTTCATTTTATGGACGTCACATCTGTAATATCAATTGCAAAAGAGAAAACACATACATCACATCACATTTTGTCAAAAAAACAAACCGGATGAGATTCACCGCACACACCACTCAATATCGCAGACAGATCGTCCAAAAGAAAAAGAAAGACGGGGTTTATAACCCCTTGATTGTTTTCGTGAACAAAAGAGAAAAAAAACATGTATTTACAACGAAATCGATCCGATGGTTGGTTATTCTAACCAGAAATATGGGTATCAGCGATAACAATTCAATCCTTTCCGAAAGGTTTCGATTTATCATCGAGAATATAGGTCTTTGTTCTCATCAGTATTGCACTAGGTGATAACATACATAACTCTCGGGCAAAAATATGTATCTTATCTTATTCCACGAGCACATACTGATGGACCTATGTTCTCATGTAGAAGAAAGAAACGAGTCCGAGCAAACAACTAAAAGCGATCTGACTTACATCTCTACTCATTAATATATAAAAAAAACAAAAGAAAAACAAACAGTTATTTACAAAGACATTTTGTAAAGACTAGCGTGATGCCATCCACTTACAAACACGGTTATTTACATCATATGAAAAGAAAATAACGGTTTTCTCGTTGCGCACAGCATGAGGTAGTAAACCAGCTACTAAAAATAACGTTCGATATTCGCGATCAATTGTTTTTGGGATGAGATAGTAAAAGGAATGTACGAAAAGCAGCATTCCCAGCCAGGAGAGATAAGGTCGGGGAGAGAAAAACTTGGCTCGTTATATACCCATATATACACAGATTTAAAACACACGCACCCTTTTGTTTTCCGTTACGGATTATTGCTTGAAGCTATAGAAGATTTATATGTACACGTTGAACAAAATATGAATTTATCGGCAGAGGACATGTTTATTTGTTGATGAATTGGTCGTTGAAGAGGTATTTGTTGATGTTGAAGTAATGGTTTGTTGTTGTTGATGATGATAAATGTCAAAATGATTCGACGGCGATGTTAAATTCCATAGGAAATTTGTTGTGGGTAAAGTTGTCATTGTTGATGGATTAGGTAGGAAACCATGTCTGGACATATGTAAAGAAAGATCGTCGGATGTGGGTGAAAAGACAATCGAATGGGTAAATTGTTTTGCCAATGGCGATGATGGCGAAAAGCAACTTGTTGAATAGAACATTCCTTTCGACGATGATGGATAAAAGCAATTCAATGACTCATCTATAGCAGAGAGAACAAAAGCAAATAAAAGACTTCCTGCAACGAACTTTGCCAACCTTTTTCATCGTTTCGTTTTTTCTCAGCTGCATTTGCAAGAAGAAGTAAACCAGAGGAATCTAATTATAGATAATAGAAAACGAACGTCATGTATGACAATAGGAAAAGAAAGAGTAATTACAGTAATCACTTTGACCCAGGTTGGATTTTGTATCCACAATCATCGATGTGCTGGTTGTGTGCGATTCATTATCCGAGTCGCCGTCAATAGTTGAATCATCTGCATGAATATCATTGACATCTGACTTTTGTTCTGGAAGAAAAATATTCATTCTGCTGATGAATCAGAAAAATCAATCAATTATACTCAATTCGCGTTTTTTCCGCGGCCCATCCACCGTTATTTTGATTGCTCGTCGGTAAGTACATTGTTGAGGTGGTGTGGTTTGGATAATTATACTTAAGGTAAACTTTTTACCTGAAAGGAAAATACAAACTATGCTGTGCTTGTCCTTAATTTTGTCATACCTCTTCCGCTAGCGCCGAGGAAACGTAAATCGTTGAATTCTGCGTGGCCGTTGCGAAACCAGCTAACATTGTTCTTCAGCATGGCACATGGATTGAAATCATTTCCAGCCAATACTATAACACGTGTATTCGGTTTGATTTCGATCAAATTCTTCGCTCGGAGAACGAAATGAAGGGACTTGTTTTTTCGCCAATGACTAAGGTAAACAAATACAAAGGTCAATTTTTTCGCTTTTGTGGAAAGAAAACTGTTCTTACTTCGGTAACGACGAACATTCGAAGTATGGATTTAAGTCAATAAATGTATTTTTAGTACGCGCCAGGAGAAGTTCGGCCGGTGATGACATCGGTGAATAGCGTTTGATTAGATTGGATTTCGATGTATTGGTAGAAACGGATATCTTGTTCGTGTCGACGATGAGTTTATGATCAGTAGAGATCGATGGATAGTTACCAGTTGATTCAGTTGAATGAGTTGTACTCGTTGAAGATTTGTCACTTTCAGTCGATAAGCGTCGTCGTTCAAAAGCCATCAAATTGGTATTTACAGAAGAAAACGGGAAAATAATTATCGAATTTATCGGGTCTAGTTTGACCTAACACACATATATTTAATCTATTTAACAAGAAAAAAAACATCTGAGCACATTCGCGGAATTGAGAAGATTAATTTGCCTAAGGAGAAAATACTAACACGTCGCCTTGGTGGTATACATATTCGATAAATAAAAATATGAAGAGAAACAACGCAAAGGTATTTACTTTATTACATAATAATACGTGTAAAAAACAGAAAAAGAATCGAAGGTTTTCGAATGCATGACACAAAAGTATGCGTTCTATTCTGTCAAAACGAAAAAAAAGGAAAGTGTAAGAAATAAATACAAGATGCACTCCTGCTTTATGCGTATATCGATTAACGTAGTCTCGTGATAGTCAGAACTATCATCTTCGTACTACACGTAATGATGAATGAAATAGTTGGCTTCTCGCCTCATGTGATGGTTTTCTCTCTCTGCCTATATTCCTTCCTTACTCCATGGCGTATTTGCTTTTTCTCCATTGACATCGCGTCACGTTCTTTCAACCCACTCTTACGTCTTCCTTTGTTTTCTCTCTTTCTACGACGCTAAAATAAGTTCTGTTATGTTTCGTCTTTTGTGGTTGCCAAACTAACACTTTCTGTTACTTGAGGGTGCACAAAGGAAAAAAGAACGTTTTGGCAGTAGGCCAACTAGTCATCGCGAAATATGACGAAAGAAACTTTGTTCCTTATCTCGAGAAAATTCGTCGAACCAAAGAGTAAATCTCGAAATTTCGATGCGTCATTTTCTTTCTATTATATAAATATGCTGCTTCCTTTTCCCCGTCTGTCTCCTCTTCCCACTTGCTCTTTGTGGTAGTAATGTGCAAAATGAGGTAATTTTTTACCGATATGCAAAAGAAGAAAAAAATCAATAAATATGACGTCATGGAATTGTTTTACATGTGGGTGTTTCTCAATGTTTGTAGCAACGAGCAGAAATAGCAAAAAATATATGATGAATAGGCGAACTATGTAGAAAATATGCAATATATTTGCGAAAAACGATGATTTACACCGATGACGGATGCAATTTGATAGAAATGCGCATTGAGAAGTGAACACGAGGAATGCACAATTGAGTCTACCACCTCTTCGATCAAACGAAAAGATATTCGGAGAAAGAATGACGAGAATGTGAAAAGGTGTAAGGAAGAACCAATCTATCAACTTCGTCATCCACGTATTTTTCGCGTGCATTTTCTCTTGTTTTTTCTTGCGTTTCTACAGACGTACGTTTGACACGAGCCCAAACCGGTTAATCGTATGTGTTTTTCAACAAAAATCATGCCGAGTCATTGTTAATCTCTCATCCGACATGCAATATTGAATGACGAGGTCAGATTTCGACTCGCCACTGAATTTGAGACTCTGACATAATAAATTCTAGTCGATCCTCTCAAATTACCTTCAAATATTGATGAAATTCAATCATTGTAGCGATAGTCAGGTCGATGATTCATAAAGCTTTGTCTTTTTTCAGTTTATTATGGAATACTTTTCTTTAAATATTAACAATTTAACAAAAACAACTACCCTCTCGATGAAGGTATTTCACTCCTGAAAATTTGTCTCTCACTGTTGTCGAAGTCAAAGAAAGATCTAAGATTCAATAGTCAATTTCGTTTTCATATCTTCCAAATCGATCACTTGTTCCTGCTCGAGCTGAATTTGATCTAAATAAGCTAAGATATCTCCAATACTTCGCTCTTCATGACAATCACCATTGATCAGTGGGATAAAAACTTCATGGTAGATTTTATTTGAATATAATTTATGTGTGACTAATCGGATTTGTTCATCGCTAAGCCATAGATCGTCTTCATAAGTCAGAACTGAGATCGTATCGGATTGATTATCGTCATCGTGCTCGTCACTCAAACGATTGAATTCGATGAAGTACCGGATTGTTTCGATGGAATAAAGCTCAAATGAAGAAGAAGTTAACAAATCATACAGAAGTCGTTTGATTTTCAATTGAGAGAATCCATGTATGGACATCATGTATAGATCCAACAGACGTCTTAAACTATCATGAGTTCGTTCATGTACAAGAATCGATTTAATTAAGTAAATCACGATCTGCTTATCGAGATGTTCTAACGGATATTCGATCTGATAGTGATATTTTTTGAATATATAGGTCAAACGACGAACGGTTAAACGTATGTGATAGCATTGCTCAGATGTCATGGAAAGATACTGTTCTTCATAGTCGAAATCATCGACGGACAAACCCAGAAGGGTGATGGCAAGGTTTTGGATGATGGTATACAAGGATATGCGTGAAGTAATTTTTGATGGATTGGTTGTGGATGTGATGATAAATGGGCCTTTGTATATATGTGAAGAATTAAGGAAATTTTCATAGAGAGGATAAACGATTGGATTTGTATAGCTGACAGTACTGATAACATTGTCGATCTAAAAGAAATGAGAAGTAATGCGAAGGTTAAGAGAAAAAAAATTGAAATAACTGACGTTGTTGATCAGGTTTTGTTTGGTAATTGCATGTCCGTATGTCATCGAATGATAAACTCGGAGTAGTTCAGCAATACGATCGATAATTTTACCGGAGAAGTCATTCATGTCATTTAAGAGTAAATAGAAAAGATTATTGATTTGAAAGATAGCTACGGTTGATGACGAAAACGAAAGAACGAACTGAACAATGTTATTCAATTTGCCGGTATTGAAAATAATCTTATTCGTCGTGCGTTGATATTTTTCTAATTCTTTGCTTATACTGATGATCGAATTGATATTGAACGTGGAAAAATGTGTTAATTCAACATTGTTTAGAATCAAATAAAACAAACGCTCGACAAATACACGTTCTTGTTGTTGATGATACTGACTAGAATAACAACGAAAATGACACAGGAGTGTGACACACGCAACGACGATCGAGTCCTACCTGAAACTACGTATGTTAACCGGTTGTGTACGAATAAATAATTGAAATAACTGAATTTTCGATTGTAATAACATATGGGCATTCTCTTCATCATCGGAACTATCATTTGAATTCAGTGGATGATATTTTGTGTTCATTAAAAAGTTTCTATACGCATTTTGTAATTGTTTCTTTTCATGTGGACGAAAGAAGTCATTGTCAATTGGATATGAATCTGGCAGATACCATACTGTCGTTGGGTTCGTCATGATTACAATCTAAAGATTGAATGGAGAATCAATTTTGTTAATGTATTAGAAGCAACAACACGAGTTAATTCACTAATTTTGATTTGCAAAAAGAAAGAGAAGGAAAAAAAACATACAGTACAGAAAAAAATGTCGACAGCGTCAGGACGGTTACACATATGAAAGAGAAAAGATCGAGATTTCAACACCGATATGGAAGGAATTTTGATCAATGTGTTCGTAAGATATTCAGTTTTCGTAGTTCAAGTTTAACACTTGATATCTGTTGATCAACACGTTCGATTTCACGTTCAAGGACGTCATATAATTGTCGATCTGATTTCGTTAATCCACGCATTGGTATGCGATTAATTCGAGCTTCCAAATCACGTTTTTTCTTCAATAATTCATCAAACCTTTCTTCCAAATGTTCGCTCTGTTTCATTTGGTTATCAATCAGATCCTGAAAATACCAATATCATCCTAATCAATGTCCTGTACACATGCCTACTTACTCTTACTGGCATCTGATCAGCAGAGTGCAGGTTTGGCGGGGATTTTCGTGGCGAATACAAAGGTCCTACATAGAAATCTAGGGACAAAATTATCGCAAATAAGGAGCCGTTTACTTGTTGGTGGAACATATGCAGGTGGAAACTTCGGTTTATCATTGATATAATCATTGAGAGTCAGTAATGGACGAGGTGAATTACAATGGCGGAAGATATCTTCTGATTCTATAGAAAGAATGAAAGTATTTCTAAAGCGAAAGGAATCTTTCTTCGAACCATTGGGTGTGTATCTTGATGAATCTCGATTGCCTGTTCTAGGCGAAGTAACTGTGGAAGTTGAATATCGTGAGGTGGTCACTGTGAATCGTCCGTATTCTCGTGAAGTTGGAATGTTCATAGGAATTGTTGCACCATATTTGGAATTATCAATACTTCTGATCAATAAAAACACAATGAGTTGAAAGAACGGGAGAAAAGATGAAGTATTAACCTCTGTGTATTGTTGTCGCTTGAAAAACCTGATGGTCGATATGTTTTCGTTTCATTTTCTAAATCTCGATAGCGTTCTTCAAGACGCAAAAGACGTTCCTACGATACAGATCAATGGTTTCTCCGCAAATTGATTCCAATTCATGTGAATTACTCGAGTAAGATTGAGATCACTTGTAAGTTTTTCATTTTCTTGCCGATAGAGTAAAGCTTGTTTATCTGAAAAACGGATCTTTTCATCCTGCCGCTCTTTTAACTAAATACAAAAGCATATTCAATTCGAATTAAAACTTGTTTGCTCGAAATACCAACATTTCGCTCGTCATCTATCTGTTTCTGAAGTTCATTGATCCTTCGTTGATGAGTTTTGAAGTCCAGATCTTTGGTATTCATCTGATTTCGTAAATCCTCGATTTGCCGTTTCAGATTTGTATTTTCATCATTTGATACTTTCTATTCCACCAAACAAAATACAACAATACTGAAAGTTTTCGCTCTACATACCAAGGAGTGCCGTAAATCTTTCATTTCATCTTGTAAACGCAGATTTTCATTGGTAAGTCGTTCAAGAGTCTCTAACGATTGACGATTATGTGTACTACTGGTTTGTCTAATTGACAAATCATCGAATTTTTCGATTAAATCAATCCATTTTTGACTTACCCCATTTTGAGATTGTTTAATTGACTTTTAAGTTCTTCAATTTCATGTTCGTAGTACAACTTCAGGTCTGATATATGCTTGGCATGTTTGGCTGATAATTCCGTTCGTACACTAGGCAAGAAATCAAAAATTAGATTAAGACTTCGAAGAAAATTTGGCCACGCCCGTCAAAACGCGAAGTGAAAGAAATCATGTTGTTAATTCCACCGTGTTACAGGCGCAAAACATATGTGAGTTTAAGAAAAACATTTCGATGTTGATTGACAAATAATAATGGAGAAAAAGTCAACTTTCCTATCCACTTAAAGAAATTGAATGGACTGTAAAAACTTCAAATCGATTGTTTTTTTGTCAAGAAATCATATAAAAAATACTGAACGAGAAACAACCGCGGCAATCAGCAAAATTAATACACGAGAATCGTTAAAAGAGAAGTTTGGTTATTTGATAGGCTTCTTCGTCTGTTCGCCTTATTTTTCGACGTCCTTGAACGAATGATTCGAGTGAAAAACTTACATGGAAATATCTTCTCGCGATTGTGAACGGCACAGATCGGCTTTGAATGACGGACGTTTGTCTAGTGAATAGTACGAACGTTGAGGTTGAGGATGAGCGGTCGTTCGATAGCGTTCATCATTCGATTCATGAAGACGACGATAGTGCGCGGCGGCATCAAACGATTCGGATTTCGATTCTTGTAGATTCAAACTAAGGACAAAAAAGACTTAGGAAGATGTACTATGACGAATTTTTACCTGTTTGTGGATGAGAGGTATTCTTCGAAACGTTGTTTCATTTTCTCTTCGAGTTCTTGCATGTAAATCTCATACTGTTTCTGCTGTTTCTCCAAACGCTCTTTATGTTCCCGTTCGAGTTTTTCTAACATGAGTAACCAAGTTTCCTAGAAGAGAAAAATATCCAACTCTCCTTGTTTGCTGCCATCCTTCATCAATTCATACATTGTTAAATGATTGATTATTATCCTCCTGGTTAATATGTCGTGACGAAGAAGATCGATGATGGTGGTGGTGGTGATGATGATGAGATTTCTTTTTACTCGGACTCGTTCGATCCGGTGGCTGAGCAGTTAATCGTCGAAATAAGATATCGCTTGCCGAAGTGTATGGTCGTGTTCGATCATTGAAAACTTGTTTCAAATGAATATTTCTATCACTATAATCCTCATCGATGGAAAGATGAGGTTGAGATGTAGAATGTAGTTTATGTTTACTTCGATGAACGATGTATTCAGCAACAGAATCGGTTTCCGACGATGCTGATAACTGTCGAATACGATGGCGAGGTCGTTGTTTTGGAGAAGTATTAAAGACTGGTTTTGGTTTTTCATGTGGTGGTAGTGGTGGTGGTGGTGGTGGTGAAAATTGTTGTTGCGGTTGTGGTGGTGGTGGTTTTGGCGGTGTGCTGTGAATGTCATCGATTGGTTGGGCAATAATAACAACCGTGGGTGATTGCATGTAACCATCCGCACCTTGAAGTAATTCATTCCAATTCAATGGAAATTCATGTGTTTGCTCGTGATTTTCAACGCGAACGGATGAATTTGGATTCAACCGGGGAATTGATGATAAAGTTTCATCTGGAAGACGAGTGGAATTTTGCGTAGAAAAACGAAATGTTGGATTGGATTTCGGTGATAATGTGATGTTCTACAGACGAGAAAGAAAAACGTCGAAGAGATATGCTAATACAAGGTAAGTTTCGTCTAGATTCTGATTACATCGTTTGATGCAAAATATGCATATGTATTTATGTGAGTAAGTCTAAGGCCATTTTATTCGAAGGTAAATAGAAATATAATTATATCCTTGAGTGAAAATCTCTTTTAAATGGATATTTAATATTAACACACTTGAAGGATATGTTTTCTAATTAATTTACATCGGATTTTCCCGATCAATCGACTATTATAAATGCACAACTGTCAAATCTTGAATTTCGAAGTTTTCTCTTATAATCGACACGAAAATTACCACATACGACAACATTTTCCATCTGAAATTCGAATGTCTAGACTGGTTATTTTCATCATCGCACCTAGGAAAGGACAACTAGCGTTTAAGGCAATCTTCTTTTTATCATAAATAGGACATCGGTCGTCACCTTTGTCTTTCTTTCGAAAAATTATCTGATTGGAAAAAACTTTTTCGTCTTGTTTTTGTTATCATGTTTTTTTTTCTATTAAGATCCGATTACTAATTCGCTATTTATCTAGGATAAATGACATTCGGTTGATCGACACACATACACAAAGTGAAAGAGAATCAATACGAACTTCGTGTTCAGTCTGCAGTTGTTCTTGATCGTTTTCCGATTTTTCTTCGATATGAATATGGACAGCTGGGTGATTATCATATTCTTCCGATAAACCCTCTGGTATATGTATGGATGTATGTTCGAAATCCTGAGATATTTTATTAGTGAGATTCTCCTGTTCTCTCATCGGATCAATAATCGTCGATTGGATATTCGAAGCAAATTGTTGATTGTCAAGTTCAGATTCTAAATTTTGATTTTCATCGACTATTGCGTAATGTGAAGTTTCATCTGATAACAGTTTAGTCACATCATACTTAATGAACAGAAATCGAAGATGAATAAGCGATACGACACACAATTCTTTTCGATTACCATTCTTGTTTCACTGAAATCAAGGTCTCTCAATAATTGACTATACTTCGGTTGACTGATACGAAGATCAGTTAGTTCATCATTCTCTTCGACTTGATTATCAGCTGTATCTAAGTCAATCGAAAGATTCCTCGTCCGTTTCCTTCTGTAAACATGTTTACCTTCCTCGCCTTCTCCTTCTTCTTCTTCTTTGATCACTTCGCTTGTCATTGGATTATTATCATTGAATGTTTGAGGATGATTGTTGGCATATGCAAAATGCGTTGTTGGAATGAAGACAAATGGAACTAACAGACGAACATGAGATCAAATTCGACAATCTTTCACTTACATTCATTATGAACATAGAATGATTGAGATGGAATCTCTTCGGTATTGTCAGTTGACATCTGAAAGATAAAACACGGCCAGACTTTTCTCTTTGTCCAATTCTTTCAACTTCATAATGTACACGAAAAAAAAGATATAACAGATACATATTTCATCGCATCTCTCTGTCTCTCTCTTGCTTTTCTTTTTCTTTTTACACCTTTATAAATTTCTGTCAATGAAAAGAATGACTACCTTGTACTCACTTCTTCTCGCATTTTTTTCTCTCTGCGCTTAAACAATATACAATATGCTGTACATGATAAGCAACACAAAAAAGAGAATATCGATCTAAGGAAAAAAACAAAGCACCTCTAAAGAATGACATTTGAGTTTTTCATTGGTCAACATCGCTGATATTTTCTTTTTGTATCAATCCGATCAAGGAGAATTATCTGATTCGTTATCAAGGTAGTCTCTCTACCTGTGATAATATCGAAAGTAATTACTAAATAACCGTATCTTACATGTCGTGCTTAGTGATTTATCATAACACTTGACATATTAACACAGCGATTTGTTCGTCTTTCGCGTAACTCAACTGATTTCTAATTATTTTTTTCTAAATAGAAGAGGGTGCAAACGCTTCGAACTAACCTGAAGATGACTATAAAGCAGCACAATCAATCGATCAAGAAAGCATATCAAAGAGAACTTACATTAAATGCGTTTGACTTCGAAAATGTCAATTTTTCAGCAATGCTTTTCGTGTAGACAGCGAATCAACAAAATTATCCATAACAACTTGAACCTGTTCAATTCACTTGTAAAAAAAAACTTCAAATTCAGATGAGTCATTTCTGCCTGCCATTGAATTCTTTCATCAAGAGGTCACTAGTCAACGAATGCGACAACAACATTTTACTTCTTTGTTATTTTTTTGCAAAAAAAAGTCACCATATGTCATGCAGAAGAAAGTGAAGAGATCTAAATTGTTTTATCTGGGGTGTTCTTTTTACTATGCATAAACTATAGACAACATCGAGATGAACAACAACGAAACAATATGTAAATAAATAAAAGGAAGTTCGGAATAAAATACAATCAAATAAGACAGTAGGAAAAAGAAAGGGAATGAGTATTGCTTTTACTCATCTGACAAATATCGAATAGTTTTGATGTTATCTGCTAACCTAATCGGGGTTTAGCCTTTAGGGTCAGCTTTTCATTGAAAAGTGAAGACGAACAAAGAAGAAGACACAATGCGAGAATGTGTACGAGAACGAAGAAGAAACGGAGATATTGATATACATATACGTGAGATTCTCAAAGATTAAAAGTGACATTCTGTGAAGACATAAATGATTAAAACAGATTCTTCATTTCTATCTCTCATATTCAAATAAATGCGTTAATATGTTGGTGGTTGATAACTAGATTGCGATTGTTGAGTTGCTGTAAACGGCGGTTGAGAGAAACTACCAACTCCACCAGTCGATGGGTAACCACCGTATGTTTGTCCGCCAGTACCCGAATGATCTTCATAACCGGAACTAAATAAATTTGATACACCTTCACGGTATCGACGAAATGCAAAGAAGGTTAATGCAGCCTATATGAAAATGAAATCATTATGAGAAATCTACGCTAAACGTTGCCATTTCATACCCAAACTAAAATTGAGAAGAAGGCGAATGCAATCGCTGCTTGAACACTATTTCGACCATTCCATTCAGGTAAATCTTTTTGATCCTCTTGCCGCCATTGATCAGTCATGTAACAGAAACCAATAAACCAAAAGAATGTCAAGGCTCCTGAAAACAAAAACCAAATATATAAGATTTTCAAACATTTCATCCTTCGTTTTTTTTCTCTCTCTGTACCTGATGCTCCTAATTCACTTAATACCGCAGTTCGTCGTGTTTTTATATTCGATATATTTGGAAAATAAACATCCAATGCCGTGAAACCAATAGTTAAAAGAAATGCAATTACACCAATGGCAACACCATAACCACAAGCATTTGATTCATTATAGCGGCATACACCATTAACATAACCTTCTTGGGCAATCGACGCAAAGACGATCGTGGCGAAAACCTATTAACAAAATCAATTAATAACGAAAACGAACGAGACGAATAGAAATAAATGTTCTACCCAGGCAACAACTCGGAGGATAACTTGAGGTTTTTTGATGAATTCAATTGGATCGAATGCTGAGCCAGTTCGACCGGCACCGAACGCTTGTGGTTCAGACGATGAATTCATTAATACTTTAATTGTTTTGACTGGGGGTTAAAATGAATATAAATATCTGAAACAAAGACTTTCAAGTGTTTATCGATCAGACAAACGTGTGTTTCTTGTCGTTGCATTTCAATGGATTCATGTCAAGGGAGTCACAACAGAATAATAATAATAATAACAACAAAACAAATAGAGTGAATTTTTCTTTACCTGACATCTATCAAAATTATGTCAATAGAGAAGTTAATTATTCAAACATAAATCCGCTCGAATTCGGCAGATTATTTCGTCAATAGTTTATCCTAAGATATTCATTTCCTTCTTCAGATTTTTCTCGAAATTCGATTTAATTGAACATATTCCTAGATGTCGCCCAATGACAAGATCCCGCTCGATGTTCAGATATGGTTTATTTGATAAAATGAATATAAATAAATTATCAATATATTAGAAGTGAAGAATTCTTCTAATCAGAGACGAGATCGATTGTTCAATACAAATTGAATCGTTGGTCTTTACAGCGCCAGTTGAAGATTATTTTTTCTTCTCAGTTGTCGCTTTGTCTGAAGCTACAGGGTTTGCTTTGACAAGACTACCAACACCTTTCTTCTCCGCAGGTGGATTTTCTGGTTCTTCTGATTTGGGTTTTTCAGTCGTTTCCGATTCGTCTTTTTTGCTCGCACTGGCCGACTAAAGAACGAGCACTTAATCACGAAAGATCGAATAATATATCCTTACTTTTCTACAGTGCCAATTAGTCTCATACTTAGCGATATTATTTAAATAGGCGTTGTTCTGTTGGGAACTCTTCTGCCAGTCTTCTCGACCTAAGATAGGTTTCCGATCGATAATTCGCTTGGCCAGTGTTCCATTTTCTTTTGATACGCGCAACAATTCTCGTCGACGTTTTTCTTGATTCAGACTAAAACAACCTTACCTTCAACTCAATTCATTCGCAATTTTTTCGTTATTTTATACCTTCGTGGGACATAGAAATTTCGATTATCAATCTGACCGGTCGTTCTCATCGTATTGGACATTTTCTCTAACAGGATGCGATTATCACGTTCGATCGTTGCTGTGCGTTCCTCTTGTAACTAAGTAAACAGAAAAATCGAGTTGGCATGTCATGTGGAAGAAACGAGCTGCTACTTGAAGTTTTTTCAGTTTCATATGAAGATGCATGTATGTTTGTGGAGGACGCGTATCGATGCTTGGCCGCGCATCGCGTACCTAAAATTGCGCATTTTGTCATGAAAAGGCAATATAGTTGATAATGAAATTACAAGAATTCGATGTTCATCGTAATATTTGTCATCCCATTTTTTCTTCAAGAGTCGGTTGGAAGCGGGAAGTGTTGACTGATATGATTTATGCATGTGTTAGAGAAAGAAAATCGATGTGTTGTTCTCTTCGAAGATTATGAAGTGTGCGTGTGATCAGAAGAACAATAGTATTTTGCCTATACTGTTAGCTATGTAAACAGTTGCTTTGACAATTGAGTAATTATGAAAAAAATCTCACGACGATAGATGACTCGCGTTTTCAGTTAACAGTTGTTGAGAAACTGCGACCATTCAAAGCCTTCACTGTGCTCTATGGAGAAGATACAACTTTGAAGCAGACAAGAAGTTGTTTTAACTTCGATTCAGATTCTATTTCTTCCGAGAAGACAAATCAAATAACTCGTTTGAAAATGCAGAGACTTCCGCAAGACTGATTTTGTCATATATAATTAAGCTCGAGTGACATAGAAAAAAGAATGTTGAACTCAATGATCCGAACAGATTGATAATAAAAAGTTTTCCGACGAGAAAGTTACTATAATCTTCTCTTGAAAACGAAACCACCCTTCGCGTTCAATTTTATTCTTGCATAGGCAATACTTATTTTGTTTCAATCGAAAGAAAAGGAAAAAAAGAACTTGAATAAGAAGTCATGAAATAGTAGCGATAACAGAGTTATTTCAAGAACAAAATGAGGCACACACACACACACACATACATACACATAGAAAGAGAATCAAATGAGTCGATATAGAAATATTCGGTTTCTCTCAAAAGACAAGCTATACAGAGGAGGATCACTTTGTCAAGAGAACATGCACATACAGAAATAATTGCACAATATTGTCATTGGAAAAGGGATACATTGCAACAAGTTTGGACTAAATATATATTAGAGATCCACCGGCTGAAGAGAAAAAGTTGTACTGTCCAATCATTGTCGTCGAAATACATGGAAGTTAAAAGCATAGAAAAAGAAACGATGAGTTACATAAAAAAAACGAAAAGAAGAGAGAGAAAAGCTGTTTACCCATTGGAATACAAACAAAATAAAAACAAGATATTGACCTAAGAGTTATCGAACAATGATAACTGGGCTATTTAACGGCATTGGCTGTTTCTTCGAACTAAAATTTAAAATGAAATCATCGTGGAATTCAGTTGTTGACAAATCCACATACCATTTCACATCGAAACAATGACACAAGACAACACAGTTACAAAAGCAATTCGAATTATTTCTCGCTTACATGTAATCTTTGCATAATAGTTAGATAAGCTTGCGAATTCAAGTCTTTTTCTTGCACGCCTTGCAATTCAAAACTACCGTGAGTTTTCTAAAGCAATACATGGTGATTTTGATCGAAATCCAACTTTTTTTTCTTCGAATCTTACTTTAACAATCAGTAGTAAACAAGCTAATTGATAGGGATGAAGACTAATTTCTGTCCGCTCGCCAAGCCATGTGAAAATAAAATGTGTCTGTTGTCGATACCATTCCTAAATCGATCAAATTCGAATTCCATGTTCGAATTCCTTTCACTTCTTACTTCAAATATGTTCAATGTAAAGATTTCATCACTAACTTTCTGTCTTAATTGCTCGAGATTTGCATTTACACATGATACGTATGCTTGTCCATCTTCATTAATTGGTTTCTATCATTCAAAAATCCGCCGTAGAAAGACAAATGTTTAATCGAAAGTCTTACCGTTAATGAAAGAATTTGAGCGAAAAACGATCCTTCATCGTAACGTGAAAGTTTCTTTAAGACAGAATCCAAAACGCTAACTAATTTCTGGATCAATGCTCGTGACATTTCACCCAAGATTTTCTCTAGATACTCATCAATACGCGTATGATATTGATGCAAATCACCACTATGCAATGCACATAATTTCAATGCCTAGATGAAAATTCAATCTGACATGAAGTAGATCGAGGCAAGAATCGACTCACTTGAGCTTTACAATCGAGAATAACATTGACCATAACGCAGCATTCGGATGGTAGCAAATAGTCAGAATTTGTTCCACCAATCAGTCCGCCTTTCTTAATCCAGATTTCGAAATGTCGTGAGACTCTAAACAAGAATGATCGAATTTTTCTTGTGCAAAACTGCTCCTCTTGAAAGACGATTATTAAAGAACTGAAATAATTTAATGAACCAAGAACAAAAGAGAAAGAACTCTTCTTATCATTCAAGTAGAAAGCACAAAGAGACATTAAAGAGTAATTAATACTTGGCGGAAAACATGCACATAGATATATATGACTAACCTCTTTCCACACGCTTCAATCATATCCGAGGCCATTTGTTTCAATCGCTTCTCCAAATGTTCTCCGAACATTTCATCGGGCTAGAAAATTGAAATCTTCATCGTGAAAGAACATCTTTGTTTTCGTTAGATTTCATACCCAATGCAAATCTCGGATGAAACATTGTAAAGCATCAAGTTTCCATAGCATATCTTCGCTTGTTGCACATCCACGACTAAATCAAATTTCACAATTTGCACATCAACGAACAACTCGACTGCCTTACGTTCGAGCTTTCCAATTTTCCTTCTCAAAACCTTTGTGAATCGATTGCGCTATGCAAGATTCCATCAGGTCAACGTAACGAATAACTAATGGAGCAAACGTATCACGTAATTGTTGATGAAAACGACCATTGGACAACGAATCTAAATGAAAGACTCAATTCCGGTTTGCAGATCGTTTTTTTTTGCTTTACCGTGTACACGAAGATAATCGTTTAGCAGTTGAAACAGCGGAAATGAGTCCCAACTTTCAATCGGCTGTTGATCGATGACATGTTCCATGTCAACAGCGAATAACGACCAGAAGATTTCTTCATGTTCGATTAATAGATCATTGTATTGTTGGAATGCTTCTTGATAATGTTCGGAATCTTGTTGTAATAGTTCAATACATAATTCAGCTAAATGTATCAGATCATCGATTTTCTTTCGTGGGGAATCATCGGTATTGTAAATTGTCTCTAGAAGATAAGAAAGGACACTCGGTGAAGATGTTCATTTCGAGAAAAATGTGAAATATAGGGTGAGACAACATGCATTCAGAACAACAACAACAACAACAACAACAACAACAAATGAGGGAGACGTCGAACATTTACCATTATCATTTTGTTGTTGATTCTCTCGTTCTCCTGGAAAAAGAGAGATGATGAAAAGAAAATTCCGGGCAGAGAAGCAATGCTTTTTGCAAGTTACATCAATGAGAAAGAATTCGAATGAATTACCTTCGATTTTCGCTTGGTCGGATACGCGAGTGTAGTTGGTATATGCCGCATTTTCGAGACATTTACGAATAAAAAATCGTATCTCATCACGAGATATGGGAGCGGAAATATCTTTAGTAAGAACACGTTCCAGTAAACTTAACGTGGCTTTTAATGCACCTTCAGGACGACCAAATGGAAATGCAAATCTAAACAAACGCATTTCTGTACACATCTTCCTACAGAATCAATCTCATTTACCTGAAACTCGTTACTTGATGTTCAAGAAACACTCTCAGCCGTTCTTTTATTTCATTAAATCGATCTTTTTCTTCCATCGTAACTGTTGATGCGCTGCTATCCGGTCTACGGGAAACACGATTTCATACCATCATTTCACTTTCAGATATCTATCTCTACTACTTACCGACTTCCTGAGACATGTGAAGCACAAAAGACATAACTATAATGAAGTAATTGTGGATCAATCATAAATCCTTGTTCAGCACGATCGAGTAAATCATTTAGATAATAGAGATGTCTCAAACATCCACGAACACCGTATCGGGAACAGTATTCTATAGATGAAAATTATTTATTTCCAATCTTTCAATAGCTTAGAATATTACCTTCGAGTACGTAGCTTTGTCCCGGACTTAACCAGCCCTGTGAAAGAAAAAAAGCGATGTTAATTTGAACCTCGCATCCATTATTTTATTGATCATCACCCGAGCCTATTTGCTTATTAAACAAAGCTGTTCGACTTACTGTCAGTATGTTAACTGTTCATTTTCAAAGAATAAAAAGAGTTCGATTCAACTCAGTAGGATCAATTCGATACTTACCAACGAACAGTAAGGATCACTGAGTCGAAAGTCTAATGTTGCTGTTTGCAGTGTCTTGAACAAGTCATGATGATCAAATTTACATGGATCACTTTGAATGTATTCATCAAAACCAAGTTTTTTCGAACGATCTGCATCTATGAACGCAAACAGGAATGATTGGAAACAACAATGAAATGTTTCGGTTTACCTTGTTGATCTTTTTGTCCTGCAGTTCCAGCTCCTTGCGACGATTTATTGGTTGCAGTGACAGGCGGTGTTGGCTTGTGCGATTGACCTGTCGCGCGATATAGTGCTTGCACCCAACTATGTCGTTCATTTTCTTCATTGGTTGCAAACGTTACAACATCCCCTTCGCGGACAGCTTTGAAAAAGTACTTGGCATCTTGCATAACTAATCCTATAGAATCATCAAGATTTTAGTGGTTCAAACCGCACATTCATGTGTAATCCATTACCATTATCTGGCTCGGCATAATCGACAGTATATCCTTCGAGTGGCATCATTTCCGTTGGTTCTGATTTCTTTTCACGATAACTACACGTAGCAAAACAATATTGAGAAACCTAAAGGAATGATTTGTAATAATCAATTGAACAAAACGTTCTTGACAGCCGAATAGGAAAAGCAATCACATTTTATTACACCAGGGATTGACTATTGAACCCGGTTAACTTCGAGAGAAAATTTTCTTATCGAAGTTCAAAGAANNATGATGACGAAAAGAGAAAGAAGAGTGATGGAAGTAGAAGAAAAAGCCGGAGGCTAACAAAGATGGGCGGAGTATGTGCAGAGCGGACGCGTAAGCGATAGAAAGGAAGAGCTGCTATATCTGACATTTGTTTTTCCAGTTCAGCATGCAAAGCAATCAAAGACAAACGAGCGCTCTATCCGCCTTTTCGTTCATGCACACACACACACACACACACACACACACACACACACACACATGGGAGATAACTTTCCAAGAGAAACAGAGCAAAGAAGGAAAAAAACTACAAAATTTCGGACAGATCGTCACTGTATACTTAAAAAAGATCTGTATTGACATAGGGAAGAAGAAGAAAAAACGCGAATGATCGATCGAATGATGTATTTGATAATAATCATATAAAAAAAAAATAATACTCTCAATCGGAGAAAACTGAAAAAAAAAATGTTCTTCATCCATCAAATCAGGAGCGAAAAAGGAGGAAAAAACGAGAGAACGGAACAAACAAACAAAAAACAAGGTTTCCATTGGTTTAAAAAATCAATACTGCCATCTAGTTTGAAAATCAGATTTTTTATTGGTATTCCACCAAACCAAATGCTCAAAAAGCGTGCGTGAAGATTTCGATAACTATGGAATAATTGCTTGAAGAATAGCTATGCAAATAATGGTCTAATTCTATTATGCAGCAATGCAAACTGATGTATTCATTGAATTACGAGAGTTCAGAAGAAAAAAAACTTTTCAGAGTCTCCGAACACTAAAGTGATGATTGTTGAACTTGAGCATTGTACGAGCAAATTCGATTTGATATTCACAGAAGCAAACGTGACTTATTGATAGCGAAGAAAATGCCAGAAAAGTTTATTTATTTGAAAAACAAAACGAAACTTTCAACGAGCAAGCCGCGAGCTGCTCTCTTACTGTGCTCTGAACATATAGATAACAAGAATACAATTGAAACAAGACTTCACTAATGTTTTTCTTTTTGCCTTCGAATCTCCGAAGATGTTGATAATGAAATAAACATCAAAAATAGTTGATGTTTATTCAATTATTCGTAAAGCACTATCTTCACCTAATTCTTTCGTTAGTTTGGCATCGATTTTTTCCCAATCAACGTCAACCTAGAATACGTCATCATGTTTACGAGCGATGGAACAATACAAGTACATACATTTTTCATTGCTTGTTGGTACTTTGGGTTGGTTTCCTTTTTACCACCACCATAAACTTTCAGATACTTTTGACGGTAGCCAACCACGATGTCCGAATATTGCGGATACCGTTGAGTCAAGTCAATCGCTCTAAATACAAATTGAAATCAGTTTAAGTCAAGAGAATGTTAGGAATATGTTGTCACCGATCCCAATTATGTTCATTTAAATGTAACATGATAGCATGAAGCGGTTTATTTCCTTGTAAGTAATGTCCTTCAGCTTCTTGTAGATTTCCTCCAGCTAATAAGGCAAGTTCGGCTTCGCGTTCTTCTTTCGAGGCGATTGTTCGAAGATTTTGTAAACAGAAAACCATTTCCGTCTAAAGAGTTATGTTCGATGCGAAGACTTGATTATACTAATTCGAAAACACTTACATTCGATAATTGTGCAAACGCGTTCTCGGCGGAATCAAAATCACGATTATGCAAGGAAATCACAGCGATCAGTGCATAGATTGAGTCATCCTACAAGAGACAACGGAGTACAAAAGTCGATGGGGTTTCCTTGGGAATTGTCTACCGAAATGTATTGGCATAATTGCAGCGCTTCTTCAGCACGATTTGCTGCTAAAAGATCAAGACAAAGCTCGTAGTAAATCGGCAAAGCGCACTGGATCAATGCGCCAGTCGATTTGCGCACAGTTAATTGACAGCTGAGAAAATCTGATATGGTCGGATTTTTACCGAAATCGCTAGAAGAATAGAAGACAAAGTGACATGGAAGAAGAACATGTCTTCTCATACCCTGATTCAATTTTATATGTAGTTTTGTTAACCAAGCTTGAATCGATGAAAACAACGGCTGGATAGAGCCAGATATGAAGTTTATTATCGGCGAAACCTGATAACATCGTATTCTTATCATTCCATCGAAAACTGCCGATATTTGTGCCTAAAATTGATTGTACACGTATGATTCAGCGGACGTCTATCAAAAACATATTTACAAAGTTTTCGAATACGTTGGCTATTCGATCGTTGCCCTTGGCCCGATGAGCGAACCAACATGATGAATAAATCCTGAAATTTATCGGCAAATGCCAGTTTACGTTCGTCTGGTGAACCCGTCTGATCCAAGGCCAAATGCATGACGTCATACTATTGACAACGACTGATCAAATCAAAATGTAAAAGAACAAAAATCGATTATTTACGGTATGAGAAACAGATTTGCCATCACCAATTGGTTTTCCATTAATATCAAAAAATGCAATTGCTAAAAAAACACAATTTTCAGGCATCCTTGACCCCAAGCTAGAGACTGCTTCCTGTGAAGACATCGCGACATGAATCAAGAACTTTTTACAACGAACCAGCTGAGTACATTTTCTGCCGTTTCTAACCAATACTCAAAGATGTAATTATTCCTTAAAAGTCGTATCCTTCAAACTCAAGCGATGTGATTTCATTGAAAGTACAGAGGAAGAACGAGCTCATTTCCTGTAAGTCTCGTGAACATGAAAATCTTTTGGCATACATTTAGTATCGCTGGAATCTCGAACGGCTATAGTGTCTGGACTTAGAGAAACGGTATTGGCATTGACGGAGTCAGGTTTGGATCCCATCAGTTTCGGTGTTGCGACCAGACGACCTTCGTACGAGTAAATTGAAATGTTCACTCCATCGGAAAGAAGAAAATATCTAGACAGAATATAGTTGTAAATTGAAGAGAAAAACAAAAGAGATATTTTGTACTTTTCTGCTTGAACAATTAAACTCATTGACATGTCACGTAAGTCAAAGACTGCCGGATGACCGAGTTGTTTACAACTAAATGAGTATAAAATGACACGAATAAGAAGTTGATCAGGGTTGTGGACGATTTTTACTTGTAAATTAATCCTTGACTACTTGTTAAAACAATTAAATAACCAAAGCCAACTGACATTTTCACTAATCGGTCTTTGAGTTCAATTTTATCTTTTAATTCCGTCTCACAGTTGCTAACGGTGATCACCTTGGAATCAGTTAATACAAATTCTAAGTGACGCCAATCAATTCGACTAAAACATCATCAATTCACCACCTCGTTCGACACAACAAACAAGAGAAATCCATACCGTTCAATAATATGACCTATTCCAACTCGACCTGTTCCACAGCCGCATGCTAATTGAGTACTATCGTTTGACCATGACAGACCAAACACACTTCCGTCTTTTGGTTTTTCCACTGAATGACACCACTAGAAATCAGACGATGAATTTAATAATGAAGCAAACTTTGAAATACGTACACCTGCACTATCACACAGACGAAGCGTGTTATAAGATCCAACGGCAAAATTGGATCCATCGGGAGCCCAGGCCAGGCTGGTAATTGGATATTCAAACGCTTGACTGGCATATAACTGTCGTCCAACAGTATCCCAAACCTAGTCCGATAGATGAAAACTCGTGATTTTCAAGTTTTGATTTTACTTTATAACGACAGTCTTCTCCTCCAGATATAATCAAATTGTTCACTGTATTCCAATCACATTTTAGAATGATTTGATCGTGAGCTTTCCACTAAATAAGAACCGTATTAAACAAGATGTGCATTTCAGCTTCATACCGAATTTTGTTTGGAATTAGGTGAAAGTGGTTTTATTACGAGATATTTGCCCGTACAATATAGTATTGCATCGTTGTCGGCTGACCAACATACACAGAAGATCGGTGTAGCTGAAAAACAAAAGTTCGATTAAGACAACAGAAACATTCTGTCGAATTAACATGGCAAAAACACATCTTGAATTACAAGCGAATATGAAACTTTCACAGCATAAATTATACATGACATGTGACATATATGCTGATTCGGGTAATACTTATACATACGTGATTGAGTTAGATTCGAACGTAACATTCCCGATCGTGCCCAAATTCTCACTTGTCCGTCTTCACCTCCTTAATACATAACGAAAATGTGCGAACAAAAAACTTGATAGATAGGATGGAAAGTTACCTGTAGCAAATTGACTTCCGTCAGGACTCCAACGAACACAAATAGTTGCGCCTCGATGTGCTTCGACAGATTTTTCAACGCGGCCAGTTTTATTAACAAAACAAAATTTGCCTTAAATCAGAAATAAATCATTACGTTTCATTCAGGGCACAAAATTCAATATGTCCCACCATCACTTGTTGCTAAAACAAAAAGATCCGAACCAATTGTTCGTTTTGCACCTGCACCTATTGTGCCCGCTCCCCCGAGACTTGCACCTTTAGGTACCCAGTGCATATCAAGTGGATATAGATCTTGTGGTAATTCAGCTACTTTGATCAATTCATTGTTGATTATATTATATTTGTATATGATATGATCTTCTCCAACAGAATACAAATCATCCGATGACATCCATCCGACACAATTGCAACGATCCGTATGACGGAGAGTTGGCGGAAATGTAAATTTTAAACGCATGATTCTATGAGTAAAGTCAAATGTTCAAAAATATGATAGATATAGATGAATGTAAGCAGTGCCATAAGGGAACAATGTTGCTTAGGGAATGCCTTCGACGAGAAGATGTCGCACATTGTGATTGGCTGAAAAAGAAACCAAATAGGATACAGGAAGAGGATGAATAATGCATCGTAACTCATTCATTAAAATGCGAGAATTCCTCAAAGAACTATCGTTCCGGCGTCTTGTTGATTCTCTCAAATTAACACCGAAACATCGTCTTCTCGAGTTCGGAGGTAATTTCGATCGAACTTTCGAATTCACATTTCTATATTTGTCTCTTTCAGACATTTGGGCGGAAATATTTCTCTGGTGTTTTATGACTTCAATTGTTGTGCATTTAATGGCAACTATAATTGCGGTTCGATCCTTACGAAGTCATAAGATTGGACGATGGTATTCAGTAGTGATTCTATTGGCAGGAATCATCACTCCGATTATTCCATCAGCTTTTACCAGTAAGTATAACTTTTTCTATGGGTAGAAGAACAGCGAAATGATCCGGTTTATTTTAGGCGCATTACTTTCAGCGATATTCTACGCAGCTTCCGTGGAGATTAAACCGTTCTTTTGTTTTTTACTTGGCGTGGGTCAAACTGGCATTATTCTTTTCTTTTCATTTTTGAAAATACTATCCACATTATGAATGAATCTCAATTCTTCTTTTAAACACTTATATCTGTCTGTAAATAAATGAAAAAGAATGATTAGATAACAACACTCCGACTATGAATATTTCATTTGAGCAGATTTTTGTACTTCGTCATAATTGATATGTTGCACAAATAGTACAATCAAAATTAAAGGCAAGACAAACAGACAGCTTTGGTTTCTGTATGTTCTAGACCTACGGTAAAAGTCGATCGGTTAACCTGAAATTGATCGAAATGTTAAAATGTCGAAATAAAAATATCGAAAATCAAACCATTCGAAAACAAAAATGAGAGTGCAGATAGATGTGTAAGATTGAGGGTGAGGGTGAAGAACAATGCCTTTCTCAAACGAAATCATTCGCACCTTGTTCATCTTTCGATGTTTGTATAATTGGCGTATTCGATATTTTTTTATTATCGATCTTTTTACTTTCGACATTATTCAGTAGAATCGTTTTTGCGTAGAATGGTACTATACTAGTGATCTGCACGATACACGATGTTTTCACACAGCAACCTTTTTACCTGATGGAAAAGTGTTAGTCACTGGTGCGATTGGTGACACCACCATTGGTTCGTTAAATTCAAATGAAGTGTATGGCCTACCGAGCGGAATATGAGCATTGACTAACAGTATGCACCGTGGGCGAGATTGTCATACAGCAACTGCCCTAAAAATGAATCATGGTTCCCTTTTCTGAACGAAAGGGGTATAGCGTTATAAATGCAATCAATAAAACGCAAAAAGTTCGTTTGTTTGCATAATCCAATGAGATTGCATAATTTTATAATTCAATGAAATGAATTCTTAACAACAGTGATCGTAAATGACTGTCCGGAAGGTTTTCGGGGTCGAAGAGCTCGAATATGATGTCACTTTCAACTAACTTTTAATTAATTATTAGCTAGTCATGGATTATTAACATCTATAGGAAGGGTTGACACAGTATTAATTGAAGACAGACAATTCGAATCTGACGTCACCTTTCACTTTTCAGACGAGATATTTTTCTATTTCTTCGCTGAAATGTTTATCAGAAAGTAGTGAGCTGAACACTATTTTTTCCGAATATGGTGTCCATGACAATGGTAGATTAGGAGTTTACGCGAAAAGATTTAGTACATCTTAAATTATGGCAGTTGTAATCCAAGAAAGCAAACCAAGCGATGTGGATTTAATATCACTATCGCATTCTTAGCTGCGACATGTCAGGTCTTTCCATAGGACATCAGCGGAAATGTGTAGCAGAAGATATTTCCAGCATTAGAATTCCATGTTATTAGCTACCGATAAACTGACTATAGAGATCTACTTCTTCATTCTCTTTTACAAATTTCGACACTTTCTCTTGCAGTTTTTATATAAGGGTGATTCGCCGGTAACACACGTTGCAGAATGTCCAGAGAGCGTTCGAAATAAGTAAGTGCTTTTGAATAATCTTCCACGTTGTAGTACACCGCACCGATGTTGTTGTACGAAGCAGCCAGCCAGGCATGATTCGAAGGAAGAGATTTTTCTCCAATTTCAAGTGCTTTTTCATAGAATGAAAGTGCTTTCGAATACTCTCCCATGTTGTCATGCACCAAACCGATGTTGTTGTACGAAGTAGCCAAATCAGGGTGATTCGAAAGAAGAGATCTTTCCCAGATTTCAAGTGCTTTTTCATAGAATGAAAGTGCTTTCGAATACTCTCCCATGTTGTCATGCACCAAACCGATGTTGTTGTACGAAGTAGCCAAATCAGGGTGATTCGAAAGAAGAGATCTTTCCCAGATTTCAAGTGCTTTTTCATAGAATGAAAGTGCTTTCGAATACTCGCCCACGTTGTAGTACACCGCACCGATGTTATTGTAAAAAGTAGCCAGCGAAGGATGATTCGAAGGAAGAGATCTTTCCCAGATTTCAAGTGCTTTTTCATAGAATGAAAGTGCTTTCGAATACTCTCCCATGTTGTTGTACGAAGTAGCCAAATCAGGGTGATTCGAAGGAAGAGCTTTTCCCCAGATTTCAAGTGCTTTTCCATAGTATTCGATAGCCATTCTATGACCACCTTGATTATTTTTTAAGTAGCCAAGTTGATGATAATAGAGTGCTCTGTCATTCGTATCAGACGCTTGTGCCAGTAACGCAGCGTACAGTTCTTCGGCTTTATCCAACTGTTCAATTGTTAGCAATAAGCGACCCAAACGTTGCCATCCTGTATTGCCTCCAACTTCACTTTCAATACGGTCGGTTAATACGCGGAGTTGTGGATCGTTATCAGCAGTCAACTGAAGTTGCACCTCATGATAAAGTTTAGTGCCGTCACGTGTTTGTCGAATTGTACTTGTACAGACTCGAAACACGCCGTGCATGGAAAACAGGATCTCTGCTTCGTCTTCGAAATAACTGAAATCCCCAGTCGATGCGAATGGAGTACTAGCAATATTCGGATCGATGGTGATCATGAACAGGATACCCACCTTGTCGGGATCACCGAGAGCGCTGTAGGTAAACTCGAGAGATTTCCCTGGTGTGGTACTGGTGGATAAAAAGTTGTTAAAAGACAAAAGACCACCTACAGTTTTTGATTAGTGGTCAAAATCTGTCTTACATAGTCCCTGTCCACGGTAGACTACGAAAGGTTTTCCTCTGTAATTACTGACCTGTTCTTGGTGTAGTTGTTGTATTTGTTTGTGTAAATCATGGAGAAAAAATCCCATGTTAATAATAACTTCGCTATCCAAAGTGCGAAGTGCTCGATTGAGCATTTGGTAGGTAAAACACTGACGTGTATACCACCATATGGCCTTGTCCGGACGATATTCACCTTCAAACTCATCGATAATACTTTGTTCCGCGAAGTTGTCTTGAAAACGCTGACGACAGTAATTGGCCAGGTCTTTGATTGCTTGCCTGTCATGCTCCATGTCGAGGAGAATCTTCTTAAATATTTGCGTGTACATAAAACTGGGTTCCAGTTGATTGAGATTGACATTGGAACCCTCTCCTATTACGGGAATTAAACTCATGGCGATGGAGTCTTGATTATGTTGTTTAACACCCGTGGTCAGCGCTTCACAGATTTCTTCAATATTTGTGTGAACACCTTTGATCTTTGACCAGTTCTTTGTCTAGTTTTCATGTTTGGATTTGTTGCCACAGATGACGTAGATGGCATTCACTTGTGGAATGCCGTGAATCTCGGGCACGAAGTGTTGACCTAAGCATCCCGTTGTGATGACGAAAGCTTTTTCGTCACCAATGCTGTTGAGGAATTGAACGCAAGCATCTGGTTGAGTGTATATATTGACATCATTGACAACACTTCGTAAGTGCGTCAAAGTGTTCTGACAGTTTTGGTCCTTTTGATCGATGTTCGCATCCACGCAAACTAAGAGGTAGTTTTGAACCATGCGTTGTCGCGGTTGGTTATTGTGCATTGTCGTTGTAGAACTTGATTTTGATTTTTCTGCACCCATTTTATCCAATAAACTGAAATTCAAAGTATTTTTTTGTGAAAATGAAGAAATTCGCTTCTCTTTTTATAAAGGCAACGGCCCATGTTTTTGATTGCAATGCAATGATCGGATTACCTCCTATTTCTATTTCAGCTCTTTTGTACCTACTATCACAATGATAATTGGTGATGAACCCGCCTAGGTTTTCGTGCGTTATGGTTCATTTACTCTTTTTTATTAAAAAGTCTCAAAAGCACAATTTTTACAACGAAAACGTACGTAGGATGCCTTCAGGCAGGATTCGACATTTTCTTCAGCGGATTCGTTTGAGCGCAGGTTCCAATCAAACCAACGCTGGTTCCAACTGCTACTCGACGAGCCCTATCGGTTCCAATCATATAAAATTTTCACCCCACCCACACTCGCTTATTTCTACACCCTTATCTAGAAGCATCGTTTATGATTGTTAGTATAGAAAAACCTGCGGTTTAAGATGATTGACAGTGTGGGTGAGGGTGGGGTGAAACTTTTTTATGATTGGAGCCTACGCTGAAATGAATCCGCTGAAGAAAATGTCGAATCCTGCCCGAAGGTATCCTACGTGAAAACGTCTATAATAAACGAAATAATATCACTCAAAGCGGCTGACCGTTAGAGAGATCCTGCTTTTACCGATAGGCGTATCCATTCACCGTCATTCTTCACTTTTCTCGTCAATAATGATCCATTTTTCACTTGCTCATGACCCATTCGCGGCATCCACCAACCTATCAATTGCTCAAAATACATGAAAAGCACTCACCTATGCATCATCGATGATACCCAGGCATCTATCGGTCATCACCTGAAAAAGTAGTATGTCGAACCATATTGACGGTGATAATTGTGATCTCGAACCTCGTTGGTTGAAAAAGATGACTTATCATATTTTAAGTGCTACTTACCCTTCGCAGTTTACCACCGTCGTATCAAGTTATCTCGTAGTTGAAAATTGAAAAAATGAGCTTAAATGGTTTTTACATACCTTTTTACACTCGATTACTATCACTAACGGTTAGTATTCAAAAACGTCCAATAGATTGGCTAGACAAATGTGGCAACTGCGACGCAGCCCTAAAAAAAGAGGCGACATGGGGGGATGACGTTGTTCTCTTTTTGAATTTTTTCGGGGACAAAAATATTTCTGTTTTCTGTTGGTTTTTAAAGAAACTCTCACAGGAAAAGAATAGAGAAGATAAGAAAAACACACAAAAAAAGTCACTTCACTACGCTCGAAACAGGTAAAAAAGATAAGAATTCAGTTAGGAATTTGGTTATTTTTTCTTATAGCTTTGTCTTGTCGACACTTTTCAGGTAGTAGGAATTCACTGGCTCTTTTTCTAAAAGAATCAGATTTTAGGATAAGTAGAAACAAACTGGTTTCAATTCCACATGGAATATGATTTGAAGCAATGGATATAGTTTACTTAGATCGATCCTTTTATATATCGTTTATGATCGTAATCAATGAATATGTCAAGCACAAAACAGACTTGAATCAATAGGAACATTTCGGATTTTATTTGAAAGTTAGATATGCTGCAGAAAAATGTATCAGATGCAAGGCAATAAGGAACCGCAGAGAATTATCGATATTTTCTCAATAATTCAGGAGTCAGATGTCCAACCAGTCTTATCTTTGAGCTCCAGTGAGATTCTGACGTAACAATACGACATTGGAAATTTCCTCACAATTAAATAAACCTTTCAGCAGTTATATTCTAGACCGACAACAGAGAGCACAGTGAGTTGCGCTCGCTTTCTCAGTATATTATGACCTGAAAATGTTTTTAATCTGTTCCTAGCAGCATATTGGTGATATTTTGACTCTCTTCAAATAAAGTTCAGATTTTTAACAAAAATCATGTTTTAAGTGGGCCTCCGGGTTATACAGCATCCAGCACACCTAGGATGGCTTTGTTAACGTTAACGGACACAAAGATCGTCTGGATGAATATCACCCACACCCTCACCCACAAGATATACTAGCAGCTGATGGACATTTGAACTTTTGTTGCTATTTTGTTTTTTAACAGCGTGCATCAGTTATGGCCGTCGCTGTTTGCTTTATTTTTCATCTAATAAAGATTCGATCAGATGACAGTCGAACTGACAATAATATTTGTTTTCGCTAAGTATAAATTGAAATAAAAACGTAGGCTTCCTTTGTGTAACCGCCTGTGAAAAGTAAACAATGGATCGTCGTGTTACGCATAACAGAAAGTTCTCGATTTTGAACATAGATTGAAAATCAATGCACTATTTGGTTAAAAAAGGACATATTAGTTGAAAAGTACAATGGAAGCGTCGTTGGAAACGGTTACGGGTGAATGGATGACGAAAAGCTAGACGTTAGTTGACAAGAATCATAGTTAATCAGTAGAAAACTGTTGCACAGATCTTGGAATGATTTGTATTCGTATATAGGTACTGCTGACCCTTGAAGTTCTATGCTGGGGAAATGTACTTGAGTTCACACTTCCTATACCAGTAGAGATTATCATTGGATTCGTAAGTTTCAGCATAGGACGGGAAGAGGATGTTATCAAGTCCGCAGTTGTAAACAATTATACTAGTATATAAATTGATCTGATGTGAAGAGTTGTAAAACCAATCAGTCAGACTTTTAGATTGGAAAAAGCGTTGAATTAGTAAGGGACTGAGCGGACAAGTTTTCACTCGACTAAGATGTATCCATTCTTACTTCAATTTGGTGCACATTAACGACTTACGTTTATGGTAACGTTTGAAACTGGCGTATAGACTAGGAAGAGTCCAAAGCCGGCAGTCATGTGCACTGCGCCATACGGACGCATACAAACTATTAGCTGCTATTGATTGCCTCTATTTTGTTCTGCCTCCAAAGAAATCGAGAAACTTGTGCTATCACAGAGCATTCGTTATTCGACTAAGGACAGGCAGACGTGCTTGATGAACATTAGTGCTTAAACTATATTTACTTTCTTCAATATATCACATTCACCAAGTAGTTTTCAATTCAATAGTGGAAAATTTTGCGTTTTTGTAAAAGCTTTCAAGGAAATGAAGACCTGATTTGCTTTAACATCAACTCAATAACTATATAGTATGCCATTGCTACAGTGATATAGATAATTTGAAAACAATCCCCATACGTGCAGAAACCATCGGTGAAGACGAGTAAACAACAGTAATACGTTGTAGAAAACTAGAAAAAATACAGTGTAAATAGCTATAATAAGCATTCCAAAACAAACCAGACGTGTGATGAACGGTTCTGTTAGCGACTCAGCAATATTGAAAGGCACGGCAAAATGAAAAGTAGATAAATCTGTGAGAGATTCGCTTTCCACACGAGCATTATGATGTACATTGCGCAGCTCGTCAGAGCTGCAGATAGAAAACATAAAACACGCATATATTTCAAATCCGCTGTGAACACCATGGCGAACGAAGAAAAAACAGCCGCAATGCCGTATATTATCATTGTAAGTCCTACAGAGAGAAAAAACAAGGCTCGTTAAGAAGCACAGATAAAACTTACCGACATATTCAACATCCCTTACGCAGTTGATAAAACTCTAAACAATCCCTTTATACGTGTACAATCAAAAGCTTCGATGATAAATCCTTCGGAAGCAGTCGACCAAAAGCCAATTGGGAATAGACGAAGATGCTTTGGCCTTATTAATTCTTTGATGGTCGATTTTGTATACGATAATGATTTGTGGAATAACCTTTCTGATTCATCGTCTATAAACGAAATGAATATGACATTTCATTACAGGATAAAAATGTTCTCCTGAAATGTTACTTTTTTGACTGGATCTTCTCCGACTGAGGAAAGTAATAGTGAAAACGAGAGATACTAAAATTCGTGTCGAGTACAACGCAGAATGAAGCACGAAGCCAAATTTCCTCAGATTGGAACTGATATTTTGGTGCCATACCAACCTAAAATGCATATTCTCTGATCTTCGTAAAAAAAGCATGCCCGATTGATATCCAGTCAAAGATGCACTATAATATTTCGTCAATCTCCCATCAGCAGAGTCATTTCCACCACTATCCTCAGCAAGAACAGCGAAATAAGAATCCAAAGTAGTTGCCATGCATGCACGAAAAATGCCGCCAATAGCTGGTACTCCACACACAGGAGATTGTCAGATGCGATTTCACTTTCGTATTAAACTTATCGGGATATAAAAACCATTGTGTTGGATACATATTGCGCCGACTTGTCCAGCAACAATTGACGTGATTCGTTGTATTGATACTTGATTGTCGATTAGTGACAGCATCGAATGCACAAACATAGGCGACTGAGATCACGGCAAAATTTCACTTTGTGCCGCTTTTCTTACTACTAAACAAAATTCGTGAACCTTCACGCCGGTGGAACATACTTTTCACAGAGAAATTTTTGTCCACTGCAGTAGTTTGAATGTGAACAACGGATACGGATCAAGTGTTTGTTTCGATGAATAATACAACACAAATAATAATAGATAAGTCCACTCACAGTTACTTCATACATAATTGGTCCACATGATCAATCACTATCAGTCAGTACGAAAAGCGAACGATAGGAAACTGCCGATTTTCATCTGTTAATAATCATTTACGTAAAATTGTCAAATTATGACTATGATGAATTGGGATTAATCACGCCCCAGAAGAAAATAGCAATATTTTCAATCACAATTTAATGAATTACATATATTTTACGTCAAGAATAAAAGAAGCAAAATAAGTGATCACTCTTAACGTGCTTCATAACAAGAAACCAGATTATGCACTCGTACTGGTTCGATTTTCTTCTGTTCGTCGAATGACATCAAACAATCTTTATATTAATTTTATTAAGACATTGGTTCTCTTCTCACAATTAGATTGAAGTCACTGGTGAGTTTCCCTTCTCTTGTCGTTAGAAGCATAGGCATTAGGGTGGTTCTACGAGGAAGGAGAAACGCTCGTAGAAAATGTCTGCTGTTGACAGTCGTGAGTGGTGCAAATAATGACATGTTCCTTCCTTCTCCTCTTTTTTTTTCTCTTGGCTCAGTCGGTGAGAGAAAAATGGAGGAGAAATAAATGCACTGATGCATCAACTAACAGAACTGCAGTATAGCTTTCCCTTCGACAAAGAAGGAGAAGAAAAAATCAATAAAGGACTATATAGTCTATCCGAGAACGAGATTTATCACAAATGTTGATCGTTGTAAGATGAAAAGAAGGAAAACAAGAAATGTGTTTTACCTCGATCGATATATATTTATTAGTCTGTTTTTTTTCTATTCTAGAAAACATCATGAGTGAATCATCAACATCGAATTCAAACAAAGAAGAGCCTTCTTCTTCGAGTGCGAATCAAACTGGCCAATTCGCACGTAGTCGCTGGTCACATGTTCTCGCTCTCGCTGATCAACTTCGACATAACACTGAACTTCACAAGAATGAACAACTACGCAAATATGCTTTTGATTTACCAGCAAAGGAAAATTCGCAAACATCACCCGTCCCTCATGCAAACGATTTCAAAGCATTCGAAAATGAACTTCTATTTGCCAAGACTGGAAATTTCAACTTAGATAATCTTAGCGAAAAGTTTATCGAACTGAAACGTACATTCAATCATATGCTGGAATTGAATAAGAACAACGTCGAACAAGTTCGATTGGCAACTTCGATAACCAAAACTGCGTTATTGATGATCCTACGGGCAATTGAATCGATTATTGAAGTCGCGAGTAAATGCGTTTGGAAATTTCCGAACTTAAATTCACTGATATCTTACATACGTTCACGTCAAACTGAATTACCGATCGATGGTCGACTTTTAGTTGATTGGTACAATGCTTCGCATATTCTAGATCTACTGATCAATGATCCGGATTGGCTGGTTCAACCTCGAAAGGCATATTGGGCTATGCAAGTTTGTGATGAAACATTAATGTGGACACGCGGAGTTTTCAATGAAAATTTTCGCACGAAATCGAGTCAACGACCTGTATTCGATCGAGAAGATAGTGTTTGTGTCCCTGATGTTAAACAAAATGATATGAACGAACTATAAACTGTGCTGTTCGATATTTGAAGTGTGTGTATGACAAACGAATATTGTATTTTACTTGTAATCCTATTAGAAAAAGCTTATGATACAGAAAAAAAAGAAAGAAAAAAAAATATTTCATAGTTTTTCATTCAATGACGATTTTTTGAAGGATCCAGCTGGTTCCGACTCAAATTTCATCTTTAACGATTTTTGTTTCGAAGTACTAGTGGCTGGTAATACTGGTGATGGCTCTGGTGGTTTTGTTGCATCCGTTGTCGGTGGTTTGGTCATATCCAAAAAGCCAGCATTTGCTTCGTCATCTGCGGGAAAGACTGTAAAAGCGTTGACATAAACGATTGCTGATGGAACCAATACCATACCACCTACAGCGGTAATAGAATATCTTCATTTTTCATGACAAGCAGGTAATGTACTTACGATCTTTTGTTTTTAAATGCACGTATCGAACGTCGATTAGATGAACAAGACCTTTTTTCATTTTGATATACGAATATAAAGAAGAACTTCAATAAAGATTGTTCTTTACCTTCGATTCCACCGCCACTTCCATGAATTTTGATCCGACACCCTCGAACGAATGGTTTATTGATGACAAGAAAGATTCCCGATATGAAATTTGTTGCTACTTCTTTCAAAGCAAAACCAATAGTAAAACCAGTAATACCAATACCAGCTAGCAGCGGTTTTGTATCAACTCCAAGCGTGCCAAGTGTCGTCACTGTTATTATTGCATAGATTGATATAGCAGCAGTTTTAGAAAGTAATCTTGCTAAATCTTCATCTTCGATAATGTGAGATCGAAGGAGAAACCGTTCGATTGAAGGTGAGAGCATTAGAAAACGTTTGACTCGTTGCATTGTGGTAGCAGGTGGTGGTGGTTGTGGAAGAGTTGATACAACTGGTTCTGCTCCCCATCCAAACCAACGAAGAAATCGTCGAATACGACCCGGTGGTCGTCTATTTGGGATTTGTTGAGCTAAATATCGCTTGGGTTGTTGGGAAAAGTCAAGTAAACGATTATTATAGGATGCAACAAGACATCGACTTCCAACATGAGATGTTTTTATAGCCAAACGAGATATCATACATAATGATCGACCGTACATATTTAAATATTCTCAATCTAATATGGACAAAAGAGTATAGAATTGAGGTTTTTCATGTGAGTTCGTAGAAAACGAGTTTCATTTCATCTCCATAGTGTTTCTTTATATTGAGAATACGATACAAAATCAATCTTGAACGATAGGATTTTCTTTGAATGTGTGAGAACTTTTTGAAACAGTAAACTAATCAAGACAAACAATGTTCTTCAGTCGAACTACATCAACTTCATGTCATTTCATCACACTTTAACAGATTAATTTAGCTGACAAAATTTGCATTTTTACCTGCCTAGTTTAACAAACTCATCTACATGCTATGCAAGTTTCTATATATATATTCAAACGATGTTTTCCTCGTATTTAAACCACAAAAACTAAGGAAATGTGACTACAACGAGTTAAGTTAGCATCATCAAAAGAATAAATCTATCGTTCATAAACAGACCAATAGAAAAATATGAAAGTTCACGATGGAGGCCAGGAATTAGTTTATGGTTTTCTTAGCGACGTCATTTATATCGACTGTTTTCCATTGAATATCTTAGTTACGGATTCGCTTGCGAAAGCTTTCCAGATGCAACTGGACGAAGTCTACAGTTTTGTATTGATGCACATTTCTGCCGGACTTCCTTCCCTTCGAGAACCACTCAGAATCTATGAAAACTACTAGATTACAGATATGGTAATAGTATCTGACGAATTGACTTTTATTTGAAGGTATTTAACAAAAGTAATTCTAAATATAAATTTTCCTTCTCCCTTCCGTGCCCTCTGGATATTGTTTTACTCGATAAAAGACTCATCCGCACACACTCAAGATTGTATCGAACCGAGAAAATATAATCCCAAGTGATGATTTCATTCAAAACAGTAACAACGATAGAACCATTGTACGAACTAGACTGATTAGAATTGAGTAAAACGGAATGGAATATGAAAATCTGTTCATGCAATCGTGAAAAAGCGACCTCTTTCTCAATTGTCAACTCGATTAGAATTGATGATGGTGGTTTCGCAGCAACGCATTTTACATACGAACTTGTTGCATATTCTATTGAAGAGATCGCTATTTGTATCATCGAATCGTTTGCATATTTAGTGAAGATGGGTATCGAAGCTAAAGATTTCATTCTTGATCTTGATTTACTTGCGTTCAGTGGTATTGCTTTCAGTCCTGAACAACGTGCTTCATTACAAACATCGTTGATTATTCTCAAAGAACAATATAAATTCAAAACGATTCATTTTTGGGGAAAAATCTTAGGTATTAATGATGATTATTTCATTGTTCAAGGCCGACAAAAAGATGAACTTCGCCATCGACAATTTCTCTATAGGTACTTGTTATTGAGCTTCAATCGTTTCTTTTCTAAGAATCTATTTTTCATTTGTAATATCTAGCAAAGATTGTATCAATTGGAATATGTTGAATCCACCAAGTAAAGAAGCAAAAGAGTTAGTCGATGTGTGTCAGGGACGTTTTACCGGAGATCCATCCAATGATTTCGAAGTTGTTAAATATGAAATAACTGATGAAGATACTGAAGACGAAAATATCGAAGAAATTAAAGTAAGAGCGATATGATGATGAACTGATTGTAAAAGAACACATTTTTTTCTCAAGACAACTCTACGTGAAGAAGATCGATTAGCTGCTAGTTTATGGAGAATTGAACAAGATGCTTTAATTGTTCCATACACTGCGTACATTCTTCAGCCGAATGGAGATGTTCAGCGAAATCGTACATTCGAAGGTATAACCGTAAACATTGTATGCATTTGCAATGTAACTGTTCGGATATTTACAGGATTGACCATTGCTGAAAGTACTAAATTATCGAATTATTATCATTTTTGTGAGCCCATTCATCTTCCAAAGAAAAGTTTAGTCCAACGAAGTACTCTCGAGAAAAGTCTTCAATTTCTCGATCCCATTGATGAAGATGTTCCGAAAGGTATATTCGTTCTCGCTATTCCTCCTAATCAAATTGCAATTCTTCTAGGTTGGAGTGTTCAATACGAACGTGGAAGTGGTTTAGTTCAAATTCGTAGCCTTAAATGGCCTGGCATGGCATTCTTTCATATTCCAGGCACAAATCGTTATGGTTCACTTTATTGTGGTATTGGTGAAGAAAACAAAGACTTAGCTTTCATGCTCTAAACTAACCGAAAACACTTATCTTCTTTTTTTTCACTTCTCTCTTTTGTAAAATCCTTATTTTCATTGAAACAAATATAAACCAAACAAACTGGATTCGTTGAATAAACTTTTCGTCTTGCACATCCGGTGGTTCATTTAATGCTGCCGATGATTCATTCCATTCGATCGTATGGCTTCGGAAAACAAACTAAATATCTCCATTGCATGACGATCTTGACTATGCTAATTCGATTGAATTATTTTCGAAAACATTCGATTCAAAATCGAATCCTTTCAACGAAAATTTGTGACGGCAATATAAATCGTCGCGTTCATTTGTTTTGCAATTCGGCAACAATGTCATATTTTCGTTCTTTACAATAACAGCGAGACGAAAGAGAGAGAGAGAGAGCGCTTCATCAGGTAAGTACAAGAAACTGATTTCAATCGTTCTTCACTCTTGTTGATCACGACAATTTCGTTGTTCGCGTAAAAAATGTCAACGATTTAAGTTTCATTCAATAATAAAATCACCTATCGATGGTAAATTAGAGATGTCTACGCTTGATTTGGATTATTCTGATATTCGGAAGTTGAAGGTAAAGAAAGAAAACTTTCGATAAAGAATATTTACTCAAGTGTTACTTTTTTATCGATTTTTTTCCTTTCATCAACTTCGGCTTTCAAGTATCTTATATAAACATATTCATAAATTTATTCCAATTCGATTTCACATCGACGTTTCTTTTTCTTCTTCACAAAACTTTATCATCGTGATCAATGAGAACGAAAAAAACCGAAGTGCAACAATTCACCGTAGGAAAACCAAAATTGAGCGAGTGAACGATTTCTTATTTGTTTTATTTCAAGAAAAAAGACAACCGAAAAACTGAACCAACACCAAATGATGCGCGATACACCACAAATTTCAGTTCACCAGGTTCGGTGCCAAAACGTTATCGAAGTGTGGTCAGTAATGCAACGCCAGTGACAATATTTGGTGTGAAAACTGATGAAAATCGGGCGCGTTCTCATTCGGTAAGGAGCACGAAGATTTCGTTCGGTACGTATTCATCATTTGAAGGTAAATTTAGCCTGGCAATCACATTGAATCGCAAGTTTCTCAACGGCCATTGAAACCTGTTCGCGAATTTCTCACCACACAAACACTAGTCAACGAAAACTCGTCAGTAGTGTTTCAATGTTTTACTTCTCATCTTATCAACATTTTTGTATTTGTAGAGATGGTCGTCAACGCTCGTCTTCTCATGTAAAACCCTCACTAAAGACTTTTACAAAGTTAATTTATCCTTGCTTGTAGACAAATGGTTTCGCTCGTTCACACACCGAAGCAACAATACAAAATGTAAATATGGCTTTAGCACAAACAGCGAATAAGCTACGTCCAGATCCCCTCAATTCACCTATGCCAGGAACACGCTCATTAACAACTCTCAATGAACTGTTTACCACTCGACCGACAACTACTCGACCAGTAGTTTACCAAAATACGGGCACGACAACATCCACAAACTATTATTTTCAAGGATCGAATGAAACGAAAAAACCTTTACCACCTGACCTCACATCACGACGGCCGACGAATTTTTTTGCAGCAACGAGTACATCACAGCATCGAGTGACAACTGGAACGGGTCCACTGATCGTTACACGATCGACAGCAGCGGCGATAAATGATTATGTGAATGCTCGTACGTCAACACCGCTACGTGCTTTTTCAACTAACTTGGAAGTCGATGTCCAACCATCCAATTCAGATAATGCAGTGTTCAATAATCATACCACGAAGTCTAAAGTAAAGATCAGTAATTATACTATATTCATCACAACCTTCATATTAGACTAGTAAAACTGAAACCAATCAACAAAAAGTTAAATCTCGTAAACTATCCCCTGCTTCACATTCATCACCATCCGACAAACATCAACGAGCACTACCAGAGGTCAGTGTTCATCCCCAGTTTCAAAGTTCAGCACAAGAAAATCGCCACCAATTACCGCATCCAACTTCATCCATCGCTACTGGTATCGTATTGAACACATTACTATAACCAAAAAGAGTTTTCGTGATACTTCATTTTCTAGTTGAAACTTATGCGAATTCCCGTCAGACACAAATCGAATCCCACAACGACATGAGACGAATATCTGCGTCAAGAAAATCACCGCAAGTTATCAATGTACAACCAAATGTTACTATGGAACAACAGCCCTCCTATTCTCCACCTCCAACACCTCGTCGTTCGACCAGAACCAAAGATTCTACCAAGCCTGTGCATTCTAATGAACAAGGATTGACTCACGGAAGAACGCACACTCATCTGAACGATAACGATAGTGTATCAGCAATAAACCAAGAAGATACGAGTAATCGACTTTTTCTGTCAGTACCACCATCATCTCCAGCAAGTAAAGATCTGAATAATCATACCGATAGATCACGTCGGAATGAAAATCCACTTCGAGCGAGTTCAGAAACACTAATCGATCGTAAAAACATCAGAGGTGATCGGCCGACGAGTCGACTTAACCTTTACGATGATGAGTCAGAATCAGAAATAACTGTCACCGAAATACCAAGTAAAGATTACGGTAAAAGCGTTCATTGTTTCTGGACACGTCGACACTCTTACCGTTGTTTCCTGTTTAGATGTCGCTCATCATAATGATCATGCGGCAAGTGATTTAGTCAGTGACGTTTGGTCAGACTTAACTAGTGAATTCAGTGCAACTAAATTACGCAAACATTCACACGTTCGTACATCCACACCCAATCTGACTCGACGTAGTTCCAGTTATAGTTCGAAAGAAATTCGACAGTTACGCAAACAATTGAATAGTTCGTTGATGAAATTTTATTCAGATTATGTTTACGTTTGAAATCCTTGTTAGGTCTTCAGATAATGTATGAAGATCTATTCAGAGTATTAGATAATGATGCTGAAACCGTCAAAGACAATGCGAAGACGAATGCTGCCTCTACAGTAGAGCGTAATGAACGAAAACATCGTTTCCGGAAAATGCTCGCCATGCGTCAGCCAAGTATTGATATGAAGTATTAGCTCTACTCAAGTTTTCTTCTCAAAAATACGATCAATGTACATGTTTTCAGAGAAATCAATCAACGCTTCACTCGTCTCGAATCCTCTATAGTAACATTAGCTGAGTCCATCGCGAAATTATCTGCACAAGTTCAACTTCAGCGTGGCGTTAAAGATGAAGTTGCTGATCTGCGCGCCGAGGTCGCTGAACTTCGACAACAAATATCCCATCAGCCAACTCGTCTCCTATCTGCCAGTGTTCAACATTTGGCGGCAATAAACACCACCAATTCCATCAATATGTTCACCCCGAGCAGTCCACGTCCAACTACCATCATTGATCCTCGACATGCACGAAAAATCGAACAGTAAAATCATGTTTTATTTTTGTATGAACATATCATAATATTTTCTTGTACAAATGGATTGTTCATTTAGATTCTTTGGTACCGAAGTATTGCTTCATTATTTTCTTACTTTATTAAATTATCAAGAGTATATTTCCATATTTGAAAAAGAAAATATCGGCTTTTGTGAATTAGCATTTGTGGACGAGAGGAAATTACAAGGTTTTGGCATACCACATGGTCCATCGATACGCATTATTTACGAAGCACAACAATATTTCACTTCATTATTAACATTCAAATCCAATCGAATCGATGTATAAATGAACATTCGAACTTTGTCTGTAAATATGTTTCTTTTTTCTGATTAAGTAAAGATAAAATCTGTTGTTACACGCAAAAGCTGCCGCAGTCGTGTTTTTCTCTAGTTCTGTTCTTTGAAGATCCATGAGTAATGGCGACCTCTTCAAACCCATTGCTTCCATTAACGTTTTCATTCATACTGATCCCCCTATGAGGCCCACAAGAATTATTCTTCGTTTCTTTTCTTTTCGATAAAATGAAATGAAACAAATCTGCTTCTTCAAGTCAATAAGTAAATTTCGTGCAAACGAGAAAGTATTCAAATATATTCAGCAATTTACTTTTGTTCACTATTTACCATGTCTCAACTGATTGTTTATCGAAGATATTAAGCAACAGCTATGAGTCGTATCGCGATTTCTGTTCTGCACTTATTCACCTCTATACCTATCCGAATGTTTGTTTCTTTTTCACTGGATATTAGTTAGTCTCAGACAATCACTTTAAGCCAAGAGATTCGTGGTGGTTGTAAGCAAAAAAAAAATCCTACTGGCTTTTTTTTTCCCGTTCTATCGATGACTCGTCGATGCATCCCGATGCTTCCTATTCGATCTTCGCACATCGTCTACTATAGACGTAAAAAATGCGGTCAATGTACCCAAATTATCTTGTGATATAAAGCACGTTTTTATACCTTGAATTCGATTATTTCTAGATTGTTTTTTTTTTGATAAATTCAACACGAGAATGTCGACTACACAGCACACACCTCCAATGAACAAAGTAATGCTAACTGTTATTGATCGCTTCGTTTCATTAGAAATTTTCTTTAGCCATTGCATAAACGAACACCGAGTCAAACGGATATTGCTGAGTTCAAGGATTTGACGAAACGAGATGCTTTGACGCGACTTCAAAAAACCGTCAACAAACTTGTTCTCACTGCTCAACCACAATCGCAAAAGGTTTGCCCTATGAAAACTTTCTTCTATTAGCTAAATGAAGTTTTCTTTTAAGAACGTACGAGCAGAAATGGATGGATTCGAGCAATTGTTTAGTCGATATTTACTTGATAATGTTGACCAACCATCAATCGATTGGCAAGAAATTCAACCACCACCAGAAGGAACAGTAAGTTTATACAGTGCATTGTTTTCTTCGATTTTCGTCGTCTGTGTCAAGGTCATTTCGTACAAAAAACTACTGGAAGCCAACATTGATGATGCCCGAGACTTACTAAATAAACTAATAGTTGTTAAACTCAACGGTGGTCTTGGTACAACTATGGGTTGTCAAGGACCTAAAAGTGTCATTTCCGTACGCAGTGGTTTAACATTTCTGGATTTGAATATCCAACAACTGGAAGTAAGAAATAAAGTCAAACAAACTTTACGCATGCGCATTGATTTTTATTAGCAATTGAATCGTACATATGGTTGTGATGTACCATTAGTTCTGATGAATTCGTTCAATACACACGAAGAAACTGAAAAAGTGCTACAAAAATATAGTCATGTATCAGTTAAAATCTACAACTTCAATCAATCTAAGTAAGTCGAACTTGTTCCGATGACGATTTTGATAAGAGAATTGTTTTTCAGATATCCTCGACTCGATCGCGAAACTTTATTACCCGTCGCGACGAATGTGGAAGGTTCGGAGAATGAATGCTGGTATCCACCTGGTCATGGTGATATCTATCAAGCATTTTACCAGTCTGGTTTATTGGATCAATTCATTGAACAAGGCAAAGAATACATGTTTTTAAGTAACATTGACAATCTTGGAGCTACAGTCGATTTGTGTAAGAAGAATAGGATTTGAAAATACTTGCGATATTAATTATTTTGTTAAACAGATATTCTCAAGCATTTACTGACTGACCAAACAAAACATGAATTTATTATGGAAGTTACTGATAAGACAAGAGCGGATGTCAAGGTAATTTTAGAGGAGAAAACAAAGTTTTTCTATTGATCTATTTGTTCATTATAGGGTGGTACTTTAATTGAATATCAAAATAAACTACGATTACTAGAAATCGCTCAAGTGCCAAAAGAAAACGTTGATGAATTCAAAAGTGTTAGTAAATTTCGGTAGGATGAACATTACATAATCGATTTCTCGTATCTATCAAATATTTCTGTAGAATTTTCAACACTAACAATTTATGGATTAATCTTCAAGCTATCAAACGTGTCGTCGAAGATAAAACTTTACATATGGAAATCATCGTTAACAATAAAGTAAAATAATTTGGAAAAGATAAACTATTATGGACTTGTCTGTTTTCAGACGACAGAAAAAGGCGTCAATGTTGTTCAACTAGAAACCGCTAGTGGTGCAGCTATACAAAGTTTCGAAGGTGCCCAAGGTAAGAACTCAATTCGCAAGTATTCTTGTATTGACCATGAAGAAAAATCTTTTTCTAGGTATTAATGTTCCACGTCGTCGTTTCCTTCCGGTTAAAACAACATCGGATCTTTTACTGGTCATGTCAAATCTGTTTACATTGAATCGTGGAAATCTTGTCATGAATTCCCAACGATCATTTCCATCTGTACCACTTGTTAAACTCGGAACAAGTTTTACTAAAGTTAGACAGACTTTCTTACTCTCAATTTGTATATATTTCTCTCTCCATTAGGTCAAAGATTTCCTTTCCCGATTTCAAAGCATACCTGATTGTCTCGAACTAGACAGTCTTACTGTGTCCGGTGATGTCACATTTGGTAAAGGTGTTTCATTACGTGTAAGTAAAGCGATTCAACACAATCAATCGTTAAATACAGATCTCTTCTTTCCAGGGCACTGTTATCATCATTGCCAATCACGGTGACCGAATTGATGTTCCACCTGGTGCTATTTTAGAGAATAAGATTGTTTCGGGCAATTTACGTATCCTCGAACATTAATATATTTCCTCTTCGTTTACTTGCTTTATGTAATCATGCCATCAGTTGTTTAGTGTATTTTATTAGAGATCCTTCGATTACCATGAAAGACAGAATAGTCCTGCCAAACGATTTTTATTAATAAACAGTCATAAAACCGGCGTTCGACGCTAAAAAACCTATTTGGATTTACAGCGCATACTTTACCTAATGTAATGCTTCCTCTCATCAAATGAATAAGCATGTTTCATCATAGCTCATATTCTACAAATATTGTGCAATAACCATTGCATGAGAAGAAAATTTTTCGTTCTTCTATATAAGATGTAAAATGTAAGTGAGTAACCGACATACAAAACAACAACTGATGGGTGGGAATGCGTTGAAAAACGTGGTGACTAGGCGTTATGCACGCGACGAATATTTGAGATTGAAAGAACGTATTCTGAGCAAAGTGCGTGAACATATCGATCAATGCGACGTTCCAAGAGAATTTCCATGTAAAGAGTCATTCGGTGATTTGGATGTTCTTATGGTATGTCCACCATCGGTAAAACTTCACGATTTAATCGAAGAACTATTTCACCCAACGGAAATCTTCAAAAACGGCGATGTTTATTCATTCGATGTCGAACAATTTCAAGTTGATTTTATTCTTGTTCCACAAGAAGAATTCCACAATGCCATTGTTTATTTCTCCTACTCAGATCTCGGTGGTTTAATCGGCAATGTTTGTCATAAAATTGGATTGAAATACGGTATTCAAGGCCTATGGATGAATGTACATACAAAAGAATTCGATCCAACTACGACATCAACAAAACTTTTACTATCATCGAATCCTCAAGATATCTTCGCTTTTCTCGGTCATGACTATGAACGGTATGCAAAAGGATTTGAGAATGCCAATGAATTCTTCCAATGGATTGTCGAAGGAAAATACTTTCGTCGTCAGTATTTTGATGACGATCAACTTAACCATGCACATCGACAACGAACATCGAAACGTCCGATCTATATAAAATTCATAGCGTTCTTAGATGAACACGAAATTCCGCGAGAGCAACCAATTGAAAATCGTGATGAACTTGCTCGCGATGTTCGTCAACAAGCGTTGACTTTCTTCGACAAACAAGACGCCTATGAAAAAGGATTAAACGCTCGCGATGAAAAACGACAATTTCGTGAAAAGTACAGCGGTAAAGACTTCCTTGATATTGGTGGTCAGAAACAAATGATTCCTGTACATATGCGCAATTTCGAAAGACGATTTGGCAAAACGGACGAAGAATTCCATCAATGGGTACTGAACACCGATGTTGTAACTATCAAATCCGAAGTTGAGAAATTCAAACAAGAGCTCAAAACTAATCGATCCTAGCGAATGTTCTTTTCTGCAAATACTTCAGATCTATGAAAGAAATGTTCGATAGAGATTGCTTTTATATCAAACAAATAAATCATTCTAAATTATTTACGAAACAATAACGAAAGCACTGTTTAGAGATTCTGACTACTAAAGATAATTATTGCACACACAAGACGAACAACATGTAGACAGGTTCTGATGTATTGTGTTTCTATCTGGCTGATTGTGTAATAAGGAAATAATTATGCTTCTAATTTGGGACATTCAGGATGAATGAAGTTGCGTGGATGGATCATTCCATTTTGCCGGATAACCCATTCGTTCGCTAGATAATCAATGACTTCCTGAATCTGTTCTTGCCGAATGTCACCATCGAGTTCAGCTAGATATCGATAGAATTTCTTCCACTGATCGAACGGAATTCGAGCATTAGCACCCGGAGGATCGCTTGTCAACAGCTCACATATCTTTATTAATGTATCCGTCAAACTCTATGAGAAAAGAATGACAATATAAAATATAAATAGGAAAAGTTGCATACTTTTGATATTTTTGTCATGGCTACAGTTAGAAAATGTTCCCATTGTACATCTCCGTTGAATCCACCGATTTGTACAATATCATCGAATTGTTCTTGTGGGATATTCAAATCTTGGTATTTATTCTGGATTTCATTTAACGGAACTGTTCCTTTCGAAGAAAACTAAAACAAATCAATCATTTACCGAAAAATCCTTCTAAGTCGGCTCTTATGTCACGAATGTTCCCATATTACCCTAATTAAGATCAAATTTCTGCTTGATCAGTCTCCTTTTATGCAACAAATGATTCTATCTACATAAGAATATCCAAACAGTTCAACTTGCTTCCTCTTTCACTATGCTTAAAACATCTACCTATTATTAATGTCGTCTTCTCATGCTAAGATTACACATTATAATTAATGTGTTTTTGTCACCCTCAATAATAGCTGACAAGCGAAAAGTTATGTACTTAAAATCAATTATACCCTCTATTCTAGCACAGAAGAACTGCGCCTATAATTATTATGGTTCTTTGTTAGCTACTGGTAATATTTTCAAAGCAAATCTTGATTACTTCATTGAAGAGATTACCTGTCTATGTAAGATCTTCAATAGACCCATAGTTAAACCTGTGTCGATCTTTTGTGTCGCAACAGGCATCTCCATACCTATATAATTTGTGATATACAATCGTTTGAACAGAAAAAATGATGTTCCTACGTTCTTTAATCGGCGGTGTTTGACCATTTGCTAATGCTCGGAAGTATCTATAAGGAAAAGCTCATAAAAACATCAAAAGAAGTCATTTAACTTACGCTGCACTCCATGCCAATACGTCTGTTGGCTGTGTGCGTATTGCTGCTTTGGAAAATTGAAGTAATATGTCCGGAAATTCGGATGGAATTGAAATTTGCTCGCTTGTATAATATGGTTCATTTGTCGCCATATTTGTTCAAAATGAACGCTTGTGGTTGTATTCGATGTAAACATGTCAATAGAATTTTCAACCATTTAGATTATCTCATTATACATCGCCAGTCATTTGGAACTGATATGTCAAAAAAATTATTTTTATAGAATATTTGACATCTTAATGAGGATTTGTGGGAGGAACTGACGTTCAGTTTCTCATTCGCAGCGATTGTGGCGCAGTCGAATATGATTGGTTCGTAGGAATTTGAGGCTCGAAACAAAGAAGACAGACTCAATCAATCGTGCTGTTGTCAGTTAGAAAAAGAAGAGAAGAATGAAATCATCATCACGCTCAGTACTACAAAATCGAAATGTGGAAAATCGACCGATACCTTCGTACGAGTTCGGACGTTTCTCTCAATGCCGTTTGAACATTTGTTTGATATTTATAGAGAATACTTCTTGGGAGGCGACTCAAAGAAACATAGTGAAGACAATCGGAAGCAACATACTGCCTCATCCTCTTCGACATCTAATGCTGATTTGATCACAAATCATCTGGATGAAACAACAACAGCAACAGCAGCAGCATCGAAAACACCTCAGTGAGTAATCTTGATGCTCAGTTTGAATAAGATTCGAGAGATTTCTTTCGTAGACGACAATGGACAATCAATGATTTCGAAATAGGAGCACCGTTAGGTCGCGGACGTTTTGGTCATGTTTATTGTGTTCGTGAAAAGAAGAGCAAATACATTGTTGCACTGAAAGTATGATTTGGCTTGTAAAACTATTCTGACGAATGCATTTTATGTGTATTGGCAGGCGATCATCAAAGATCAGATATCGACTCCTCGCTTAGCCAAACAATTGATAAGTGAAATATCCATACAGAGTCGTTTGAAGTAAGAAACTCTTTCGATAAATCTTGATCTCGCTTGAAAGAAAACAATGCGGTTTCAGACATCCGAATATTCTGCGTTTGTATGGATTTTTTCACGATGAACAACGAATTTTCCTACTTCTGGAATATGCACCCGGTGGAGAATTATATCGACGTATGCAAAAAGAAAAAATTCTCAAAGAAACCGAAGCTGCTGGTGTAAATACCTTTCATCTAAGAGTAGCTCTCTCACCAGGAAACCTACTACTTTTCTTCTAGTATGTCTATCAACTTTGCAATGCATTGTCCTATCTCCATTCGAAGCAAATTATTCATCGGTAAGAAAATTACCCTTAAGCCCAATGATCAACTGAAGAACGATGTTTTGTAGTGACATCAAACCGGAAAATATTCTCATTGGCATTTATGGCATTCTCAAATTAGGTAAACACAGTGTTAATTGATCTAGTCGATAAGTATGCTTCGTCCTGTTTTCAGCTGATTTCGGTTGGTCAGCAGAGAGCACTGAAGCAAACAAGTGAGTTGAATTTTCAAACAATAACATTGAAGTTCTTTATTCGTTGGAATCTAAACAGACGAACAACTCTGTGCGGTACACTGGATTATTTAGCACCGGAAATGCTCAATGGACATGGCTATGACGAAAAAATCGATCTTTGGTGTTTAGGTGTATTCACCTATGAAATGGTACTAATCCGAACGAGTTAAATTTTCTATTCAACTTTGTTTATAGATCGTAGGCAAACCTCCATTCGATAGCCCTACGCAACAAGATACTATTCGTCTGATACGAACGATTGATTTGTCATTTCCACCGAACATATCTCAACATGCTCGCGATCTTATTAGTCAAGTAAAAAATCGACATTTCATTGTACTAAATTTCGATGAAATTTGATCATTTAGTTGATTCGTCGTAATCCTCAAGATCGCATGCCATTAAACGAAGTAATTCAACATCAATGGATTGTCACAAATGCAAATATCAAAGCCATTGATGAGAATTACGAGAAAATTAACAGATCAACTTCGATTAATCATAAAGATGACAGTAATATCTGAAATGGATATTATTGTCATTCTTATTCTATTTATTTTTCTTCTACAATGACACATCNCATTGCCTAATCTAATTCTATTAACCTTTCGAAACCAAATCTAATCGATACATCCATAAATTGATGATTGACTTTCATTAACCATGATTTTTTTGTCTAATTTCATCTAGAGAAGACAGTGCATACAGCTTTATGATCTTTTTTCTCATCTTCTTCATTCAAATCGTCATAACCATCTTACAATTCTTTGGTGTTGCTAATCTCGGATGGTAAATCAACTGGTTTTTTGTTATCTTCACTGTTGTCTTTTGCATGATAATTATCTTTTACTCGCTAAACCTTGTTGTTTGTAATGTTAAAACTATGATATTGTTATTTTTCTTCTAGCGGTTTTATATTAATGGTGAAACTATTCTCATCCGGTGGAAGTAAAATCATCGTCGGTATTATTGTGATGATTGTGACACTAAGCTTTGGAATCGTTGCTGCTGCTGATGGTTTATTATTAATTAAGGTAAGCTCAATAGATCAGTTCAGCTTTTCACGAGAAAAGATGAGAATTTTCTGTAAAGATAAATCCGACGAATATGGGTTTTTGATCTTGCTTTCAATAGGGTATCGTGCTGTTATTGTTTTTAAGAAAAGAATTTTGATTGCTCGAGCTCAGATGTTTTATGTGTGTTGATGATTTGTTTTAACTTATAACATCGACTCGTTTTAGGTACACCGTTTGTATCGTCAATCGGGAGCAACACTTGAACAAGCGCAACGTGAATTTCAGTCGGCATTTGTCAACAAGTGAATAGAATCTTTTCGAATAAATCCATTAGTAGATAGATGTTCGTTTTTAGTCCGACCGTTCGTGGAGCAGCTCGTGAAGTCGCTACGGCTGGTATAAATCAAACAACACGTGGAACAAGTTATCCACAATAATTTCAATTTTTCGAACATTATTAACAAAAAAACAAAGAGCATCAAACGTTTTATTTTTTCGTTATGATTGTTTATTCTCGAGAAGAAAATTCTATCAAAATCTGAACTCACTTTCGCCTGCTTTCGCTTTTTTTTTGTATACAATACAGAAAGATCTTTGAATATACATTTTAGAAGGACATGGAATTCGTTGATATGAAAAAGAAAACCGATGAAAATATCGTTGATCCCGACATACGAGAAGAAGCTCACCGATATTCAGTGCGCACACGGATGGCTTTTCTGCCAGATAAGATTCTCGGTGATATATGGTATTTCCGCTTGTTAACACTGTTTTATTATTATGCATTTACTTATATCCACGGATTTCAGAGTAAGAATAAGATCTGAAGATGTGATTTTATGTGAATATACATGTGACTATAGTTGTTGGAATGGAGAAGGTCGATCCAGAACAAGGTTGTCTTTTCATATCTCGTCATTCGACACATACTGCCGATGTGCAAGCGACGCTCGTGTCTACGTATCATAAAACTGGTCGGGTCGTTCGGTAGATGATCTATTCGATGAATTTCTTGCATTTGTGAATGTGTAATTAGAGCTCTGGTACATCGTCAAGTAATGTTTTTTTTTCCATTTCTACGTTTGATGGGTTGTGTACCGGGTAAACGCGATACTGCCGTATCTTTGCTAAACAGTGGATTTTGGGTGGTGGTCATTCCAGGTAAAACTTCGAGATAAAGATCCATTCGATTTAACCATAGAATGTAGGTGGGGTTGAAGAAGCAATGGTCGGCCATGAGAATGCATATAAAGTGTGTTGGCCGGAAAATCGTACGTTAGATGAAGTTTTCGATATGTGTTTGACGACATTTAGTTTGTAGGTAAAGGTTTTGTTCATGTTGCAACGCAAGCAAACGTTCCGATTATCCCAACATTCATGGCCAATCAAGAAGAGATGCGATGGAACCCTATCCTTTTCCTCTGGAATCTTCTTGGCCTTGGCCGTTTATATTCTTCCATTCTCAAATTAGAAATACCATTTTTAACACCATTTCTACATGCAGTTGGCGGTCTTGTTTGGTTCATCATGACATGGATTCAAATTCCAATACCTGTTCAACTAACATTATATGTAGGTGATCCGGTGCAATATGACATGTCTAAAGATACCATCGATGACGTAAGTGGTTTTTGATAGAATTTTGTTTAATATTTGCCACATTGTATTCAAAGGTCGTTGAACGTTGTCGATGTAGTTTACAAAATTTAATTAGTCAACATCAACCACATGGAAAATCTTACAGAAATGCTGTTAAACAACGAATTGAATCGTTACGAAACTTTTGGAAAGGATACATTTTCGGTACCATTGAAAAGATGCAATGAAACTTAGTCATTTCTACTCAAGCGATTGTTTTCTAATACAAATTTCATATTTTGATTGTGCGGGTTGATAAAATCGAATCCGACAAGTTTGGGCAGAATAAACTATCTATTTACACGAGCAGTTTACCAGCGCATCTTTTCTTGAATCCGTCCGCTTTCATTAACTCATCACAATTAATCAGATTATCACTTTACTGCACACTTCAATTCGAATCATATCAAATTCGTGAAAATTTTGTCAACTCGAATTAGTTCATGAGCTTTCTATTTCCATCTCTCGTATCTTGTGTTTTCCTCTCAACCGCACTTCGGCGAGCAGAAATCATTCAAATAGAAAAACTTACCTCTTCTCATTATTTATCTACTTTAATCATCAAGTTTCTACCTGCTAGTTTTGCTATATATAGCACATCTAATTACGATGATTGTTTAGCTCTTTAGAAATATATCGTTAAGAAACTTTAATGAAAAAATTTCCATATATTCATTTTTCTTCCATAAGATATTAATCAGCTCAGAGAATCTCCATGAAAACACACACCTGTGCGTCAGTTTCAGCAAACAAATATAGATCTGGTGTTAAACTAATCATCGGCATAGAACGTCATACGGTAATTATTTATAGAAACAATACCTTTCACTTATCCTCTAAATGTCATGATATTGAAAAAGAAATTTACAGGTTAATTAACGTAGACAATGAAAGAGAGTCGGCTGGAAATACGAGAGCAAGTCTGTATGAATAATTCAATTTCAGTGATAAATAATACGCGAGAGTTTCTTGCGAAATTTCTTCCTGTAATTGCCGTACTCTTGCAAAAAAATATGGTGAATACGATCTAGGAAAAAAAGAGAAACACATTAGATACTTTTTTTTCTCATTTTCTTCTTTCTTTCTTTCTTTTTGTATTGATGTCTCTTTGTCTCTAAAGAACAAAAGAGAAAGTGAAAAGGGTAAAGAATTATAGTGTGGAATGGAAACGACTTTTCATCCTGTAGATTGTTTTCAAGCATGTTATTATCATACATGTCGCTATTGATGATGTGTTTTCTTGTTGGTGGACTCGTTGGAGAAGTAAACGGAAACAATAGCGAGTCTTAGCTCGTCAGCTAACGCAGACACTTGAAAATATTTTGTTCGAACCTATAGGACCAACATGTTTTTCTCTTCCAATCTCATTAGAGTATTGTAAGTTTCTTTGTGCATGTTTATTTAACATTTTTCTCTCCTAACGACGGATATACGCTGAACTAGTTCGTCTAACAGCGAGTTTTTTCTTCTTATCGAACACCTTGTGATGCACGACATCCTGCCTGTCATGTCGCGTCCTATACTTTCGTATGAATACGTGAGTGACAACGATTGTTTGGGAAAGAGATGAGTGAAGTCATATAATGAAAGCATGATATTTCATTTCGCGCAACAACATCATCATCATCATTATCATCAGTAACAAGAAGTGATCATCGACAAGTCTCAAGTGATTTTTCTTCTCTTGTTATTAAGATGAATAAGAAAAGGAAACACTAGACTTCTTTTTTTTTCGAAGAAGTTTTCTCTTTAGACTAATTAAAGTGAACCCTCGGAGAAAAAGAAAATTCTTCTTCTTTCACATCGAATACGAGTAAGGTCAATTGATTAGGCAGCTGTGTCAGCAAGAGTTTCTCATTTGTTGAAAAGAAAGAACAGGAAAAAAAATTAATCGTCATCTAGTTTTGATAAATGATTGTGTGATTCATGTCGATTCGATTAATATGCAATTATAAGCAAATATACGCGTGTTCGTTAAAACTTTTCCTGCTGATGTTCTAATCGAGGTCGAAAAACATGAGGATGAGAAAACGATTTGTTTTTTCCTGTATAAACTATTGATTTAGTCAAAACAGACGTGACTATAGTTTCTTTATTTAATATCAAAATAGATTCGTTTCTAATATGTTTGTCTTTAGTTCATTATGTCGTCGACCAAACTATCGTCATGTCACTTGCATCGACGTCTATTTATCGCAGACTGTAGCGCTGACGTATTTCTCTATTTAATGCCAAACATGATTCCACTGTTAAACGATTCTTCTTTTCCTTTCTGTTTGCAGCAGCTATGAATGCGTGCATATAATACTTTTAATAAACCGATTCGTGTTTTTTTTCAGATGAAAGACGCCGGAAATAGCGCCTTTGTTTGTCCCAATGATCGACAATTACAACTTCGAGCAAAGTAAAGTCAGACGAATGAATCCTCATTTTCTTATGTCTTGCTCGTAGACTCAATTCCGGTTGGTCATTTCATTCCGGTCGACCAGCGCCAGTGACGCGTTTAACTAATCCGATTATCTCGAGTCCAAATCAATCATTACGCGATGAAGAACTTGAACGAATTAAGAAAGTTCTCGATCGTGCTCAACGCATCGAACTTCTTGAACAAGAACGTGTCGGGTAAAGACAATTAATCGCATTTTTTGTTTCGATTAGCTCTGTTGCTTTCTATTCAGCAAACTCATCGATCGATTGGAAAACATGAAGAAGCACGCCACTGGCAATGGATCAACACAATGTGTTCTATGTGCTGACGGCTTCGGCATGTTAGGTGCATCATCTGTCTTGTGTGTAGACTGTCATAAAGTAATCAGATAATGAAAGAAAAACCGAATATTTATTGATTATGAAAAAATCTTCCCTCAGGCGGTGTGTAATAAATGTTCGATTGAAACGATCTTTAATCAACAGCTCATTAATCTATGTAAAATTTGTAGTGAAAATCGCGAAGTAGGATCATCCATTGTTTGTGTACCTGAGGTTTGAACGTGAGTTTGACTCGGTGTTATAGGTATGGAAAAAATCTGGTGCTTGGTTTTTCCGGGCATTACCGTCACGATCGAGCTTACCGGCAAAAGTCAAAACAACTCCATCGAATGTATCTGTTAACATAGTGAAGAGTAAATCTTTGTTATTGAATTGACGGTGATCGATCGAATGAAACTTTCTTTTAGGCAATGATACGTCAAGTGATGATGATTTGAGTTTAGATGATCGAAGAAGTAGTAAAGCAAGTCGATTACCTGACCGACATTCACCTTTATCAGGTTTGCTCTAGATTATAAGAGTGTTTATTGAGCTTCTTTGTTCGCTTCTAGCACTATCGAGTAATAATTATCCGACAATGAACTCTTTCCAACCTGTGTTTGAAAATGCAAATTCGATTGACGAACCTGATCGAGATGGAAGTATTGACTCATCGAAAGCAGACGAACAGAGTTCAAAAGGTACGACGAAGTTTCGATTTCTTGAATAACATTCTTCCTTTCTTGTTGTAGAACTTTCCATCGAAGAATATCTTCCTAAAACTCAATCGAATCATTCTCCACTATCATCTATCATATCTGGAATGACACCTTCACCCTCGAATATTCGTCCATCGAACTCTGTGATTATCAATACTTCATCGCCCATTGATGATTGTGGTTAGTGAACGAATTTGATAATACGATGCTATTTGATCTTTTTTTGCAGGCTTCGGTATGTTAGATTTTGAAATCATTTGGAAAGAATCGTTGAATGTTCTGACAATCACGTTACTACGAGCACGAAACCTTCGATCGTTTGATTCCAATGGACTTTCCGATCCTTATGTGAAACTACATCTTGTTCCTGGTGTTGCTAAGGTAAAACATTTACATTTTGCGCAAACTTTTACTAAAATGAATTATCTAGGCAACGAAACTACGAAGCCATACCATTCGTCGAACGTTAAATCCTGATTTTGATGAAACACTCGTTTACAATGGAATATCTTTAGATGATATGAAAAACAGAACTCTAAAGTAGGACTATCACTCGAGTGTTTCGAAATCATTTATTGAGTTCCATCGCTAGATTTTCGGTGTATGACGAGGATTCAGTTGGTTCTGATTTTCTCGGTGAATATCGTCTGAAATTATCGACCATTCGACCAGATGCTCGAGAAGCTTATTCCGTTTATTTACAAAACAAGACTGAGGTAAGTTCATCTATCTGTCTTTATTCGTCTTTTCTGATTATCCCGGACAATTTTAGGATATTGAGGTAACACTTGTCATTATTTTGCTTTGTTTTTTGTATACCTATTGTCTCCGCTTGTGTTGATTTTGTTGCATAGTTGATCTAAGGGAATGACGAAGCTTATTTTCCGACTGGATAAACGTTTAAAAATCGATGGGTGTGTTGATTCATGTAAATATTGATTGTATATCAACAGTACCCACATGTTTAAACTCTTATCGTCATCAAATATGCGGCATGTTCTATTTTTACTTTTGTGTTTAGTTACCGACGGATGAAGATAAGAATGAACGTGGTAAAATCCTTCTTAGTTTGATGTATTCAAAGTCAACAAGTAATTTTCATGTAAAAGTCATCCGTGGGTGTCAATTATTACCCATGGATTTCGGACAAACATCCGATCCTTATTGTAAACTATTGCTATTTCCTTCGATTGATATGAATGTTAAATGGAATTTCAAAACTTCGGTGAAAAAACATACTCTCCAACCGGAATTCAATGAAGAGTTCATCTTTTCACATATACAATTACAAGATTTAATTAGCCGAACATTGCAAATAACAGTTTATGATAAAGATATGGGAAAGAAGGATGATTATATTGGTAAGTAAGACTCTGATTAGAATCCACAACACCTCTCTGCATGTTGACTAGTCAAAATATCAGTCCATGGGTGATTTTTCATCTTGAAATATTTATGTAGAATGTCATGACTAGAAAGTGCTTGACTGAAGTGCTTTAATTTTCTTCGCGGAAACGCGAATATCATGATTGTAAATAATTGAGGATATTCTTTTGTTCTAGGAGGGTTCCAATTAGGCCAATCGGCGTCAGGTGATGATTTGAAACATTGGCTATTGATGGTGAAGTCTCCTGATCAATGGATTGACATGTGGCATAAGTTAAAACCTGAAGTGTTTTCTTCGGCATTAGGGCAACGAGATTCTCAAACATCTCGATAAAATTTTTTTCTTTTGTGAATTCTAATCCACGTGGTTGTGTAGAAAAAAAACACACACACAAACATTGATTTTCGCCGTGAATAAGAGCTTTGAATGATGATAATTGTTCTTCTTTATATTTGTAAACAGGGACCTTTTGTTCTTCTTCTTTTTAATAATAATAAGCATCAGTTGTCATAATGATGTCTTCCTTCTTCTTTTATTTTTCTCGAACATCTCGATAAGGTGTAATCGGTTCGTGTTGAATCAAAACTGAAAATTTCGATCTTGATCTATTTTTGTTCTTCTAAAAATTCTTTCGACAAAAAAAAAACCAAAATCACGTTTTTCTTTCTTTTCGTTGTGAAATTTCGTTGTGGTAGTCGACATTTTTTTTGTGAATTCTATTTCCAAGATAATAAATATTCTAATGCATATTTTAACGCCATCTTTGTCAAATAAATTAAACGCGTTTAGTAACTGTTACAAGGCTGTTGCGTAGTAACGTTCGCTAAAAGGAACGTTTGATTGACAGTGAAAATTGCCATTTGAACGTCCGATTTGCGAACGGAAACGATGGATCAAGTGCAGGTTTTATCGGCAGTTTGCAAGAAATTGAACAGTGATATCGAAGCATTGGGCAGTCAAACCGCAATGCGAGAGAGTTCACTAGCGAAATTGAGTGGAAATCAACAAGCATTTGACGAGCAATTAAGACAATTAAATATGGATTTACAGATCAAAATGTCGCGAACGGATGCGATTGTACAAAAGTTACAGAATGATGTCGAACAAATGTCTCATGGCTTACGAGAAGTGATCAACAGTCAACAGGAAACCAATCGATCGAGTCTACAACGTTATCAAGAGATCAAAGTCGAAGTAATTTCTTTTGTCGAGTTGTATTTGAACTTTGGTTTCATTCGATTGGATAGATTTCATCACTGAGTCAACGTGTTGATCGAATGTTCAACGAACAGCAAACACTCTTACGGACATTCGAAACTGATACAGCTCGAGCTTTGTCAACAGCTGATTCTCGTTCACATGCATTTGTTGATGAACTGCGAAATCAGATACTTCAAAGCAAAACACAAGAAGATGCAGAACGGGAACGTGCGGAACAGAAAATGAATCAAAAACTCGAGGAAATTAAACGATCATTGGAGAAATATGTACGAAAAATGTCATTTTCCTACTCAATCTCGTTTTCGCTTGTTTAGGAACGTTTGGATAAACGAATTGACGATGCTATCCATCAATTTGAAAGAAAATCGGTGGCATTAGAAGACCAATGCCGACGAGCAATATCCGATTTACAACGAAACAACGAAGTAAATGTCGTTCGAAGCGAAAGTTTTGCTTATTAAAGTACTTTTTTTCAGTCAGTGGAGAAAACTGTTTACAAGAAATTCGATGAAAAGTATCAGAAAACAATGACCAATCTGGATAAAGTAAAGAAAGAGATGCGCGGTTGTTTCGAATCACTCGAAGGTTCGGTCGAAACCTTACAGCGCATCACCGATGGACGAATTAAGGTAACAGAAGAAAAATTAGATAGGGAAATTGAAAAACTTCGAAGCATGACCGTTCTTATTTAAAATATATTCCAATTTCAACAAAACAAAAAAGCAATCAGTTTCTGTCAAATTTGATTTCTTGCATGTCAACATTGATTGATATAAGATGAAACGGGCAAGTCACAAATCCAATGACCTTGAAGTTCGAATCGGCAATAAAAAAAAAAAGGACGTGTAAAAAAACAAAATTGCTCTGCCGACTAACTGGATATTAACCTTTTTCTCTTCGACATGTAATTTGTCCGTGTCATGTGTAGTTAGAAAAATATTATTGAATTTTTTTTTCCAGCTTTCTTGACCACAAATATTTTTCTTCTTCCCAACTTTTTACGAAATACCAACGTAACTCTTGATGAAGCGTATCATTTCATCTAATGATTGTGTCTCAACTCATCGAATGCATGTACTTGTCGATGAGTAAGTTTTTTCGTTTTCTCTCGCCTCTAATAATTGCACATGTACACATTGATGATTAAAAACCAATGTTGTGGAGCTATCTTGTTTTTTATCTTATCAACTTTTTTTTTCTCTCTTTTTGCTTATGTATTTTTTTGCATGGTTTGTTATCGTCTATTTTTAAATCGAAGATTGCTATCGATCTGTTGTCCTTTATTTTCTGGTTCTGTCGTATTTGTTCAAGGAAGCTTAATTGTCAAGCATTGACAATTGAAAGACGCGCCGGAGTCTGTCTGTTTGCCTGTCTGAGAACACATATACACCTTGTAAATAAGTTAAAATAAAAACTCAAGTAGAAATCATCGGTCGACTTTATTCTTCTATGATTTTGATTTTTTTATTTAAAAAAACCTGCAGCACAATATATACTGATTGAGACGAAGCATGAATTACGAACGCTAAAAGGATACTGATTATAAAAAATAGTTTCCTTAAACTAATAAGTGAGAAGAAAAAAGTTAGACAGAGAATATCGTTGCAAAAGAAAGTAAAAAATCGAGCTAAATTCTGTGAGTGCGTTTATAATCCACCTTGGTAGAATTGTTTGAACTCATCGGCATCAACACTACCGTCTTTGTTTTTATCAGCATTATTGAATGTGGCAGTAGCAACGTCAAAGCCTGGAACACCAGCACCAAAGCTTGCTGATTCATATGATGATGAACCGAAACCACCATCAGCACCAGTGAGACCTGTTTCGAAACCAGTAACGCCAGCTGCGCCTGAATATGAAGCTGATGATTCGAAGCCTGATGTAGCATAGGCACCGTTAGCACCAGATCCTTCAGCTAAGCCACTTTCGAAACCGGAACCGTTATAAGCACCTTCAAAATCAAATTGTTTCGAAGGATCACAATACAGATAGACATTCGGTTACTTACCAGTTGCACCAATTTGTGAACCTTCAAATGTGCTGGAGGAGAATTGTGCTGTAGCACCACCTATGTCTCCACCAGTGACACCAGTTAAATCTGATCCTGCAATATCACCACCACCGAGACCGTAGTTGGATTCATGACTAATTGATCCTGATCTTATAGCACTGGTGGCACCTGTGACACCAAATGCTGATTCATGAGCAATTGATCCTGATCGACTGCCAGATCCAGTAGCACCATATGCGTTTTCTTGTGTCACTGATCCTGATCGGCTACCAGCTGCAGCTGGAACACCCGGTGGTGACTAGAAACAAAAAAAAACGCAAATGCATTTGTACATAAACATTCATTCTATATTTACAATATCTTCAACAACACCGGCAGCACGAGCTTGTTGAACAAGAGTTTGTGCATCAAGTAATTGTGTACCGTATTTTTCAAGATAGGCTTGTGGGCTTTCTTGAGTGACACCCAATCGTTGGAATTGTCGAACAACACGAACTTGAACTGGTTCATATTGAATGATGATATTGCGTGGTTTAGGATAGTCTTTAGCGGCTTCAGCACGTTGAACAATAGTTTTTCGTTTGGCAGAAGCTCCATAAGGAATCCAACGTTCAATAATGATATCACCTAATCAAACGTAGTGTATGAAATAGAATGTACTTATCCTAAGAAAATTTATTAGAACCTACGTGGACGAGGCGGAGCAGCTGGAATACGTTCGATGATAACTGATCGTGGTGGGACTGGGAGAGCTGGAAGTTTACGGACAACTGTTTGTGCACCTTGTGAAGCTGGTGGCTGTGGTGGTCTTTCACGGAGGATAAGTGGAGGTGGTTGTGGAAGAGGTGGCGCTTGTTGTTTGATACGAAGAGGTGGAAGTGGTGGTGGCTGAGGTGGGCGCACCTCTTTGATGATGAGTGGCTAGAAAAGTATGCAATTAATAGTCAACGAAGGAGGAAACGAATAAAATCATCGGTCACTTACGCCTGGTGGTGGAATTGGTGGTGGTTGAAGAAATCGTACTTTGATGTTTTGTGTATAGGTTTGAACACCACCTGATGCAGGTCGACGAATAATTTGTGGATTGGCATCAACATAGAGACCAGCGCCACGTACTTCGGCACCATATTTCGACCAAGCAGCATTGGTTTCAGCTGTATAGTTAGCAGCTTGATTTACTGCTGTAGTATCATATCCAGCAGCACCACCGCCATTAGTTGCTGACGATTCAAATGTTGATGACGATGCATGAAAGTTACTTCCATTAGTAGCACCAGCATCAAGTGTAGCACCATTAGCAAAGCTCGATGCTTCAAATGACGACGAACTGGCACCAGCGGCACCGTAGCCTGATGATTCGAATGAGGATGATTCAAAATTGGCATTACTACCTGAGGCATTCAAGTCAAATTGTGAAGCGCCAACAGTGCTGCCACCAGCGTTACTTGCCGCGCCTGCCCATTGCTGAAATTCGCTTCGATCAATGGTACCATCTTGATTGGTATCAGCTTGATTGAATATTGCTTTGGCTACATCAAAACCTCCGGCAGCACCACCTGAGCCTGATGCTGACGAATATGAAGTGTACTCGTAGTTGGACATATTTGTGTTTATGTGTCGCGTACGATGGAGAATAGGTAGTAATTGATGTTCTGGATAGATCAGTGTTTATATACTAGATAGGATTGTGTTCACCTCTCCTCTTTCTCTCTTTCTCTGTATTTCTCTCTTCTCTTCTCTCTCACTCTCTCTTTCTTTTTCACCTCCTCACCCGACTTTAATTGTACAGGTAGCAGCAGTTAGTGCCTAACGATGCGTATGATTGATTACACATCCTTGTCTATTTTTCTCTGCCTTTTTTGCCGCAATATTTCTCTTTGCCTTCTGATGTCCTTAAAGCAATTGGTTAGAAAAAAATCTGTCAACATAGATCGCGACTAGTCATGTCCTCGGACAGTAACCACGAAACCACATTATCTACGGCAATTTTTGCCTCGTCAGAAAGGAAAACAAACCGAACACGAAGAGAACGAACAGTCGATTTTTTGATTTTTCAAAAATGAATATGTAGCGACGAACATTGATTGAGGAAAGGTAGCATGAGAAAAAAAATTTATCGATATATACCTCTATCAATCGATCAAGGTCGAATAAGTGAGAAGATTTTCATGGAAAAAATTGATAGAATCTCAAGAAAACTACTTGAGACATGTTGTCTATTTTGGTTGTAATTAAAGTTTATTATAAAGTTGTTATTTTTATATTATTATCATTGAGAAAGAAATGGGACCTTTAAATATTTAATTGAGATATCAGATGAATTCTAACAGACGTATTGACATTGTACAAATAGTGTTTTTTTCACAACACTAGACAGAAAGAGAGCGAGAGAGAGAGAGAGACATGGGAAAAAGGACCGACAAAGAAAGGCCAAAAACTAGACAAAGCGTGTCGAATGAATTAATAGAAGATCATTTTCTTGCGCTGAATTGGCTAAATCTTGTTCGAGGAGAAATTTTTCACAATTATTTATCGATCGATTCAGTTTGCAACTGTAGTAAGAATTCTTGGGATGCGCGAGTAAATGATTTGATTGACGATTTGAAAAGAAGAAGTGACGCCGTTTCTCCTGATGAGGATTCAGTGGGATAGATGACGATTGACTACTCATTGGTATACTATTCAGCGATGTTGTCGTATTTTGACGCGTACGTGCTTGTGATGACAAGTTCGGTGAATGTTGTTGCGCAGTCAAACGTCGAACGTGGATCGGATTGATCGTTGGAAGTGTTGTTCGATGTTCATTCAAATCCCCTTGTAACAGATTCGAATCGATGCACGGCAAACATGAGTATAATTTACGAAATTCGCGATTGAATCTCGCCTAAAATAGAGCAAATGAACAGAGAAATAGTCGTTCGACAACGAAGACAAGTTAAAGAAAAGAAGGACAATATGTGATCAAGTACATTCTAGTCATGTTGTTCAGTGGGACTAATTTCTTTTTCTTTATTAACACGTTTGATCGCTTGAAGTTATTATATCTAAATGAAACGTAATTAAATTGTATTCCTTCATATACTCAGTTATAGTCTCATGCGTCTCAATTATAGAAACTAGTGCCTGTCATGGTCTATAAACGAAGGTAAACGGTTCATTTGTCTTGTAGTATGTTTAACCTACACTACAAAATCCGTATATGAATGGATTGTGGCATGAGTTCGACATAGCCAGCCAATTCGCGCATAACCATATGACGACGATATGTTTAAAACTAGAAGGTGAAAACATCGGTCGATTAGGATCGTGTGAGATTTGTTTTCACCTACTCATTAATTTCAGGTTTATAAATAACAAGGAAATTGTATAGTTGCAATGGAAACCAACAGATGAGAAATAATGCGACGACAACGAAGAGCATTTTCAAGACCTAAAGCATGAATGAATTGAAGAATAAGATGAATCATCAACGATATCTTTAACATATGTATGATCTCGTTCTCTAAGCAGTTTTTCCTTGATGAAAAGCAAACCCGGTGAATTAGATTTACAAGCGATTATCTTTCAATCCATCTTTCTATCGAATAATTACTCTTCTTTCTAAATAATAAAGATTGTCACAGCATGATCGGATATACATCTGGTATTTTTGTATATTTGTCAAGGTTAGTGTTTCTTAGCTATCAGGTTCACGACTATTAATCATCCTACTTTCCGTTTGTTTCGTGTAATCACTTCTTGGTACTTGGTTTGGCCGACAGGCTCGGAAAAATATAAATGCGAGCCGATGCGAAAGTAGGCGCCACTTATAATTACGAACGGGATGACATATTGAGAATAAATATTATAAACAATGTAAATCTTGTGAATATCGAATGATGTGCTCGCTTTCAGAGTTACATTCGTCGACAGGTGGTTTTCATGTGTATAGGGTAAACATTGATAACCATAATCATCAATGAAGTAGACATTATAGAAAAATAGACTCGGACTTGATGAAGCAAAGGCAACAAGCCAGATAATAATGAATATAAGAAAGGCTGTTTTCGTCGATAATTTCGGTTTTAAGGGATGAAGCATAACGTGATAACGATCGAGTGAAACAGCAACTAATGTGTAGATGGACACATCAACAGATAGGATTTGTACAAATGGAGCTAATTTACAGAGGAAATGTGGCAGAACCCATTTTTGTAAAGCTGCAGCTTGAAACTGAATCGAGAGGAAAAAAAGACATGCGACGTTTTTTGCTTTGAACAAATACCGAAGGAAAATTTTACCTGAAACGGAACTGCAAAACATGCGACTAGACAATCAGCTAGCGCTAAATTACATATAAAGTAATTTGTTACTGAATGCATATGTCGATTACGTATAACGATATAGATAATCGATGAATTGCCCACAACTGCGAGTAGAGATATAATACCATAGGCAAAACTCAATAGGATCACTTGATATTGCTCCGGGATGATTGTTTTCGTTGAATCATTGTTTAAACTGGTTTCATTGGACATCGCCATGGAAATCGACAGTGGAGATTGTGTACGACTCGTCGTAGCCGAATATACATCTGCTAGTAGATCCATATGCATGTTATTGTGGATCATGGGGTGAAAGGTAATATTTAGATAACATAAATTCGATAGGGATAAAACGTTTCGTATTAGTTTTGTCAGATTCTATCTGAAAAAACAAGTGAAAATCGATCGGATCGATTTCGTCGGATGTTCTATTCATTGGAGACATTATTCGTCGGATAGAGGAAATGTGTCTAACAGAGGTTATTAACAGAGATTTAGGAAAACAACAAGTGTTCTTGCTTGTCTCTCCCCTTGATGTCTACTTAGAACATCCATCAACCAGAGTAAATCACTCGTTTTGTTTTATGCGAACCGCACATCATCAAGGACATTAACACAAATCGAGAAGAAAGAAAAAGAAGTGAGAGATACGATGAAGACGAAGAACAAGAAGAAAGCAGACAGGAAGTAAATCTAAATTTATTATGATATAATAAACTTCTTTCGAGATATCGTTGTCTAAGTACACGATTAATAACGAAAGAAATCTACTAACTCAATGAATTATTCATGGGATATCATCTTTCATCTAAATTGCTTTTGTTGACTTAAGCAAAGACGACTAGATAAGATCTTGCGAATGTCACAAATCAATCGGAATAGGTTAACAGCTATTTCTTCTACTTGCGAGTTCGATATACGACGACAGAAAATGTCGTCGAAAACGCAGCTGGTTCGTCGTATCAACGCGAAAGAGAAGAAGTCGGCACCAGATAGATTGATATTTCAGACAAAAACAGCACAGCTACGTGCTTTTTGCGAGGAAAACAAAATCAAATTGGAGATTAATCAACGCAAAAGAAAAAAAAAAGAACATATGGATCTCACTTGATATCAATATTGTGTAATCAGAGAGTTCATAATCATGATTGACACCAAATGTACTTATCACGATGACATATCTCTACATTACAAAGGTGCTAGATCTGCTATTTGATGTCTGTGAGTATATATATATATATATATAGATCTGCCAATGACACTCTCATTCAATTATAGAACTGCTCTGGA